AAAAAAATTAAATTTTTCTTAGGCACAAGATTTTATTGTATATTCTTGCACAAAATACACCAAAAAGTGTAGAAAAAAATTGACTCCCAAATCCGAGTAGAGGAAGACCTTTATTACCACCAAAAAGTCATCCAGGACTACAAAAAACTTCCCAAAAAAATTAAATTTTTCTTAGGCACAAGATTTTATTGTATATTCTCGCACAAAATACACCAAATCTGAGTAGTATCTTTGTAATAATCGGTAATACTCGTAACAACGCGTAATATCGCGTAATAACGTGTAATATTCCGTAATAACGTGTAATAATTATAACATTTTTTCCAAATACCGACAAAAAATGTGTGTTATGAAGCTCAGGGTTGCTAGAAAATTACGTAACACTGAGTAGTATTTGTGAAATGTCTTATATTATCTTTGTAATAAACGGTAATACTCGTAATAACGCGTATATCGCGTAATAACATGTAATAATCCGTAATAACGTGTAATAATTGTAACACTTTTTTCAAAAAACCTACAAAAAATGTGTGTTATGAAGCTTAGTGTTGCTAGAAAATTACGTAACACTGAGTTGTATTTGTGTAATGTCTTATCGTATGTGTGTAATAAACAGTAATATTCGTTATAACGCGTAATATCGCGTAATAACGTGTAATATTCCTTAAGAACGTGTAATAATTATAACACTTTTTTCTAAATACCTACAAAACAAGTTGTAAATTTAGATGTTCATTAACATCTCATATAACATGTTTCTATAAAGAAAAAAATTTGTTTCCGCCACTTTGAAAAGTTTTATAAACGAAAGGACTACAAAGCTTCCTCCACGAGGAAGAAAAAAAAAATTTTCTTAGGCAGACGATATTATTGCATATTCTTCCTCAAAATACACCTAAAAGTGTAAAAAAAATTGACAGCCAAAACCGAGTAGAGGATGACCCGTATTACCACCCTTAAGACTCTTTATATTTCTACAGGACCTTGAACAGACAAAAAGGTGCCTGATACACTTTATTATTATTGTTAATTAACTTTTTTTATTAATTATTATTATTATTATTAATTATCTTGTAATTACTTAATTATTAACTATTTATTATTAATTGTTACTGATTTTTATTATTTATTTTAGTATATATATATATATATATATTAATATGTTAATAATTTATTATTTATTTATTTTAAAATTTTTTTTAATTTTTAAATATAAATACATTTGAAATTAGAAAATTAATGAAAAGATTTGTGTTTTTTTATAGGAAGGAATGATTACGTAATAATTAAAGACGTTGCAAATGTCCTTATATTAACCATACGACTGTTGGCCTGATGTGAAGAACCATGGCCTACTTGAGTGAATACTAATAAATAAACGTTTCTTCCTCTGACCAGTCAGAAATTATCAATTTGTCAACTTGTTTATTGAAAAAAAAATATTTCTGAATTTTGGCTATCAAACTTTAATATTTATATCTTCATTGTCCTTTTATTTTATTTTAGCCATTTTTTTTCTCTTTCAACATAAAAATAAATCAGAATTGTAATACTTAAAAATGAATGTATTAATTAAAGGTATATTTATTTTACATACGACTTACTTTATTAACACTTAATTAATTTATTCCAATTCTAATTTATTTATTTATTTTATTACTTATTATATTCTTTTTTTTATGTACTTAACTAGAAAAGTGATTTTTCCCTATTGTTCAAATTTAAAACTTCTTCGCGCGCTTAAATCGAGTACAATAATCGATTTATCGAAGTATCGAAATCAGTTCGCACATGCGCGTGAGAGAGCGTTGGCGCATTTTTGTTTATAAACATAAACTGTTTTTTTTATTTAAAATAATAATTTATTTGCATAATATTTAATTTTTTTTCATACTGGTAGTGACAGCTGTCAATTTACTATTTTATTTTATATATTTATCTAGAATTATGTGAAGAAAAATGTTTACTCAAGAAAGTGAATTCTAACCTATTTTTTCAGTTTTAATGTTTTGCCGTCTAACAAAATGTAATATTAAAAACAAAACTTGATAGTTATTCATAATATAATAAGTAATCAATTGCATCAACGTTTTCAATAACTTACAGTACTAAATGTAAAATATTAAAATATATGGAAAATAAGTGAGGTTAAATATAGTGTATTTTACCAGTTATTGGAGAATTAAGAAGATAATAGTTAAAGAAGTAAAAATTAATTAATTTCTTAAAAAATAAAAAACAATGGAGTCTGATTATGAAGAAGATCGTGGTACTTGGGGAGACGATATGGGTCGAAGTGATGATGTCAGTATGGAAGATGCGTTAGAAAATCCTCGCGAAGTCTTAAATGAATGTTTAGAAAAATTTAAAACACCTGACAATATCATGGAACCAGGAATATTTAATCAGCTAAAAAGGTAAATAAAAGAAAATAAATATAAATAATTTAATACATTAGGTTCGCTTACAAAAAAACAAAATTTAAATTTGTTCTGTAATTTGTGTAATTCTATAATTTATCATTCTCGTTAAGGTATTTTCAAGCCGGTGGAAATCCTGAACAAGTTATTAGTTTTTTGTCAAAAAATTATACGGCTTGCGCACAAATGAATAATCTTTTGGCTGAATGGCTAATTCTTGCCGAAGTTAAAGTCACCGATGTTCAGGCAATGATTGAAAATAATTTAAAGGATATGGTTTTAAAAACATTCGAGCCAAAGAAAGCTGATAAAATTTTCACCGAAGAAGGAGAGGTATATTTTTTTTTTTATTTGAATAAATAATTGAAAAATATTCAAAAAAAAATTGATTTAAATGAAAATTTTTCTAGACACCAGCCTGGTTAACGGAAATGATTCAACATCCAACTTGGCGATCATTAATTTATAAATTAGCCGAAGATTATCCCGATTGTTTAATGTTAAATTTTATTATAAAGGTACATTTTTTACTTTTATCAAAATTCTTTTATTTTTTGCATTTTGATAAAATTTATTTCTTTAGATGAAATTTTAAATTAAATGTAATAAATTTAAAATTAATTATTCTTTTTTAAAATTTTTAATTAGCTTATTTCCGATGCTGGATTCCAAGGTGAAATCACAAGTATTTCAACAGCTGCTCAACAAATAGAAGTTTTTTCTCGTGTTTTAAAAACCGCGATTTCTGGATTTTTGCAAAACACCGAAAATTGGCAATCGAGTATTCAAGAATGTGCAGTAAGTTTTGATTTAATTTTATTTTTATCGAAAAATCTAATTTTAAATGAGTTTCCCTTTTTTTTTTTTTGAAGAAAATGGTCTGTCACGGTCAACACACTTATGTTTATAGTCAAGTGTTGTTGCAAATATTATCACAAGAGCCACGTGGTGGTTTTATGATGAAACGACTATCTCAAGAAATTACAAAATGTGCACAACAAAAGTAAGACAAAATTGATTTTTTCCTTTTTTGTAGCCGTATTTTATTTTTTTTAAAAAGAGAAAAAAATAATTTTATAATAATTATAGTCGACATGATGTTACACCAATTACAATGGCTCTAAATGGAGCCGCAGCTTTTCCGGCAGCATCACAAGCTTTAGCATCAATGTTGTCTCGTAATACTCTTAATCCAGCCGATATTTCACTTTTATTTCGAAATTATTCAACAGCTGATCCTCCTTCAATTGAATTAATTAGAAATCCACAACTTTTAGGTAAAATAAAAAATTTATTATAAATTATTATTATAATATTTAAATTTTTTCTATTAATAAAATTAATTTTGTTTTTTTATTTAGAACTTTTAATTGACGCTCTATTTAAACCGGGCGTTAAAGTGAATCAGGAACATAAGCCAAAATATATTTATTTACTCGCTTATGCAGCGAGTGTTTGTGAGACTGCTGCAAAAAAATCAAATCCACGTAAAATAAATAAAGACGAATTAAAAACGACAATTCAAGCTATTGAAAAAGTACACAATATTTGTAATAATAATAAAGGCTCAACGGAATTAATTGCTGAATTAACTACCATTTATCAATGTATCCGGTGAGTAATTAATTTTTTGTTCGCTTTTTTTTTTAATATTGAAAATGTAAATAATTATTACAATAATTAATTAGTATAAATAAAATAAAATTTAATATAAAAATTAAGTTGATAATAAAAATTTTAATTTTTATAAACATTTTCATTGAACTGAAGAAATATTCTTCGGAATTATTAATTATTAATAAAATTCTTTCTGTTAATAAATTTTTTACAAATTTTAATTTTAGATATCCTGTTGTCAGTATTGGTGTGATCCGCTGGGTAGAATATACAGTAACTGAACCCTCGTATTTTAAATTGTGCACAGAACATTGTCCAATTCATCTTGCACTATTGGACGAAGTTGTAATTTGTCATTCACTTTTGCATCCAAAAATTCTACAACTTTTGGTCCGTTTATTCGAGAGCAAACAAGATGAATTAGAAATTCTCGTTCAGGTACATAATTGAAAAGGAAAATTTTTTTTTAATTTCTCGTAATATTTACAATATTGGCTTTAAAAAAAAAAATAATTAATGAATTTTCTTTTCACAGTTGGAAATGAAAAAAATGCTTCTCGATCGAATGGTAAATTTATTGAGTCGTGGATGCGTTGTGCCCGTGGTTTGTTACATAAAACAATGTTGGCAACGTGGAGACACTGATATTTCTCTAATTCGATATTTTGTCACTGAGGTAATTTTCATTATAAATTTTAATATTTAATTAAAATAATTAATTAAAATAATTAAATTCAAGGTTTTGGAAGCAATTGCTCCTCCATATTCAACAGAATTTGTTAATTTATTTTTGCCAATGGTGGAAAATGAGGAAATCACAGGAACAATGAGAGGCGACAACGAAAATGATCTTGTCTCTGAATTCATTGGTAATTTTCATCTCACTATTATTTTTCTCCCTTTTTTTCTTTATATACGAAAAAAATATGATTTGTTTTTTTTTTTTTACAGTTTATTGCAAAGCACACAGTCCAATCGTGAGATGACGATTGAAGAATTAAAATGTAAATATGGACAAATAAACGAAGAAAAGAAAAAGATTCAAATTGTGAAATGAAAATTTATTTTACATAACGAAGAACATGATAGAACTTAAAATAATATTTTTTTTTTTTAAGGGTATAATTTTCTATTTGACTGTGTATGATTGAATGCCACCTAATTGTCCTTCCCTGAAACAATATTATTGTCATTTTAAAAAAAAGAAAATTATAATTTATTTTGTTACATCAAAATTTAAAGTAAAATTAGTTTTGTTTTAGACTTGTAAATGGGAGCAAAATAATAAAATTATCACACACACATGTATTAAAATAAAAAAAATAATACGAAATTGTAAAATTCAATATTCTTGTTAGATATATAATATTCAATTTTTAATAATTCACAAAAACTCTCGTGATTTATCAGAAATATTTGTAAAATAAATATTTACCGTAGTATAATATATAGTTATACTTTATAATAAATTTTTATTAATAATATAAAATAAATTCGATTTAAAGAAATTTTTGTTCATTTATTTCAAAAAAAAATATATAGTCCTTAATAAAGTTCAATTGAATTTTTAAAAAATTCAAATTTAAAAAAGTTTAATTATAGATTTAAAAAACTTTTTGTTTTACTATAAAAAATATAAAATTATGATTTATATGAAAATATACGAGTTAAATTTTTAAAAAAATATATATAAAATTATGTAAATGTGCAATAATTAAAAAGGATTTCATGCTCAATCTATCAAAGTCATGCAGTGTTATCACTTTTTTTTTCGTAACACGTAACGACTCACTTAATTCCTAATTATGTTTTTTTTTTAAGCCTTCTCAGCTGTAAAAATATGTTGTTTATTATAATAATTGTAAATATAAACTTTATTGAATGAAATATTTGTGCAAAATTATTAATACTCACTAATAGGTTTTCCATCTTTCCATTGTGTAAATTTAACATTTGCTTCGTCTCGTTTTGCAGCTTCTGCCCTCATATCCGTTTTAAGTGCCTGTCTAAGAAGACGAGCAGCAATTTGTGAATAATTGATGTAACTGAAATTAAAATATTTATAAATTTTAAATTAAGTCGTAAAAAAAATTATAATAGTGACCTAACCTAATTATTTTTTAAATTAGTGAACCAATTTGTATTTTTAAGGTTATATTGCTGAAATATGATAATCCATTATTTTCGCAATTAATGCATATATAAATTTATAAAGTCGAGAATATTTTTAATTTAGAATATTTAAATATTATGATCTTTATAAAAAAAAATCGCAGGATTATATAACTTTTTTTGTGAAATCAATATACAAAGGGCAGTAGACAAAAGATAAAATTTACATTTTACAAAACTTGGTTATTATTTCAAAGGATCAATTACTTACTTAAGTCCTGCTTGTCTCCACACCGACATGATTATTAATTAAATGTGTAATTTGTTTAAAAAGCCTGACAAATTTTTTTTTTAGCAAAAGTTAGGTTATAACCAACTCTCTGTCCTTTAACTGACTTCTGTCGATAAAGTAGAACTCTGAATGCCTAACCTAACCTCACCTAACCTTAAAAAATCCACATTACGACGACAAAACGTCAGCAAATAACAAAAGTTATTTACATTTATTTTTTAATAGAAAACACATTAGTAAAAATTAATTAATTATGGAGTCTATGGGACAGGAGGTTTCTTCTAATACAATTATAGGAGTTGGTGAGTTTTAAATATATATACATTTTATTTCACCATATTTCTATAAAAAAAAAACAATGACATCTAGAAATAAGTTCTGTAAAATGGATTTTTATTATTATTTTAATGATTAAGATTAGAAAAATTTTTTATTATTTATTAGCATGGCAATGGATAGCTTCAATTGGTTGGTATTTAGTTGGATTATGTTTCATTTTATTAATGGCATCGTCTTATTTGCAAGAAAAATATAATAGTTGGAAATCAAAGAAAGATGAGGCAGAATATTCGGCAAAATATCATAAAGGTATTTATTAATTTTATTACCATTAAATATTAATGCTTGAAACTAGATTATAGATTGAATTTTAAAAATTTTTTTCCCTCGAGTAAATGATGTAAATTTCACTAATTTATATGTTTTTTTTTTAAATATAGATCCGGACATTGTTTATCAAAGACTAACCGCAATAGAGGATGCTAGAAATCGTATGCAGGAAAAGTATAATCAAGATTCTGAAACTTGCAAACAAAAAGCTGAAGAGGTGATTTTAATTAATTAAAAAAATTTTACTTAAAAATAATAAATTAATAATTTGTGATTAATATTCTTTTTATCTATAAAAAAATATATAGAATAAAGAGAGAAAGAGACAAGAATTACTTAATTCTTCGGATGGAAAAAATAATGGCTATAAACTAGGAGGTTCAACTAGTGATTCTAAATCAAGATTATTAAAACAAGGTAAATTCGATAATTAAAATTCAAATTAAATAATTAAAAATTACTATCCCTTATTATTTTAATGAACAAAAATCTTCATTAAATAATTCTAAATAGAAGGGAATTTTAATTAATTATTTATAAAAAATTGTTTATTTGTGTTATTAAATGAATAATTATTTTCAGAATACAATCCACTAATGGGTAATTCCAGTAGAGGTTATCGGCCTCCAAAACGAAGTTGTTGTGGAAAAGGTGGTTGTGGATAATAAATAAAAATCTCTTCCCTTTAACTACTATAAAATTATTAATTTTCTAAATTAATTTAAATAGAACATTTTAATTTTAAATAATCTATTTTTAAATCAATTTTTATTGAATTAGTTTTTTAATTATGTAATATTAAAATTGTATAACAATTTTATATGTACAAGGCGTGTTGAAAAAAAAAATTTTATATTTAAAATTCATAGGAAAGGAAATGATTAATTATTATTTAAATAAGTTAATTTGATTTAAATACGCATAATTAAAATAATATAACATAAGATGATGAATATTATAAAAAAAATAATAAAATCTGTCTGAAATTTTTTTGGTACATTTTCATTCAGTTTTCTCAAAAATTCTTTTAAAAAAACAACCCCTTTAACACTACACAAAAAATACAGACAATTACTAAACATGAGAATTATCTTTTAAAAGAATTAGTTACATTTAATATTCTACAATATTATTAATAAAAGTAGTTTGTGTTGATGAATTTTTAAATATACCGCGCAAACTCGTTACATGTGATTTCACCCTAAAACTAACCCTAAAAAAAATGTTGTAGAATCAGCTTTAAGTTCATTGTTTTGATTGTGACAAAAATTTTTGTTAATTTGGAATGAATAAATAGAATAATATTCAACTAATTACAAATAATTAGTTGTCTTCATTTTTATAAAAAAAGAAATTTTTAATTAAAAAAAAATATATAAACAGTGGAGATTTAGTTTGATTCTCCCCCGCATTTATGACCTTCAAATTTTTTTCACATTCAAATAGAGGTCAAATTTGAAATAAACAATTGTTTCTAGTTTCATTAGAGATTTTTTTTTTTAATCATTATTGTATGTCACACATATTAGTAGATTAATTTTCTATTTTATGAAGGAACACTATACATAACGTACCAACTGTAAGTGTATTTTTATATTTTTTTATTGACAATTTTTGTCTTAACAAAATATCAATGTGCAGCATGTATTAAATTTCTAATGCATTAAAAATATTTTCAATGTCAGCTTTAAAAATAAAATTTTTTATTTTACGAAAAAGCTTATCTAAGTATTGTTTATATATTAAAATATTTATACTTTCTTACACTTAAATATTATTGTTACAAATAGTTAATAATATTATGAGAATAATTTCTAATACAATAAAATTATTTATCAATAATTTTTGATACGGTAAATAATATTTTATTATAATATAAATAATACTTGATAAAATAATAATTTACATTAATGAAATTTTTTTAATTTCTATGTTATTTTGATTCTCTACTTTCTACTTATAAATATTAATTTATTAATTAATTGCTTTGCATAGGATAGATAAAATGGAAAATATCAAAGAAATTCTTTGAAATGTATTTTTTTTATAAATTAATATATATATTTTTTTATTTGAAACAAAATATCGAAATTGAAACTTTTTTGGTTAAAATATGAAAAATTGTTTTTTTAATATTTTAATAGCAAAAATTATAAATAATTTATAATTTAAATTTTGTTGTTTTTAGTTAAAAATAGAATCAGCATGAGAAAAAAAATGTTAATCGTGATAAATACTGTTTGTCTTCATCTCTTGTTATTAATATCTAATTTAACAAGTTTATTATCTGACGAGATATATCTATATTTTATAGGCAGCGAACAAAGAGGAAATCTATATAATTCTATTAAAAAAAAAAAAAATAATTAAAAAAAAAAAATGATAAGATATCGGATGCAAAGTTTAACATAAATTCAAGAAATTTCTTTAAACCCGTTTGCTTTGCTTTTTCATTTGCTTCATTATTTATGGATTCAATGGTTGCTTTAAAAAAATTTGTTTGTGAAACAACTCAGGAATTTATCAGGAAATTTCGAAATTTTATTCTACATGTATTTGCTTGCCAATTTCTCAATTTTCTCTGGTCTAATGTAAGTTTAATTATTTGTTAATTATATGAATCAATTTATTGATGTTTTCAATTTAATAAAATCTTTTTGAGACCTTGATATGATAAAAGATTGTTTAAAATGAAAATAACAATAGATTAAATTTCACATGATGATGAATTATTTTTTATACCCTTGATGGATTCATTTCAAACAAATCGACAAAACTTGGAACAGGAAATGTTTCTGTTATTCTTTACTAGAATTAAGAATGTAACTCTAGAAAATAGAATAAGGGCAGACTTTTTCTTTTATGCATGTTCAAGTAGCAAAACTGAGTAATATTATATTTTACGCTATGTAAATGCTTTGTGCAAATTACTTATATTAAGACAAAATGCTAGCTAAACGCTTATTTGTCATTTTATCTGTAAGTACTTAGCATGTTTTTTTTTTTAAATTATTTTCAGTGATTAAATAATTTTAATAATTTCAAAATTTTAGACACAGAAGAAAACAATGACAATGGAAGGATCATCTGAAAGCAGTCAAAATATTGAGCAAGTGAGAGTTTTAAGTTTGAATAAAGGAGAACATCAAGATGGAACTTTGTATAGACTGAAAAAAGGTAATTGATTTTCTTTTTTGTATATTTTTGCAAAATATTTATTGATTCACATTGATTTGATTTTTAATTTTAGAATGGCAAGTTCAATTTAGACTGGGACCATCGCTTCTTGGGAGGAAAATTGATATTTTCGTGAATCATCCTTTGACGAAGGATCAAAAATACGAGAGACATGTTTATCGACAATTAAAATGGAATAACGAAACTGCAAATTTAAATTTAACATCCGCGGGATCATTTCATTACTATGCGACGGATACTAAGTAAATATTTCTTTTTTTTTTCAAATGATAAAATTATTTTCTCATTGAAATTTTTCTTCTAGAATGGAGAACGGTGCAAAAGCAATTGCCTCGGGATATCTTTTGGTTGATCCAGAATTGAAAATTGGTAAAAATGACGAGTCACTTCCTATTGATTGCATTCAATGTCATACGGTTTTGGCAAAATGTCTTGGACCATTTTCCACTTGGGAAAACAAACTATTAGTTTCCAAGAACTCCGGATACAATATGATTCATTTTACTCCAATTCAGGTTTTTAAAAAAAGATTTATTTTCTGTAAAAAAGAAATTTGTTTTAAATTTAAAATAATTAAAAATTTATTTTTCCTTTAGGAACTAGGAGGTTCAAGATCTTCATACAGTTTGAGTGATCAATTAAAATTAAATCCCTCATTCAGCAGTGGAGAAAAAGAAACAACATTTGACGATGTTGAAGCTTTAGTCAAAAAAATGCGCACCGAATGGAATGTAAGATTTTCCAAAAAATTAATATTTAAATGGAAAATTTAATTTTCTTTAATTTTTAGGTACTGAGCATTTGTGATATTGTTTTGAATCATACGGCGAATGAAAGTTCATTTCTTTTGACAAATCCGGAATGCACTTATAATTGTTCAAATTGTCCATATTTACGTCCATCGTATCTTTTGGATGCAACACTTTTTGAATTGACTATTCAAGTTGGAGCTGGTGAATGGGAAATGAAAGGAATTCCCGCCGTTGTTGAAACCGAGGAACATCTCAATGTAAAATTATTGTAATATTGCAAAAAGGAAAAATTCATAAATATTTTATTAATATTTTTATTTTTAGAGTATTCGTTATGCACTTCATTCGCATTTTTTGCCACTTATTAAAATTCATGAGCTCTATATTTTGGATGTCAATGAAACTGTCGCTGAATTTTTAAGCCTTGCCAGAAATCAAATGCCACATGAGGAATCGGACATGGAAATGGAATCGATTAAAATTATCAGAGATGAAGAATTTCGAAGATTGAAGGCAACTATCGATAAGTCACTTGCTTTACGATTATACAATACTTATAGGTAATAATTTTTTTTTACATTAATTTAAATAATTATAATAATTAATTAAATACTTATAATAATTAATTAAATACTTACAATAATTAATTAAATAATTATAATATTTATTTATATTAAATTTCAAGAGTTGATTGTTTCGATGAAGACACTCGATTGAAACGTTGCGCCGAGGATCTTAGGAAAAAATTACAAGAATTAAACGACGCAATTTTAAATGAGGTACAAAATAATTTAAACGCTGCCGTTGAAAATACTATCGCTGGTATTCGCTATTTTCGAGTACAATCGGATGGACCAAGAATCCAAGAAATAAGCGAAAGAAATCCTCTTGTTCCAAGGTAGAAATTAAAATTCGAAGTTTAAATTTTCATTTTTGTGAATTGAATATTAATTATAGGTTTCTTTAGGTATTTTACTGATTTTGGAGCGCCGAGAAATTTAGTTGAACGAGAAGCAACAATGTACTCGGATGCAGGTCGATATTTAATGGCTCACAATGGTTGGGTCATGAATAGTGATCCTTTAAAAAATTTTGCTGATTCCGATTCGAATGTTTATATCCGCAGGGAATTAATCGCCTGGGGAGATAGTGTTAAGCTCAGGTAATTTTTTTTTACAATTGTATTTGGACCTTGAGAATTGTTTTTTTCAATTATTGCTTAAATAAATTAATTAAAAATTAATTTTCAGATATGGAGAAAAACCAGAAGACTCTCCATACTTGTGGAAACGAATGTCGAATTATGTTCAACAAATGGCTAAAATTTTTGATGGTGTACGATTGGATAATTGTCACTCGACTCCAATTCCAATTGCAGAGGTAATATTTTATTCTACTAAAAAAAAAAAATTTAATACATATTGCAAATTAAATAAATTTTAATATTTTTTTTAAAAAATTCAGTATTTATTGGACGAAGCGAGAAAAGTGAAACCCGATTTGTATGTTGTGGCAGAATTATTCACAAATTCCGATCATAAGGACAATATTTTTGTGAATCGTCTTGGAATTACTTCACTTATTAGAGGTAAAATTTATTCTTCAATTTAAAATTCATTTTTGAGGAAAAAAGTAAATTTTTTGTAAAATTTACAGAAGCGATGTCTGCTTGGGATAGTCATGAAGAAGGTAGATTAGTTTATCGTTATGGAGGTGAACCAGTTGGGGCATTTTTGCAATCGCGAATTCGTCCCTTAGTGCCAAGCATTGCTCATGCACTTTTTTTAGATTTAACTCACGATAATCCAAGTCCCGTTGATAAACGTAGTGTATTTGATTTAATGCCAAGCGCTGCTCTTGTTTCCATGGCATGCTGTGCCAGTGGAAGTAATCGAGGATACGATGAACTTGTACCTCATCATGTAAGTCATTTTTATTTAAAAAAAAAAAATAAAAAATAAATTATTCAAATTATTAATTTTATTTTTAGATACATGTAGTTGATGAAGAAAGACAGTACACTTCTTGGACTGATAATGAATTAGAGGAGAAAAATGAATCCCACGTTGGATTTAATTCAGGAATAATTGCCGCTAAAAGAGCTCTCAATAATCTTCACAATAATTTAGGACGAGATAAATTCTCTCAAGTACGATTACTTTAATATAATAATTTTTTGTAAAATATTGAAAGAAAAGACCGACAGATAAAATTATAAATTATTTTCTGTTGTTTTAGGTTTTTGTTGATCAAATGGATACTGATGTAGTTGCAGTGACTAGACACTCGCCGCATACTCATGAAAGTGTTGTTTTAGTTGCATTCACCGCTTTCAAGCATCCTGATCCAAATGCCAGTGATCTTCGTCGTCACATAAGATCATTGCGAGTTGAAGGTGTTGTTGAGGAAATTATTCTAGAGGCCTCTTTGGCTCACAAAGACGTCCAGTGAGTATTATTTTGTCAAAAATAAAAATTTATTCTATTTATTTATTTATTCAACATTCTAGAAATGGAGTTTCACCTTTCCGCTATCCGGAGAAATACGTTAAAGATGAAAAGACAATAAATGGAATCAATGAATATTCAGTGAAAATAAAGGAACACATTCAAATATGCGATTCTTCAATATTGGAAAAAGTTGATTCTGGTGATCCAAAAATTACTCAATTAAATTTTATTAATTTCCAACCGGGATCTGTTGTGGCAATTCGGTGAGTTTTTTTTTCTCTCTTTTTGAGAAATTCTAATTTTTTTAATGAATTTTTTATTTTGTAGTGTTTCACTTCATGTGAATATAAAACCAGCTCTTGGAAAATTACAAAATACTATTGCCACATTGACATCTTCGAAAGCTTCGGAATTACATGCAATTGTATCACGAATAAATCTCGCTGGATTGAATAAAATTTTATATCGCTGCGATCAAGAGGAACGAGACGAATCGAATAATCGTTTTGGAGTTTACGATATTCCTCGTTATGGACCTCTTGTCTATGCCGGTCTTCAAGGTAAATATTTTTTTAAATAAATTTATTACAACTATTAGATTAATTAATTAAATTAAAAATTAAATTAAATTAAATTTAATTTACCTTTAGGTGTTATTTCCCTTTTGGCTGATATTCGACCAAATAATGATCTTGGACATCCATTATGTGCAAATCTAAGGGATGGAAACTGGTTAATTGGTAATAATTTAATTAATTATAAGAATTAATTTCAAGAATATAACAAAAATAGGAATTAGTAAGTACAAAATTTTAAAACCGAAAATATAATAAGAAAATTAGCAAAATAAATAAACTAATTGCAAAAAATAGAAAATTTATAAAATTTGATAATTAAATTATAAGATTTGATAATTTAATTTTATTTTAGATTACATGTCGGCTCGTCTAAAAGAAGACGAGATGACAGCATCCCTTGGAGAATGGTTAGAACAAACTTTAGAGCCTTTGAAGACAATTCCTCGTTACTTGGTTCCCAGTTATTTTGACGTTATTGTCGTTAATGTTTACACTGCTTTACTTGATCAATGTTACGCTTCATTCTCAAGGTTCGAATTCATTTATTATTAAATTTATTTTTATTTTAATTTAATTATTATTAAATAATTTCTTAAAAATTAATTTATTAATTCTATATTTCAGCTTCGTGAAAGATGGATCAACATTTATAAAATTATTATCACTAGTGTCTGTACAAGTTGGTGGTACAGTGAAATCGGCGCAGCTTCCAGAATTATCTCCCAATTTGGAGCCACCGAAACCAATGATTAAAGAAATAAATGACGAAAAGCAACAAATTTGTTTGACATTGTCAGCTGGTTTACCTCATTTTGCCACTGGTTATATGCGTAATTGGGGACGAGATACATTCATTGCACTTCGTGGTCTTTTCTTATTAACCGGTAGATTCGAAGAAGCAAGATTTATTATTCTTGGATACGCTGAAACACTTAGACACGGTTTAATTCCAAATTTACTCGACAAGGGCAAATGTGCCAGGTAAAAATCGTTTTTCATTCAAAATTTAATATTTTACTATTTAATATTTAATATTTAATATAATTTCAAAAATTAGATACAATTGCCGTGATGCAATTTGGTGGTGGCTGTACACAATTCAATGTTACGTTCAAGAAGTACCAAATGGTCTTAAAATTCTTTCGGACAAAATTTCAAGACTCTATCCAACTGATGATTCACCTCCGTTGCCTGCAGGAGAAGTTGTACGTTAATTTTTAAATTTTTAAATATTTTTTTTGAAATTATTTTCAAAAGAATTAATTAAGAAAAATTAAATTTTAAGGATCAACCATTATATGACGTGATTCAAGAAGCGTTGACAATTCATTTCCAAGGTTTGTGCTTTAGAGAAAGAAATGCAGGAAAACAAATTGATGAACACATGTCAGATCGTGGATTTAATAATCAAATTGGCGTTCATCCTGACACTGGATTTGTATTTGGTGGCAATGACGCGAATTGTGGTACATGGATGGATAAAATGGGTTCATCTGAGAAAGCGGGAAATAAAGGAAAACCCGCAACGCCAAGAGATGGATCGGCTATTGAAATTGTTGGACTCAGTAAAAGTACATTGAGCTTTTTAGCTGAATTATATAAGCAAAATCTCTTTCCCTATGGTAGTGTGCAAAGGAAAAATCGCGATGGTAAAAAATTATATTAAAAATTTCTTCTTTTTTTTTTCCTTCTGTTTTTTAATGTATATATATTTGATTTTAATTAGGTTCTGTAATTACATGGAGCTATAAACAATGGGCTGATAAAATTGCCCTTAATTTTGAAACATATTTTTACGTTCACGAAGAAGCAAAAGATGGTGAATTACGTCCGGATTTAATTCACAGACGTGGAATTTTTAAAGATAGTCACAATGCCACACAACCGTGGGCTGATTATCAATTGCGACCTAATTTCCCCATTGCTATGGTTGCTGTAAGAAAATTTATATTTTTTTTTTTTTACAATAATATTTCAATTTAATTTCGTTTCAATTTATTAAGGAAAAAAATTTGTTCACAGGCTCCAGATATGTTTAATCCAAATCATGCATGGACTGCATTGAAGAAAGCTGAAGAAATTCTTCTTGGACCACTGGGAATGAAAACTCTAGATCCAGCCGATTGGGGTTACAATGGTTATTACGATAATTCGAATGATTCTAACGATCCAAAATTATCACACGGTTTTAATTATCATCAGGGTCCAGTAAGTTGAAATTTAGAATTTTTTTTTTTTCTTCTAAATAAATAATTTTTAACTCCCTCAGGAATGGGTTTGGCCAATTGGTTTCTTTCTTCGTGCTCGATTACATTTCGCTCCATTAGTTGGCGGTAAAGAGGAATTAAAACGAACTATCGAATCAACGGAGGCGATAATTTCTCGACATCTCATTGAAGCATCCACTAATCATTGGAGAGGACTTCCTGAGCTTACAAATAAGGACGGAGATTATTGTCGTGACAGTTGTCGTACACAAGCTTGGAGCGCTTCTACAATTTTAGAAGTAAAAATAATAATACTAAAAAATAATTTCAAATATTTAAAATTACAAGTTGTAATTTTTTGTGTCGATTTTTTTGCAGGTCTTACACGATTTGCGTAAATTAAAAAAAGATTTTAAAATTGACGAGGAAATTGGAAATTGATATAATTTCGCGTGTGTTCACCACCGCTATTTACACTTAGAATATATGAAATTAGAAAATGAACAAAAAGTAGAAAATTTTTTAATGCAACGAGAGAGATTATATACTGAAGAAAAAGCACAAAACACGGAGACACACGCATCCTTCACTCTTTTAGATTTAAATGATACACTCTCGCAAAGTTCAATTACGATCAATATTCTTCCGCTCGACGATGATGAAGAAGAAAAAGAAGATGAAGAAGAAGAAAAAGAAATTTCAAGTTCCGAAGAATTATCTTTCGCAAATTCTAAAATAATTCACAAAGCGGCTCGATTTATTTACAGTTCAGAATTCAATGATGATTTAAATAATGAAGAAGAAGTTGCGTATGTAAATTCTGAATTTCGTAATAGTATTGTCGATGATCGACAATCAATGGATCGTGAATTAAATATTGTTGATTATTACGAGAGATATAGTCCAATGACAGCGAAAGCATTGATAAATACACTTCTTCTTTCGCGAAAGGATATTTGTAAACAATGTGCAAAATTTGAAGACAGTGTTGTTTATAGTGATCGATTGATTTATGAAAAAAAAATTCTCACAGCCCGAGAAATGATTATGATACAATTTGAAAATATGATTAATTTTACATGTCTTCCAATAACGAGTCTTCAGTCTCTCCAATTTGGTGATTATATGCCAGTTTTTAATTTATCCAAGACAAATGCATCGGGGATATTTTATTTTTCAGCGCCATTAGATGTTTTTGATTTAAAATCATCCCTGGAGCCTGATATTATTTTGGAAAATAGTGAATTTAGTGGAATAGTCAATACTCATATTTATCATCGTCGTGAGAGAAAATTTTGTAATCGTCTCTCGAGAATTGGAAATTTTTCCATGAAATTGAATTCGAAGGATTTAATAAGTTGGATGAATTTACCTGAGGTGAAAATGAGAAATTTAAAAAAGGATCATTTAATTGAAGCGTCACAATTATTTCGAGAATCTCAACCAAATAGAACGAGTCTATTGTTATTGGAGCCATTAATTTTTATGCCTAATTTTCCTTCGAGTAAACGAAATTTCTCGAAAATTTCTATTAGTGACGCTAATAGTTTGACATTAGTAAAAATTGTTATTTTCTACACACTGGCCTTTTTCATTGTTACAATTATTACATTTTACATAGTTTATTTTACGTAGTTGCACAATATTAGATTTTATTGTCATTTTATTAAACAATCATTGAAATTTGAAACGAAGATTTAAAATTCAATTTATTTATTATTAATTGCATAATTTTGTGTTTGCAAATTTATTTCGTTTCAATTTCCATGAGTCAACAAATTTTTACATGTTATTTTTACATTTAACGAAGAATTATTTTTTTCAATAATTGAATCTTTTAATGGTTATTAAAAGAATATTTTATTATTGACTTGTGTTAAGATTCCTAATCAAATGTACAATTACACTAATCAGAGATATATTTTTTTTAAAAAATATTTTCATGCTTATAGAAATTTTTAAATTTTATGAAATATTGTTAAATGGTTAAAAAACAATATTTTGAGAGAAAATAAAGAAATATAAATTTGTAAATTTGTTGTTATTATAAAAAAAAAACATGAAGGATAATTTTTTACAATGCGGAAAAAAATACAAATTAATTTTTTTATGTAGACTGTAATATATTAATTTATTTTTAATTGTATAATTTAATTGAAAAAAAATTAAAATTAATGGCTAAAATTAATTTTATCGCTTATTTTCAAGTTTTTTTTTTTCTTAAACTTCGTATTTTGTAAATTGTTCAAATATTTCTAATGATTATAAAGATCGTAAGCAAAAGGCCTCTTTCACACATGTTCATAAAAGGCAAATTTTACTCGGGAGGATAAATTTCACTTAACACTTACCAAACCGCACATATTTTTTCTAGAAAAACAAATTCAATTTGCAAATCACTTGTTTTATAGAAAAAAAAAGAATATATTTACAGTTTTAAAATTATTAATAAAATTTGTCTAGTTATGGAAAATTGTTTTTTTTAAATGTCGTCAAATATTCCCCTAGGTGGATGCCCTAATTGAGAGCTGTTTATCGAGTATGTTCTCGCATCCTCGATGGATAAATCTCCAGATTGATAACCACGATCGATACGATTATTAGCACCGTAACCATCATTTCCAAATGTTGTGCCAACGTAGTATTCCGATGGATCGACGAAATCACGTAAGAGACCAGCTCGTGCAGATTCCGTGGACTCGTCTCTTTTCAAGGACATTACTGAGAAATATTTTTTTTAAAAATATAGAAATAATATTTTTTGAGGTTGATTATTTTTTTTATCCATGCCTATTGTCTAAATTGTAGACACACCTGTATCTGAATTTTGCCTTGAAGTTCTATAACGAGATGACATTGATGAACCAAATCTCTCCTGAAATTCCCGTCGACGACTCATTGATTCTTCAACACGTTGACGTTTCCTCCTCTCTGTAATTTTAATTGAAATTTTTATTTTTTCTATAATTGAATTAAAAAAAATGTTGTTTCCTACCTCTTTTAATTAATTCCCTTCCTTCTTCAACGAGATCAGATGTGAGTTCATCGTCACCTAAAAATTGTTGAAAACCAAGCATTGACAAAAGTCGACTTCCAACGCTAAAATACGTTGCCAAACAAAATCCAAGTATTGCCATGGGAAAATAAATATTAAATCCATCGGATATAATATTAATAACATCCATATGGCCCATTACTTGTGTATAATGTGTTTCCAATGTTCTTGCTTTAATATGATTTTGAATAATATGATGATATGAGTCCATATGAATGAGACTCAAAAAATTGAGACACAAGGGAGGTGTGAGACGACAAAACATCATACCACTGAATATCAAACTGTATTCATTTGTTTGATGATGTGGTGCTAAATAATATAAATTTAACACTCGAATTTTTAATATAGTTGAATAAGCACAATAACATAAATAAGCAATGATAAGAGTAGAAAGTATCTGAAAAGAAAAGAAAAAAAATTTAGAAATTTAATTTTAATTTTTTAAATTTCCAATTTTTATACTTACTTCTATTGTGAAATAATCGTATTTCTTGCTAGCTAATTGAATGAATTGAGCGAATATTGAAAGTACAGGATTCTTACTGAAGAAAGTTACTTCCGACCAAACAACAGCAAATGAAAGACAAGCCGCGGCAATAGCGGAGATTTTCAAAATATAACTTTTTAAAAAGCATTTCCAATACCATTCTGTAAAATTTTAATTTTTGTAAACAGAAATAAAGTAAATAAATTCAAATAAAAATTTCAACATACCGATTGAAGGATTGTAAATAAAACGAATTGGAAGTGGTCTTAAAACTGGATATGTAGCTTTAAATCTCTTATCATGACTAGCTTGATTTCTAGCAACATCCTCTAAATCTATAATATTGTCTATCAAAACTCCCCATTGTGTCTCCGTTCTTTGTAACGTTTGTAATGCTTTAATAGTCTGAAAAAAAAAATTTTTTTCAATTATTTTCTCTTCACTTAATTTATTTCAATTTAAATTTTTTTAAAAATAATTTTACCTGTCTATGTAATCGAATCAATGCTTTTTCCGAGGGCACATCAAGTGGAGTATCTTCCGGTAATTGTCTTCTATTCATTCGATCCTTTAACTCAACTGGCACTTTGTGAAATATAGTCTCAAGATTCACATGAAACGGATGTCCAGGATTAATTGCCGCCGATGCTGCTTGCAGTGACTTAAAAACAAAATTCAAAAATAATCAAAATAATTTCAATTTAATTAGAAAATTAATTAATTAACAAATTTGTTACCTCGAGAATATCGTCTACTGTTTCTTCAGCTTCACATTTTTCCATACTGAGTTTAGCAACTTTGAAATAACTATAATGAAGAGTATATCCAGGTTTACTGGCATTCCATAATCCACGTGGTACTTCAACCAATGCATATCCAAGCAATAAAACAAGTAAAAACAATCCCCAAGTATTCGATGCTGAAGATGCAATTGCTTTCAATTTCGGCCTATGGAAAAATTACATATAATAATCGTGAATATCTTTCGTTCATTCTGTCCACACCTGAAGTTAGTATTTGTTATAGGTCTTTTGTTTTTTTTAAATGTATTGTTTGACATTATTTTGTGTTGGTTAAAATTTTTCAATGTTTTTTTGGCATTGTTTCGATAATTAATTTTGAATCGAAATTTTAAAAAATAATTGAATTTTATTTTATTTTAAATTGAAAACTTGGTAAATAATTGAATTTTAAATTGAAAATTTGAAAATAATTTAATTTTAGTTGATTGTTGATTGAAAATTTGAAAATAATTAATTTTAGTTGATTGCTGATTGAAAATTTTGATAATAATTAATTTTGACTCGAAATTTTTGAAAATAATTAAATTTTAATTGAAATTTTGGATAATAATTTAATTTAAGTTCATTTTTAATTGAAAATTTCGATAATTAATTTTGAATCGAAATTTTAAAAAATAATTGAATTTTATTTTATTTTAAATTGAAAACTTGGTAAATAATTGAATTTTAAATTGAAAATTAGAAAATAATTTAATTTTAGTTGATTGTTGATTGAAAATTTGAAAATAATTAATTTTAGTTGATTGCTGATTGTAAATTTTGATAATAATTAATTTTGACTCGAAATTTTGGAAAATAATTAAATTTTAATTGAAATTTTGGATAATAATTTAATTTAAGTTGATTTTGGATTAAAATTTCGGGTAATAATTGAATTTTAATTGAAATTTTTGATAATAATTTAATTTAAGTTCATTTTTAATTGAAAATTTCGATAATTAATTTTGAATAAAAATTTTAAAAAATAATTGAATTTTATTTCATTTTAAATTGAATTTTATTTCATTTTAAATTGAAAACTTGGTAAATAATTGAATTTTAAATTGAAAATTTTGAAAATAATTTAATCTTAGTTGATTGAAAATTTTGATAATAATTAATTTTAGTTGATTGTTGATTGAAAATTTTGATAATAATTAATTTTGACTCGAAATTTTGGAAAATAATTGAATTTTAATTGAAATTTTGGATAATAATTTAATTTAAGTTGATGTTGAATTAAAATTTCGGGTAATATTTGAATTTTATTTAATTTTAAATTGAAAACTTGGTAAATAATTGAATTTTAAATTGAAAATTTGGAAAATAATTCAATTTTATATATAATTTAATAACATATAATAATAATTTTCATTATTTTCATTTAATATGAAATAATATTCTAATAAATTTATATTATTATTGATAATATTAATCTTTAATTTCTTTATAACAAACAATTAAATACTCAATTTGGCAAGCTTGCACGCGTTTAATATTGCTAGTATTATATTAATTTATCAATTATTTAGAATAAATAAAATTTAATTTTAATTAAATTTTAAATTTAATAAATTTAAATAAAATTTAATTTTAATTAAATTTTAAATTTAATAAATTTAAATAAAATTTAATTTTAATTAAATTTTAATTTCAATATTTACCCATCAAGATCTAATCCTGGCTTTAAGGCAAGATAAATTAAAAGAACTCCGCATATAAAAAGATAACTTCCATAGTAAATTGCATTGTCAATTAATGCCGATTTCAATTTTCCACGAACTGAAAAATCACCTGCTTTAATGTACGATTGCATTAAAGGAAGAATTAACCATGTTAATAATTGTGATGTCCAATAAACAATTCGCCATAAATTTGGATAAACATCATTTGGAACACGTGACCATGGTTCAATACATAAATGTAAAGGTTCATCGGTTGTATTGACAGTTGAATTTAATGTACCATTGTGAATATTTAATTCTACGCATTGTCGAAAAACCGTCTGAAATTTAAAAATTATTAATTTCTGACAAAATATAGCTCATTTTTATATTTAAAAAATAAAAATTATTTCTTACAGACGATACGTCGAGTGGTAAAACAAATATTATCAACAGGGAGAAATACCAGGCAATCAATACTGAAAGTGTAACGATAATATGTTGCCTGAAAGGATTTCCATATCTATAAAGTAAAGTCACTGCCAAACAAAAGGCAAGTGTCACCTCTGTTAATAATGGTCCAAGACTCATTTTTTGTTTTTTTTTTTTTTTTTTCTAATCTCTAAAAGTTTCTTCAGTTTCTTCAATTTCCTGAAATTCCTCGACTTTTTTTAATTCCGAATTATCTACGGATTTTTGTGATTCCTGGACTTTTTGAGCTTCCTGAATATCTTGTGCTTCTTTTAATTTTTCCTCAGCATCTTTTTGCATTTTCTCCAATTTCTCCAATGTGAGTGATTTCAAAGGCATAAGTTTTGGCTTACAAAGAATATAATCAATTAATTCCTCATGACAAAGAATACCTTTCTTTGGTATAATCACGTCAATTTGTGAAATATTCGTTGACATTTTCTCCAAATTAATCGAGACTGAAAAAGTAAATATAAAAAGAAGTATTTTCGAGAAATTTCGAAAAATTAATAAAAAATAATATTCAAATTATATTGATAAAATAATTGAGTATACAAATTGACAATTTAACCTAATTAAGAATGGAAGTAAAGTACAATTAACATTTTTTAACCCTTTCTCGTTGTTAAACGAAAAATATACAAAAATGGTAAAAAAAAAAAAGTGAAAACACGTGGGTCATACTACTAAACTAATAAAATATAAAACAGTGCTTTTTCAAAATTTAATTGCAAAAAATTTATAGAGAAACAAATATTAAATTTTTTAAAATATATATATACGACTAAAACCAAAATATGTCAAAATAGAAATGTGTCAAACACACGTCAAAAACATTTTATGTAAATTTTAAATATAACCTGTTAAAGGATAATAGTATTCACTTTCATCTTCACCACAATAATTGAAATTTTACCATTGTTCTTTTTTTTTTCAACAATTATTTCCAAGAAAAAATATGTTTTGTTTAGCCTGCGACAAAATTATCGACTTTTGTAACGTAACCATTCGTTAGTTCACTTTTTTCTCTCACTGAGCGCTGTCATCGTTTGAAAAATTTTTTAAAAATGAATAAATTATCTTAATAATTAATTCATTTCATATTTTTGTTTAAAAAAAAGGAAAGGAATTAAAACAACAATTTAATAATTGGAATAATATATTTCCAGATTTTATAACAAATTCTTATTAATAAATACAGCTACGAATCTCACACACACAGTAATAGAAAATAAAAAAAAAAATTTTAAATCAGTCGATTAAATTATTAAATTTTAAAATACTATATTCATTTTATTACAAATTTAAATATTTACGAGAAATTCTTATTAATTATAAAAGGATGATAAACTAAATAAAAGTAAAAATTAATTAATAAAGTTAATGAACACTTTGTTTACTGTTAATGAAATATTCGTTTCCTATTTAATTTTTAAGATAAAAAAGATAAAAAACTAGAAATTAAACTAATATTAAAGATTAATTATTAATTATAGAAATTATTATGAAAAGAAAAAAAAATGAAAAACATTGCACGATTTTTTTTTTAACTTTACATTCAATGACTTTTTTTTTTTGACGTAAAGTCGAAATACAAATCACCAAATGATTATTCGTATTCACACAAAATTCTCAATTAACTAAAAATTAATAAATAAATATTTGACTCAAAACCGAATGAATGAATTTGTGTTTTGTCAATGAAGAATGATTTTTCTTTTTGCAAGAAAACAATGAAATTTACAATAAAAAAAGAAGAAAAAAAAAAAAAAATTGAAAATACCTAAAATTATGTTTATGTTTCAAATTGAAACAAAATGATGGCAGTGTTAAAATTGCGACAAAAATTACTTAAAATTTACAGTCGTTTATCAAATATTCGTTTTGCACTTATTTCAATGAGATCTATACTGTTGTGCAAATTACGAATTATCACAATAATAACGAATATATCAGTACTAATTCTCCATTGACTTCTCAGCTGAAGTCACAAATTCTATAATTCCAAAAACTTATTGTAATCTCATGAATCACAATATTGACAATTTTTTAACAATAATTTCATACAACGAAATATTATTACAAAAGGGCAATTGAATTGTCTTTTGAGACAATAGTAATTTTCCCTTCAAATTAGTTTTGTAAATTTTTTTGTTTTTCAATTAAAACTCACTGTCCTTGAATATTCCGTTCTCGTAAAAATTTCGATGGAGTTGAACTACACATGTATTTCATATTTTCCTTCCATTCTGTGAGTCCATCTTCAGATGGTAATAATTTTTCATCCCAATGAAATCTTTCATGAATTACAGACGATGTGGTATAATTTTCAATATTATTTGTCGTATTATTAATACTACAAGTATGATAACCTGTATCTTGAGCTGAATTAAAAACACTATGCTGATTTGATGTCATTGATAATGTATAATTCTGTTGATATGTACAATTATCACTGGAAATAGTTTTACTCCAATCGTTTATGAATTTTGGTTTCTTCATTAACGAATTATTTTCATTCTCTTTAATTTTATATGAATTCTCCAATTGCATTGTCATGTCAATCGTTTGATTTTGTTCTTCAATATTTCCTTTTATATCCACTGGTTTCTTGATATCTAAAAAAAAAATAAATTTTGTTGAATAAAAAGCAAATTGGAGAAAATAAAAATTAAACATACTTGATTCTTTTTGTATTTCTTCGAATTTTTCCACATCTTTAATGGACATATCGATACTCATATCAGTTGTAAAATCTAATCGTGCCACAGTTCGAGCACGAGATTTAACACTTTCGTATGACATTTCATTGGCAATTTCGCTAATTGGTGACATATTTACAGGTGACATATTATCAAATGCCAATGGAGTTCCATGATTTCTTCGTAAATTTCCCGAATTGCTCTAAATTTTTCAATTTTATTAAAAATTTTACTTTTTATTTATAATTTTAAAAAATAAATTTAAATTACCCTTAGAGGTGTTGCATGAGTAAACATTCCACTTTGAAGAGGGCTACAATTAATCATACTTCGCGATTGTATTGGCGATAATAAAAGTGAAGATTCCGTATCGTCTTCCTGTGTATCGTCGTGAGCAAACAATTTTCTTCTCAAAGAACTATTACCACTGGAATTTGCCTCATCGCTCTCGACATTTTGTTCCTAATTTAGAAAAAAATTTAATAAAAGTCTAATTATATAATAATAAAATGCTTGGTCTGTCCTTCTGTCCTAACTTGAAGTTGTTTTTTTATGATTTCACGTGTTTTTTGAATAGTAATCTTATGACGTGTCAATTTAAACTTGAAAATTTTAGAATAAATTAAATTTCAAAAGATATTGTTAATTTTCAAACAATAATAAAATTTTACAGAACTAAAAATAGTTTATCAAAAAATTTTTTGGAAAACATTTTTTAAATTTAATTGAATTTTCAAAAGACTTAAAATTGAGATTTTAGAAATTAATTGAACTTCAAGTGATTTTAATTAAAATTTTATATGATTTTACTAAAAAATTTATTAAAAATAACAGACAAAATACAATAATTTGATATAATCATTTTTAATTGAAAAATGGTTTCAGATAGTTGAATTTTCAAAGAATATTATAAAAATATTTAAAAATAATTGAATTCCCTTAGAGTTATAATTGAAATTATTAAATTTCAAAAAATGTTCGATGGAAAATTTTAGAAATAATTAAATTTTCAATACTTTTAAATTCAAATTATTGAAAATTCAATTAATTTTGAATTCAAATTTTTTAGAATAATTAAATTTTCTTTAATTTTGATTTGAAATTTCGGAAAATAATTAAATTTCAATTAAAATTTTTGATAATAATTCATTTTTAGTTGATTTTTTATTGAAAATTTTGATAATTAATTTTGAATTGAAATTTTAGAAAATAATTAAATTTTATTTGATTTTGAATTTAGAAAATAATTGAATTTTAGTTGTTTTTGAATTGAAAATTTTGAAAATAATTAAATTTTCTTTGATTTTGAATTTAAATTTTGGGAAATTAATTGAATTTTAATTGAAATTTTGAATAATAATTTAATTTAAGTTCATTTTTTATTGAAAATTTGGATAATTAATTTTGAATAGAAATTTTAGAAAATAATTGAAGAATTTTATTTCATTTTAAATTAAAAACTACGAAAATAATTAAATTTTAAAAGATTTTGAATTAAAAATTTGGAAAGTAATTGAATTTTCTTTGATTTTGAATTAAAATTTTGGGAAATAATTTAATTTTAGTTGATTTTAGAATTGAAATTTTGGAAAATAATTGAATTTTTGTTAATTTTCAATAGAAAAATTTGGAAAGTATTTGAATTTTTGTTAATTTTAAAAAGAAAAATTTGTAAATTATTGAATTTTAGTTTATTTTTGATTGAAAATATTGATAATAATTAATTTTGAATTTAAATTTTTGATAATTATTGAATTTAAATTTTTGAGAATAATTGAATTTTAGTTGATGTTTAATTGAAAATTTGAAAAATAATTTAAATTTAGTTGATTTTAAATTAAAATTTCGGATAATAATTGAATTTTATGTGATTTTAAATTGAAAATTTGGAAAATAATTAAATTTTAAAAGATTTTAAATTAAAAATCTGGAAAATAATTGAATTGTCTTGGATTTTGAATTGAAATTTTGGAAAATAATTAAATTTCAATTACAATTTTAAATAATAATTCAATTTTAGTTGATTTTTGATAATTAATTTTGAAATGAAATTTTAGAAAATAATTTTATTTTATTTGAATTTAAATTGAAAATTTGGAAAATAATTGAATTTTAAAAGACTTTGAATTTAATTTAAAATTTAATAATTTAATAATTAATAATCTGAAGCCTATAAACATATAATTTTTATTTTTATCATTTAATATGGAATAATATTCTAATAAATTTAAATAATTATTGATAATATTAATTTTTAATTTCTCTATAACAAATAATGAAATACTCAATTTGGCGCGCTTGCGCGCGTTTAATATTGCTAGTTATTATTTAAAATAATAAAAATTCTATTCACCTGCGTAAAAGTGAAATATGGTTTCAAAATTTCTTCAACATGTGCTGGTAAATTCGGTGGAAGAGATAAAGTTGTCTGCGACCATGCTAATTACAAAAAAAACTAAATTAATAATAATAATTATTATTAATTAATTAATTAATTTATCTCAACTTACAATCTTTTTTAAAACTCTGAGACTCTTTTGTAGACGTATTTTCATTATACCCTCTTAATGGTGTCTGCATATCAATTTTTCTATAATTATTTTTATCACTATTGTCCCAGGGACTAGGAATAATTTGATTTTCTTTAAAAAATATATCTATTGCAGCTTGAGCTTGTCTTTCGACTTCTGGATCTGTACAATGTGGCTGCTGAATTGGAAATTCTTCTATTTTCGCCGGCTGTATAATAGCCAATTCATCTATATTCCAGCTAAATGTATTAGAATCTGACGAAGAGCTGGATACCTTTTTTTTTTTTAAATCGAAAATAAAATTCAAATAAATAAAACAATTTTATTAACTCGTGACAAAAAAATAGAACTTACCTTCGTAAAAACAGTTGGACTAATTACAGACAAATGTAGCCTGTTCGTTAATTCCGATTCAAAAGGATTTCTAGCAACGAATTTCGTTAATCCAGAAGGTGGTGTAATATGATTAGGTAAAAGGGCAAAACAACCAGAATTATTTTGATAAGATTTAAATCTTTTATCCGCTTGTTTGACAGGAGTTTTAAATGAAATAGGACTTCTCATCGAAGCAATGTCATGTAGAATATCATTTTTATTTGGAGTAACCCACTGCATTTCTTCTGATGATGAATTTTTTGAATTCATTTCTATTCCTATATGCTAAATCTGTAATTACAAAATTTTAAAAAATAATTACTACTCCTAAAAAAAAGGAACAAAAGCAGAAAATTATTTTGACAGAAATTTTGAGGTTAAGTGCATTAAAAATTTACATCACCTTTTTTTTGAAAATATCGAAAATATATAAAAATTATACGGAAAAAAGAAAATTACCTTATATATATTTTAAAAGCCTATTGGGAATATAAAATAACTGTCGTTTGTAGAAAGGTTACTTTTAAATTTCATATGTATTGAGCGCAATTATATATTCACAGATTAATTGAACATTAAACAAAATTTTTATTAAAAACTGATATCACAATTACTAATTTATATTATTTTAATTTGTTTAAATTATAAATTACTTAATATTTAGTTTGGCATCACAAATGAAATGCCATTCAACAGATTTTATGATTCTTACAAGCTTTTACCAAATTATCCATAACTTGTGAATTATTACATAAACTACGTATATTTAAATTTATTTTCAAAATAATATATCACAAGTAAAAATACCACTTTTTGTATCTTCTATTCTAGGAAATAATAAACAAAATTTAAAAAATTGGATAAAATAAAATAATTCCAAATTTGACATTGTTTTAACAACTTTGACATTTCTAACGGTAAATTCGTAATTTTTGTTAAATAAAGATAATACATTTAAATCTCCAGGAAAACGGTAAAGTCAGAGGTGGGAACTAATTACTAATTATCAAAATAATAATTTAAAAACTATTAAACATAATAGTTTTTATTTATATATTCTAACTTTAATATTAATTTTCATTAATCACTATTATAGAATATTTAAATATTTCTCCTGTTATTTAAACAATGATTTATTTTTCCTTTTGTAATGACAAGAAACTACCCAACCCTGTTCCGAACACTACCGAATAGTTACGAATATTCACGAATCTCCCAGTGAACCACAGTGTCATCCAACCATTTTTTATCATAAAAAAATTACAATGATCATTGTTTAAATTACTAATGATTTTATCTGTTTTGTGTAAATATATGATTAACAAATTTTACTCTATGTAATATATATACTCTAAATTATATGAATTTATGGCGTTTTCGAAAAGCAATTTTAAAGTTTACTTCATTCTCCGCTAGAGTTTTTCTCGCCTCATCCTTTAATTCGTCAGTGCCTGTGAATGTGTGACAATTGTATGTTATTTTGTACTTGCTTTCTTTCGTGCATTGTATGCATTGCATGTCGAATTTCAAGACCGCATCAAGGTGAGTGTTTAATCAAAAGTGTCAATTTTAAAAAAAAATATTTCCCACGATACGAAATACTTTTTTTTCTAATTTCAATCGAATGTGAGTAATTTCTTGGAATCCATTACTTTTGTATCATCGACGTTTAATTTTTCGACCTTTCACATGATTTTTACTCATAGTTTGTACAAAGTATCATCGAATATGTATAATTTAATTGATTTTGAAGCAATTTAATGCTTTTAAGTATTTTTTTCCGCAAACGGGCGTATGAGTTAAACGATGAAGACGTCACGCTTCGAGGATTGACGTTTACAATATTTTCATAAGTCTCACCCTCGTTCTCCAGTGTATACTCATACTGCAAGAGTAGAAATTCATGAGTGTTGGTTGGTGTAACTAAAAAATGTATGCCTGTGAAAAGATATAGGTACAAGTCACGTTTAATTTCTAAATATTAATTTTTTTTTTGTTTAATTAATTATTTCCATTTTACTCTATTTTGAAAACTGATGGAAAAATTTAAAGTACAATGATTTCATTGTTACTCTTCTATTTATTATTTTCTTTTGTTTTTCCTAACAATATAATTAATTTCTAACCTAAAATTATTAAAAAAAAAAAAAATATTTGTTTACCTTTATTACTATGACACTATTTTGTTTATTTATGATTTTGTCGATACTTTTTATTGAAAATTTTACAGTTTATAAAAATGTAAAAATAGGCTCGTTTTGACAGTTTTTACGCATTAAAAAAAAAAAAATAAAAAAAAATAGTAAAAGTGAAAACGATCAATGCAGTCATGGTCAGTTAAATTCTTAATACTATTAATTCTCTTTAGAGAAACCTTATTGCGGAAGACAATATGTGTAGTTTCCTCTTCATAATGTTGTGGCAATATAAATGTCTAGAATTTTTTTTTTTGAGATTTGTTACAACATAATGAATTTGGAAAATTTATTTCCCCTTTTTGAGAATTATAAACATTGAATTATTTACTATATTTACCTTTGAAAATCAAATTCATTTACAATTTTTTATTTAGTTTGAAATTATCGTAATTATTATTTTATAGTTAAATTAAATTAAATTTTAATTCATTAATGATTGAATGAAAAATATCTTACATGTGTATTTTCTTTTTATATATTGTTTATTTTTTATTCCCAGTTGATAATTGTTTATTAGTTGAATTTTTTCTTAATCCAAAGGAATTCTTGTTTTTCCTGTGTTTAATCAGATTCTATCTCTCGGTAACAATGACCTGAATGCTTGGCATTGAATGAAACATGAATGAAGACCCTGAGAAATCTTAAAACAGCTTCTTTAAAATGACACAGGAAATTATATTTTAGGATACAATCAAATCACAATAATTTCATATTTACATATATAGAAGTTATTTTTATATATAAAAATTTTTAAATTGTAATTTTTACCTCTCTCTACCTCTTTTTATAAATAATTATAGGGAAAATAACTAGATTTTTGAGATTCTCAACATATATTTTTATAAATTAATTATTTTCATTCATTTTTAATTTAGAAATTATAAATATAAAATTAATTTCTAAATTCAATTTAATAATAAAAAATAATTTTATATATTTTTTTATATAATTTTAATTTTATATTTTTTTTTTTAAGATAAAAATTGAGAAATGAGATACGAGACAGCGTGTTAAATAAAACAATAGCAAAATGCAAAGGATGTAACTGTTTCAAAATAATAATTAAAACATGAAGATCGTTTGGTAGACAAAAATTGATAAAATACGACGACATGTCTTTATTTTCACCGTCATTATCCATTTGTGTGTTAAGATAAGATAACAAGTGCTCTAAGAGCTTAAAAAAAGGGAATTTTGTAGGAAATAATTAGAAAACAAATTATTGTATTGTATTTATTTTTCACTAATTCAATTTTTTTTCTCATTGTTTCAGGTTGAAAAGAACAAATTTAATAGAAAAAGATTCAAAAGAAAGTTATAAAAGTGAGTGATTAACTTGCTGTTTATTGTGTGAATGTAACAAGGCTTTATTTACCATTTAGTCAGACTTTGTTTTCAAAAAAAAAAAAAGCAATTTTGTATATGTTTTCAATTTAATTTATTCGCATTTTATAAACAGTGATGCTTTTAAAAAAGCAAGAAAAATGAATGAGGAAAGAAAAACATTTTTTTGAAAAAAAGGATATTGAATAATTTTTTTTTAGCAAAAACGCAACATAGTGAATGAACATCGTTTGTCCAATTGAAATCAGTTAGTACGTTATTTTTTTTCCAAAAAAAGTTAATTTTAAAAAATAAAGGATAAAGGATTAAGTTTCTTATTTAGACGGTGAGGGTGTAGTTTTCTTTATAATTTCCTCGCGAATTTGGAGAATATTCAATTATAAAATTATCTTTTTCTATTTTCTATTCTAACAAGGTTAGATAAATTTTTAGTTAATAGATATTTTAACTAATAATCAACTTTTCACTTTGCTTCCTCATTGGGGAAATTGAAATTGCGAAAATGGACTAATTCTCTTTTTTTAAATATACTTTTTAGGCATGTTAAGTTTTAGATTAACAGTAATATTTGTTTGCATGTCTTTAGTTTAATTTTTTCCCATATTTTTATCGTTGACAAAATTTTAAGGTATAAATTATATTTTTATGGCTACATTAACAAAAATTTGATTAGAAAATTAATTTTTAATTATACCGATAAATATGCGACGATAAATATATTTTTTTATTTACAGAGAGTTCCAAATGAATTCTACTTTTTAAAAGTAAAAAAAGAAAAAATTCATGTGGAACTCTTTGTATAGAAGAGCAAAACTACTTTCTTTTTTTTTTTTTTAATATTTAGCGATAATGTTTTAGATGCGAAGGCAAGGACAAGACGTCATGCAGGTCAACTTAGCAGGAATTAGAAGAGATATTTTAAATCTCGCTCACAACTACAGCAATGCTCAGGTAAATTGATTAAATTTCAAAGAATTTAAATTTAAATTTAAATTTAAATTAACTTTCAAATTTGTCATTTTCTGCAAAGTATATTATTTTTCATTTAAAACGAATAATAATAATTAGTTGATAATTATAAATAAATAAAATTTATTTTAAATTTGCAGAAAGCGGTGCGTAAAGCTACAAGCAATGATCCATGGGGTCCAAGTAGTACACTTATGGCAGAAATTGCTGATTTAACATACAATGTTGTGGCATTTACCGAAATAATGCAAATGCTTTGGAAGCGATTAAATGATCATGGAAAAAATTGGCGACATGTATATAAAGCCTTAGTCCTTCTAGAATATCTGATCAAGACTGGTTCGGAAAGAGTTGCTCAGCAATGCAAAGAAAACATCTTTGCCATACAAACTTTAAAAGGTAAAATTTATTTTCAAAAAATATAAAATTAGTTTCTTTTTTAAATAATTAAATAACTATCACAGTAATTAGAAAAGAACTTTTTTTTTTAAAAGAAGAAAAGAAATTTCTACGTAAAAAAATATTTGTGGTCCTTAAAAGGACCGATTTTATTTGTTTGAAAATTAAATTCTTGTGAAATTAGTGCAGAAATTTTTAAAAGTACGAATACAATTTTTAATTATTTTCACAATATAATTTACTTTCTTTATGGGTAGTGTTTGCCTTCTATTCATTCTCCTTGAATATTTTCTAATTGATGTCAATTCCCTTTTTGCTCTGTTGAGTGATAAAGAAAGTAAAACTTGTAATCGAAGATTATTTTTTTCCTTCTTAGAGCCGTTGTTTCGTTTTGAATTGAGATCCTTAATCCAATTTTGATAATTTCGAATCAGTAACAAATTGTCCTTGTACTGCTCCAAAGATTTTGCATTCATTATGCGTTTATTTGCAGATTCCAAATTGATCGCTTTTTTTTATAAATAATAAAAAATATTTTTTTTATTATCACTGAACACAGTTTTAAAATTAATATTTGTAATCCTCTTTTTTCTTTAAATTATTGACCTCTTGTGAAACTAGTTTGGAATACAACTGACTGTTAATCACCTTGTAAACACTAAAGCTTATTGAAATATTAATAGATTTTTGTCATAGAGGGACTTCTTGTATGTTATTATAGATTTATAGATTATATAATTGATTGTTTTGAAAGAAATAAGAAATTTACTATCCAATGGAAATCGATATTAAATTTGTATTCAATTAATAATGGTTTCTATTTTTTTCTTCGATATTTGGGAATTTTTTTGTTATTAATTACTTCGGTTTTTTTCAATTACTATTTAGAGATAATTAAATTAAATATAAAGATTCAAACAAATTAACAAATCGCAAAAATTTAAAACATAATGAGAATGAACAAATAATGTAATTAACATTAAATTTAATATGATTATTATTTTTAATAACAAATGAAAGCGGAAGAAAATTATTAAAATTAAGTGATTATTATTTTTAATATTAATAATTAAATTATCTGAAACTAACTGAAATATTGTTTACAATTTTTTAAAAAAAAGATTTTTTATTTGAAAATTGAAATAATTGTTAAAGATTTTCAACACATGGAAGGTCCTAAGGATCAAGGGATAAATGTGAGAGAAAAAGCAAAGCAATTAGTGGCCTTATTAAAGGATGATGAAAGATTGCGAAATGAGAGGGCAAGAGCATTAAAAGCTAAAGAAAGATCGGTACAATCCCTACGTGGATTTGGAAGTGATGGAGCCGATACAATTTCTCCAGGCAGCGGTGATGTAAGTAAAAATATTTTATTTATTTACTATTCCTTTTTCTTTTCTAATTAAATTGTTTTTTTTTAATTTTAATTTATTTTGTAAATAAGCATATAAAAGTTTCAGGATTGGGAACCTTGTCAACTTTCTGAAACATCATCGAGACGTAAGTTTTATATTTTTAATTTACTATATATACATTGGTTTAAAAATAAAAATTTTTCATCATGTTATTTTTTTATATCGAATATTAATTGCTAAATAATTGTTCAGCGGAATTGGAAGCTGCAAGACCGCAGACAATTGGCGAGGAAGAGCTTCAGTTGCAATTGGCATTGGCAATGTCACGAGAGGAAGCTGAACAGGAAGAACAAAGAAGACGTAGCGACGATGTCAGATTGCAATTAGCACTTAGTCAAAGCCAACAAGACTTCAAGTAAGTTTTATTTTTTTTTATTTAAGGATAAGAAATTCTTTTATTTAGTGGAGAAAAAAAAAAGTAGAGTAAAATTGGCAAACGATAATTTTAGAACGTTGGGCAATGAAATAAATATCTAATACTGGATTATTTTTAGAATACCACAACCTGAGAAGCAAAGTCATATGCTTGATTTACTTGATGTAAATTTGGGGGAGGCCAGTGGGGCTAGTGCACAGGTAGATCCATGGGGTGTTCCAATTGCTCAGCCACCACCAAGACCTCAGGTAAATATCACAATAAATTCTTTATTTAATTAAACTCAATGTTTTTTATGAAATCCGTTCGCATGTTGCATGACAGTCACTGGATTTATCGTACTTTCGATTTAACGAGGTACGTGAACGTTGCACTAAAATCAAAACGAAAAAAATTCTTTTACAGCATAAATATTGGCCTTTTTTTTCTAAATGATAAAATTATTTGAAAATTGCAATCAAACTATAAGTAAATTACAAGTGTATTGCAAGTAAATTATAATTAAATTACTGTAAATTAATTAAATTAAATTTTTTACTTCAGGGGCAAAGTGATCCGTGGTCTGTTCCTACAACGAGCACTACATCTCCACCAGTTGTTGATCCTTGGGCTCCAGTTCCTCCGCAAAGACCAAGTGAGTCTTTCAAAAACAAATTAATCTCTAATTTTTTTATTCTGATAACCTTTGTTTTTTTTTTTGCATGTAATGTCATCCTTTAATTGATTAGTGGTAGCTGAAATTGCAGGTAAATATTTTCGTAGTTTGTAAAATTGTACAATTCATTCATTCCATTAAAACTTAAAGAATCCTTTTTTTGTTTTTTCGACAACAAATTTTTCGATTTAAATTTGCAATTTTGAAAATAATTTTCTGTTAAATTTCAGCTGCAACTGTCGATCCATGGCGCGCACCTGCTCCATCTCCAGCAACTGTATCATCGCCAGTGACCACAGATCCTTGGGCTCCAGCAGAATCTAGGGTATGATTATTTTAGAACCAAAAAAAAACTTAAACATTTCTAATAATTTCTTTTTTTTCAACAGCCTATTGGATTTAATATTCCATCGTCAACTAATGCTAATTTCAATTCAACTACAAATGGTTTTTCCAATTTCAACAATGGTGTATCACCGAATCAAGGAAACGCGAGTCCATTGAATGATTTAGATGAATTTGACATCATCAGCAATAGAAATAAAATTGAAACCAGTCCTCACATTGTAAACAATGGTAATAAAATATTTTTATATTTAAAAATTAACAAAATTATAAATGAAAAACGTCAATATTAAACGAGATAAAAAAAATAAAGGAAGTAGAAAATAAAAAAAAATATATCTACTCATAAAAAAATAGTCATTAATTTTCAATTTAATTGCAATTTTTTGATATTAAGATTAATTTTTAATTTTCCTTTTTTTATTTCAGGAAGTACAACTTCACCAGATCCATTTGACTTGGGTGGCCTAGGAAATAATCTTCCTCAAAGTACAGGTGCTGTTAAAAAAACTCCACAATCATTTCTTGGTGAAAATTCTGCCCTTGTCAATTTGGATAATCTTGTTAGTGCATCCGCAATAAAACCTGCTGCACCAACACCTACAAGTAAATATTATTTTTTTATTAACATTTTTCTATAAAACAATTTGTCAAAAGGGAATTTGTTTTCGAAGGTTTTGGGATAAATTAACTAATGAATAAATTAAATCACATTAATTGAATAATAAATTTTGCAATATTAAATATCTAATTAAATTTTCTAATTATAATTCCATATTAATCGAAATCATTCTCTATTCTATAAATTATAATAATTTTTAAATTAGTATTCTATTCTTTACGAGTTTATTCTCTTGGTAGAATCTTTATAAAAAAAAAAACAACTCTCTTCTTCCTTACTTTTTATATACTAATCTGCAATGGTATGTTTTAAAATAAATTTTTTACAATCTATAATTGTGTAAAGTAATAAAAAATTTAATTGTCTTATAAAAATATTAATATTTTATTTTTTTCTCTAATTTACTGAATTAACGTTATTCTAATTTAAATATTTTTCTGATTTATAAGATTTAAATATATTTTTCTAATTTACGAACTTTAATATTTTATTATATATATATGGAATGAAAAGCATGTTTTTAACTTTAATTATAATTTGATAATCGAAATTTTGTGACTTTAATTTATGTCTGCAAAACAGCATTTCATTGGAAATAAATTCGTGAGTATATTTAAAAAAAAATTTCAAAGAACATTGCATGACATGGAATGGCGTGCTAATTGTTGTTCAAAATTAATTTATGCTCAATAATATTAATGAGATTTAAAGCTTATTAAAATAGCTTTTTAGCATGATGGCATGGAGTGAATAATTTTTTTTATTTCTTCTTTTTTTGAGTGCTTTTCAAACTTTTGGCAAATGATTTTTTGATGTTTCACAAGTTGAACAATTTGTTTTTAATAATAATTTTAAAAAAATATTTTTTAATACAATTTTTCAAATTTATAATTTTGAAAAAAAATTTTAAGGGATAATTAATTAATATAATTAGTAAAATAGAAATAATTTTTTCTTTCTATTATTTTTTTTAAATAATAAATATTATAAAAAATTTTATTTCATATTTTTTTTTCGTAAATGAAAATGTTGGGTATCTTTTGTGCAAAGTAAGGAAGAAAAATAAATGGTAATTAGAAGAAAAAAAAAAAAGAATATTTTTCACACGTAAATAAAAATAATTTTGCAGTTACTGTCCCGTATTCGGCAAATCCGTTTGCAACGGCAACGCCTCCACCTCGTCCTTCAATTAATCAAATTCGACAAGATCCCTGGACAGCGAGCACAACTTCTCCAGCAAATCCATTTCTCTCCTAGCTTGATTAATTTTCAACTCTGAAGATAAAAAAAAAGAAAAAAAAAAAACCACCCACCAATTTCGAACATCTGAAAGTGTCTTTTTGACATTTTATATAATAACCACCGTCAATGAAAAAAAAAATAATTAAAAGTCCTATTGTATTATTCCAATTGAAATATTAAGAATTCACATTCTTGACAAATGAAATTCTTTTCTCGTTCGAAACGTATCGAACTTAAAAAAATAAATTTAAAAAAAGGAATCAGTTTACAAAACTTGCATTAGCGATATAATTTCTAGAATTGCAAGAATGTTGACTGAATTCACTTTTTTGAAATTCAATTTTTCATTTTTTAATGGAAAATCACAATTAAATTTTATTATAAATTGGAGATTTGCGCTCAAAATATTATCTAAAGCGTAAAATAAAACAAAATTTTTTCCATAAAATAAAATGAGACAAATTTCTCGAAAGTTATTTAGAAAAAAAATTCATCACCAAGTGTTGAACAAATTCTTTTTTTTTTTTGGGAAAATTTTGTCGATTAATATATTGCAAAACTCTAATTATAATAAATAATATTTATTTCGTCTACTATATCTTAGGCCGAAAACACATTTTATGCAATAAAATCCTAAAACAACATCGAAATCTTTTAAAGAAGCATTTGTGAATTTTTTTTTTTTTTTATTTAATGAAACCATGTGAAGCGAAAATTCGCTGATTAATTATTATTATTATTATTATTATTGATTATTGATTATATTGAAAGCTAGATTTTTATACGCGTGCTCTTTTGTTTTTCAAAAACCAGCACCAAAAAATCACTGTCGAATACTTGAGGCGAAATATATATATGCAAATGGCTTGACCATTTCGTTTTATACACTATGCCTTTTCTACTTCAACGAATCATTTATTATTCTAATTCTATTGTTTAATCAATGCTTTATAATTCATGAGAAGTATTTGATATTAGCAATTTTTGGTACTGAAAATCTGTCCACGCTTTTCTTTTCTTTTTTCTAATATCTTTTTTCTAGAAGAAAAAAAACAAATTTAAGAACAAATTTGAAAATACGTTTTCCGAAGTGAAAAAAAAAATTATAGTTTTAAGTTTAAAAAAAAATGTACGAGTAAAAAAATTTACAAATTATTTGTAATTGCGAGATGATGTGGGATTGTTTCCCGATGCTTTAAAAAAAAAAGAAATTGTAAATATCGTTGGTTTGAGAATGTATTTCCATCGTCTTGTTTCGTTCGCTAAGTATTACCAGATCATAATTTGTTTTTGTTTATTAAGAAAGCAACGAATGGTCTATGTCAACTTTTTTTTTTTTAAATATGACTCTCTGAGAATTTACTCTAATTTTTATGATACTATAATTGAATTATTGATTGTCCTCGAGTTGAAACTACGGGTAAAAAAAAATTCACGAGAATGAAATATTCTCCATTTTTTACACACAGCGTTTCTTCTAAATTTATAAATAATAATTGTTTATTTTCTTCGGCCTCAGGAAGAGCATGTCTAAAAAAAAGATGATAATTTTTATCACTAAAACTATTTTTTTGCTCCCTGGAATTATATTCAAATATTTTTTATTATGAGAGAATTTTATATCTCACATTATTTATATTTATATATATATATATGGTTTATAAGAATTTGGGGGCAATGTTATTTGGATACGTGAAAAAAAAAAAAATTCTAGGTGATAATTAAAAATTGATGTCGCTTGGAGAAAAATCAAATTAATAAACTGTATCAGTTTTTAAGAATGTTACCTTTAATTTATACACTGCATTTATATATGTTCAGTTAATTTTTTTTATTTTTTTGGTTCTTAAATGATATTTTATAAGTTTTTTGAGTATTAAACAAACCAAACGCAGAATTATTTGAATTTTCTCACAACGTCATCAATTAATTTTTTTTTTTTTTCTTGATTTTTGTAGCTTTTAACTATTATATTAATTCAAGAGCATTATTTTCCAAGTCTTATTAAGAGGGGGAAAAAAAAGCATCATAATAAATTATTATACATATATAAATATATATTTTACTAGGTTGCGTTATACACTTATTAATATTATTCAGCAAAATAAATGTAAAGAGAGCTGTATAAGTTCATCTGTATTAGGTGTTAAACTTCTGTTCAACTCAATTTTTTATAATGGAGATGTTATGAAAAATAGAATAAGCAAATTTTTCAATGACAATGTAAAATTTTGTCATTGTAATTTATTTTATTATATATATATATATATATATATATATAATTTTAAATATATTTTTAATAATTAACTGAAATAATAATTTTGTTAATATTTAATAAAAGACAATTATGTATCATTAGTATTTTCAAATTGAATTTATAATTCGTTATAAATTTTACTAATCAATTAACTTTTTAGTTAATTTATACATAATCGAATGAATTAATCCAAGTTTTATAAAAAATTATGGATTATATAATATTATATCTATAATATTAAAAACAACTTTGTAACAAATTTTTTTAATTAAAATTATTAGATATATTATTATGATTATTTTATTTTCCTTTTTTTTTATCATTATAATAATTATTATTATTAATATTATATATTAATAACTTGAAAATTATGCCAGTGAATGAAACTTTTTATTTTGAATAACATCTCGATTGTAAAAATTGTAATTTACTTTAAGACAAGTGATCGATAGATAAAAAAAAATTCAATTTTCTTCTATTTTACGATTTTTCATTAATGAAATTTTAATATGAAATTTATTCTTATAAGAAAGTTTTATATTTTATAATTTAATAAACGATTCTGTAAATCTAATTTCAATAAAATAAAAAAATTATTTACAGTGACAATTTTTTTTTCCATTGATTTTTTTTTTTTCTATCGATCATTCGTCTATTTTCGACTATTTAATATAATGATCATTCACTAACATGGAAGTAAAATCAAAAAGTGATATATTTAGTTAACTCATTGAGTTGTTTTTTTATAATACCCTGAAACCCTAAAAATTATTAATTTTTCTTTTTAATAATTTTCTTTAAAACACTTTTTTGATAATATTTTAAAGCTTTCGAGAAATTAAAAGTATTTAATTATTAAATTAAACAGTAGATTAAATTAAATTTAAACTTAAATTGAGTAATAATTGTGAATTTTATTTTAAAAAAATATTTTTAAAAATAGGTAAAAACAAGCGTAATTTTATATTGAACGTACGATAAAAATATAAATGCTTAAAGTAGCTTAAAGTACTTCATTTTAAAAAAAATAAACTTAAAAAATGTTTATGAAACGTATAAAGAAAAACGTAAAAAAATTTTCTAATTAAAGAGATGCTTCAGCTGATGTATCGACTGGAATATGTGGAAGAAAATGTTGTCTCACTTGATTATGAAGTCGTAAAATTTCCGAATCTTCTCTCTCTAGGGTTCTAATTAATTGTGCAAATTGAACTGTTCCTGAAAAAAAAATATTAACGTATTTTTTTTTTTTAAGGTTTAAAATTAAATTATTTTATTTTTCTGTAAAATTTTATCACATTGTTTTCTTTTTAATATTATTAATAACTCACCTTCCCTTCCTTCAGGAAAACCGTATTTTCGCAAAACTTCCATTTGAATTTGCGTGACAATTGGAAAAACAAACTGCATCATTTTTAACATTTCATTTCCTGAATTTTCTTTAGCAACAGACATTTTTTGTATATTTTCCGGTGCATTTAATGCCGCCAAAACATCAGTTAATATAGCTGAAATTTTGTTTAAAAATTAATTTATTTTGTTTTAAAAATGTTATTTGTTTGAAAAAATTTCTAACCTATAAAATTATGTTTCATTTACCTTTTGCAGATTCCGGAGTACAACTAAAGGTTGTCATTTTATAAAAAACATAAATATCCAATTAAAATTATAAAAAATAATTCCTTATTAAATTTGTCGATTTTAATTGCAAAATATGTATTTGTTTTTCTTTTCAACAACTGTCATGTCAATTGTCATTCGATGTTGATAATTACAGAAAATTATTTTATCGACTGGATGTAGAGTTTCTTCTTTACCTTATGAGGTTGACAGAAATTAACCAACAAAATTACAAACGTAAAAACGTTATAAAGTTTTTTTTAACGATTTTAATTTAAAAATAAAAATTACAACAACAAATTTGTAAAAGTCGGAGAATTATTTTTAAATTAATATATAGTATCGTGTAAAATGTATATAAAAAATTTATACATAAAAAATGAATTTATAAAACATAACCGATTTTTAGAATTCATATTATCATATTAAAAATAAGAAAATAATTGTACTATAAATAAGTGGTTAAAAAACAATAATTTTTATTATTGATTTCAATAGAATTTGAAAAGAGAGGTTATAATTTTAATTCATAATTTGAATCTCTCTTTTTTTTAGGACTTTCATCGATTGACGCATGCGGATCAAAATTCACTCTTCTTGAGTAAAAGGGAAAGAGAATAATATTCAAAAGCTTTTCCCTTAGGGGTTGCACCATTGAACCAAAGTTACCACAGGGCGGGGGTTGAATTGAACAAGACAGAGAAGAAAAATTCGCTTCGCTTCCCAATAAATACTATACACAAGAAGGGTGACAGATGTCTGAATATAAATGCACAGAATACGTGGTTTTTAAAGCACTGAGTTACATATTATCAATATCACAATACAAAATATTGACAAATAATAAAATTTTTGTCTAAACGGTATGTTATACATTTATATAAAAAATATTTTCTAAATTTCATTTTAATATATTTACATTTATATAATTGACAGTAATTTATATATGTTCATGTTATATTAATTTCTGAAAATTCAAATTTTAAATATATTTTTTTTTTCAAATTTTAAAGTTCTGGAGGAGGAAAATTTAATAGAAAATAAAATATTAATATATTACTTTGAAATTTTAAGGTACAAAATTATTTTTGAAGGTGCATTTTATGTAAAAGAAAATAGACAAAGGAAAAAAGAAAAATGTGTGAGATATCAAAGTGTCATCGTAAAACATTTCGCGATCAGGATCCACCGCGAATAAGAGAGAGAAGTACAGAGAACCTTCTCAAGGACGCTATTCAATTATCGCGATCTACTCCAAATTCCCCGACAACATTACAACGTGCATCAAGCATTGAGAAATGTTTCAGCGATTCAGAATTCTTCAAAAAACATCATCGCCAACAACAACAATTGTTACAAAAGCCGCGAGAAAAAAAGGAAAACGAAAAGAGCAGCAGCTCTTTAGAAAATACAACAACAACAACAACAGCAACATCAGTCAGTTGTAGTCGTAATCGAGACGCAACCAGTTCTAGTCGGGAGAATAACGCGTGCACTGAACCCGAGGAGATTGAAAACAGCAAGGAATTACTCGCCAATGTGCCTTTGTCCTGCAGAAGCAAAATTGTGAGTTTTTTCTTTTACCTTAATTAAAATGTTTTTTTTTTTTGATAAAAATATATCTAATCATTTATTTTTAATTAACATTCAGGAAAAAATGAAAAAAAATATTTACAGTCTACTGTAATAAAAATTATATTCCCCAATATAAAATCATTCGATTAAGCACGATGCAAATATTATAAATTCAAAATACGAACGTATTTTACGATTTATTATTAAATTTAATTAATTTAATTTAATTTTTTTTATTTATTAAATTTATTTAACGTTTAAAAATATTCCAAGTTACGTGCATGTAAAAAAAAATTTTAAATTCATTCATGATGTTATCGCAAAAACATTCTGTAATCTTATAAACTATATAATAGTGTAAATGAAAATCCAAGGAAAAGTTTTTCAAAAGTGATTTTACATTTTTTCAATGGATAAATATAATTTTTCATTTAAAATAACAAGAGAAAATAGAATTATTCTAATAATATTGGAAAAGAAATAATATTTTTTCAGCAGAAAAAAAATATATAACGCACACGGAAAATATAATTTTTTATTCTAAATAAAATTTATTTTTTTTATTTAATAATTATATAATAATAAAATGCTTGTTTTAGAATAATTCCAATAAGATATACGCATGATTTACTTTATATTAGAGAGGAAAAGTCATTAGAATATATATATGAAAACACTAACCGAGCAATAAGGAAATGTATATATAAAACTGAAATTTATTTTATTGTTACGGTTGAGGCAAACATTTTGTTTGCGAAGCGTGACTCAATTTTAACATCTATATATGTGGTGTATATAAAAGTAATTGAGTCTTAACATAAATCGAAAAAAAAAACAACTAGCTACCTGAATAAATACATGTTAATTAAAACACGATCAGCATTGGATGTTCTCAATCGAAGAAATACAAATTTTTTGTCGGGCAATGCTTCGTTTTTTTTTTTAATTCTATTTTTCTAATTGGCAAAAATCAAGAAACAATTTTTTATATAATACTTTTTTTTATCAAATTAATTTTTTTTTTTAGACCTTTTTATAAAATTTTTTTTTATTATTTATTCGTTTTATTTTTATAAACAAACAAAATTATAAAATTAGTAAATTATTTTTGTTATAAAAAAAAAATATACAAAATTTGTAAATTATAAAAAAGAACGGAAAAGTTGTTTTACCAACAGCCCAGATAGTTACTGGACCAAAATAATGTCATTTCGAGGTAGATTGATCAATATATTGGCAATATTGCACACTATCTTTTTCGTCATAAACGTTTTTAATTTTTTGAATATAAAAGTCGTTAAATGCATATTTCTATGGAAATAACTGTGATTAGTGGCATTTTTTTTTTTATTTAAATTATAATTTTGCGATCGGAAATACTGTGAAATAGATAGAAAAACACGCTCTACTAATATAAGGTCAAAATAACGCACAATATGCGGTCACTGACTTTTTTTTTAAATAAAACATTGAAGGGAAAGAAATGAAAGCAAGGAAAAAAAAAATTAATTCTCTATTAAAAGAAAATTTTATCGTATTTTAAAACGAAGTAATATGAGACGAAGCTATTACACCTATGACATTAATTGCAATATGAAGGCAAGTTATTTATAATCTTGCAAAACTCTTGTCATAGGATGCGTAATCCTTTTTTTTTCTATTAAAAAAAAAAATTCTCATGAAAATTATTATTACATATTTTACTATAAAATTTCTAATTGACATTTTGCTATTTTAAAAATTAAATTAATATTAAATAAGCGATTTAAAAAAAAAAAAAAATTTTTATTTTTTTCTGCATTGAAAAAAAAATCATTTTTCACGTATACGATTCAAAATATTCTCTCTCTTAAAGAAAGATGAATCATCTCGGCCTTTTAAAATTCCTAGAAAATCGTATTATTGCACTGATTGGGTTTGAAGGTTTTTAGCTTTTTGAATGGGGGTTCAGGTGGATGCTGCGGCAAGTTTTCTGCCGACCTGACACACAGACATTCCTTATAAAGGGATTCTGTTAAAGCTACTCTCACAATGATTCGTTCTCTTGTTATTGGAATTTAATCTTTTCGAAAAAAAAAAAAATTTCAAATTTTTTATTTATTATTTAGAAAAAAAATAGAAATTCATTTTTAATTTTGTTTCTCTTTTGAAAATCATTCAAAATTTACATAATATAATTAAATTTTAAATCTAGTTTACAGTGTGAAATTTCCTTTAGGAATAAAATGTGTTCTGGATGCAGCTTGCCACTATAACAGCCGGTCGTACCTTTTAAAACATTTTTCTCCCATCGCAGAGAGTTTGTCTTAAATTTCAACTGAGAGCAATGCTTTTCTTCAAATAACGCCAAATAAATACTAAATTTATACACAATAGTTTAAAAAGAAAATTTTGTTTTTATGGGGAAAGTATTTTTTTTTTTTTTTTTTTTTTAAATTAGATGAGAATAGTATTTTTGTTTATGAAACAAGAAAAAAAATAAACTCGTGTGAAATTTCGAAATTTAATTATAAGACATAAATTTTTGCACTAATTTAAAAAAGAAAACAAAGATTTTTTTTTTACATTTTATGTACAATTATTTCCGTATTTTTTTCGTAATTTTTCATTCTATTCCAAAATAGTTTTAATTATTTTTATTTAATTCTTTAATTAAAAATTCTACTTTTAATGTAGAATATTTTCAATATAGAAATAATTTGGGGGAAAAAAATTGAAAAACTTAGAAATATAGAAATTATTAAATTAAAAAAATGAAATTAATTTATTTAAAGTCGGATATTATTTTTTTACTATGTAGTAAAGAAACAAACGATTCGTTCAAGATTATGAAGAAGCAATGATCATCAATTATATATGAAATTCTCGGTATTCAGATATAAATTTTTACGATCGTGATATTTAATTAGATTCTTCTTCTTAAAAAAAACTTTATATGCTCCAATTTCTAAAATCATTGTAATTAAAATAAAATTGAAATATTTATTTCTTGTTATATATATATAAATCAATAGATTTTATATACAACAAAAAAGAAAGTGGAAAAACTCTTCTAACTCATAAATCAATTTAAAGAAAATCTTTTTTTTTTGATTTATTGAGTCGTTATCAATAATTTGTCATCACACCTGGCATTTGTGAATTTATAGATTTTTTTTTTGATTTAAAAAACTTTCGCTATTTGTTAATTGTATGAAAAAATAATTTGCAAAATAAATTTTTTTTTTTCTGTTTTCCAGAAAATATTTCGTAATTCAGAATTTTATTAGAAACTTTTTTTTGGAATCTCATTAAAAGTGTACATAATTCATCATTGTTTTTTTCGTTGCGATTTTTATCATAAAATTACGAAATTTTTCTATGATTTTTTTTTTTCCGATGTTACACAATCTAATTGGCACAGTAGGCCTGAATTCATAAAAACAGAATAAATAAGGAAAAATCAGTATGTAAATATATAAATTTATGTTATTCAAAAGTTACGTATTGCTTATATATTACATATGTACCGTTCATTGTTACAGATTAAAACAAGTGCATTTATATATATATATATGTAGGCAGTAGGAAATGTAGGCATCACCTCGTGAATTTATATACATATATAATACAAGATATGTATTACATATGTTCAAAGTGAAACGCAAGGTGAACACGTTACTGAATTAAGTGTATAATTAAGAAAAATGACATTTTTATCTGTGCCACACCAGCAAAACATTTTAACTTATAGTAAATAGAGAAAAATTTATGGCTAGTCGAAATTATAGATAAATATTTATTTATTTTTTTTACTCAAATTTGAAAATTCGGTTTAATTTCATTTTTTTTTTAAATTCAGTTAAATACAAAATTCTATTCATTGGAAATTTGAAAATCATAATTTATTTTTTTTAAACGATTGTCGTAAAGAAATTAAATATTTAATTATTTATTAACAAAATCTCATTAAAATACTTTGGTCATTAACAGCTTATCTATTTTTTTTTTAGAACAACTTTTTGAATTACGAAAAATTAATTTGGTACTGCGTAATTATTGAAGAACGTAACAAATAATATTGAGAATAAAATTAATGATAAAAAATAATAATAATACTAACAAAAAATAATAATACTAACAAAGAATAATAATGAATATTAATAATTAGAAACGATTCATTTAAATATGAAAGAAATATTATGCTAAAAATAGTATTATCATAAAACCAATAAAATATTTTTCGATATCATCATGAATGAAAGACTCTTACCATTTGTCATTTAGTAAAATATGAAATAAACGTTTCCGTATGAAAAGAATATTATTTAAACTACCGTTTAATGATTTTTTTTTGCAATAATCAATATTTATAATAATAGTAAATTTCAAAAAAAAAAAAGAATTTCCTGGTTAGTGTCATAAATCTCAGAAGTGCATATAATTTATCGTTGATTTAAAATTAGAGAAAGTCTATGGAGAGAATACTTGAGACTGTAAAAAAAAAAAAATAATTTATTTTACATTTTTGATTCGCGCCAATAATTACTTGGGTCAATTTTTATTTTTTAAATAAATCAATTTTTCATAACAAGTTGAAAAAGATAAAGAAATATAATATATATCTAGTTAAGAAATATATTGTGTACATCTCTCACGTATGCTCTGAAACATAAAAGGTAAAACAGCTAATGACCCAACTTGGCCTTGACTTTGAAGATAATTATGTATTTAAAAACATATTTCCTCTCAGGTAAAATATGTAAATTCTCTTATTTATAAGCGAATAAAAAATTAATATAATGAAAAAGTATTTTTCAAAAAGTAAAAAAAATAATAATAAAAGAAAGAAAAATTTTATAAATTGATTATAGTTAATTTTATTTAAAAAAAAAAGGGAATAAAAGAAAAGAATCGAAAATATACGCAATAATCGATTCTTTATTATGTATGTTTTTTATTATGTAAATTTTTTTTTAAAAACTATTTTATGTAATTTTTTTTTTTTGAAGTCTATAAACAAAGTTACGTTGACTATATAATTGATCGATGGCCTATAAGGTGAAATCGAAATTGAGTATATCAATATCTCTCTCTCTCGATTTATTGAAAATTTTTAACCGCGATACAATAAGGAAGTAATTGCAAAAAGAAAAAAAAAATTAAGTGAGAGTAAAATGACGCATCATTTCCGAGTATATATATAATACATAATCACGATCATCATCTTTTGCTCCATCGTCATTGTTCGAGTAAAGATTTGTTATCTGAATGAGCACTAAAAAAAAAAAAATTGTGTATTCCTTACATTCAAGCTATAAAGCCGTTTTGCTTTCTACAATATTATAAACATAAGTTGTTCAATTGACCATAATATACAAAATATTCTATTTTCCTTCCGCGAATTTAATTTTCAAATTATGACAATATTTTAATTTAAAAAAAAAAAATTTTTTCTTTCGCATAATTAACCGATTAAATAAATATTTTAATAATTAATCAATTTAATAAATATTTAGTTAATTAATTAAATAATTAATTGGATTATTAAATTATTAAATAATTAGTTAATTAATTTAATAAAAGGAGTTATTTTTCATTTCAATGTAAAATTCCTTTTTTTGTAAACATTTTAATTAAGATTACGACACAATTTTTTTTTTTTTGTCAACAAATAGGTAGAAATTAATATTTATAATATGAATAAATTTACATTCAAATATGCGATACATTAAGATAGAAATAATAATTTATTGAATATCAATTAATTGCAATTATAAATTAAAATAAAAAAATAAAATTATTTCTTTTTAAAAAATAAAATAAAGTTTTACCTGTTCTTTTATTTTTTTTTTTGGTTCAAAATTGCAAAATATTCTTACATAAAAATGAATTTTCGATTTCAAAGTTCCTGAAACGCACTATTGAAGCCAACCTTGAAATTCTCGATCTGCCTTAATTAATCATTTCTTTTCAAGACAAAAATGATTTTGTTATGTATTGGTCATTATTTGAAATCAGAAAGTCAATAATTGAAAGCATAACATTCTATTATAATCGACTTTTACTTATTTTGTTTTGTCATTCATAATATCGAAAAATATTTATTAATTTTTATTAACTTTAAGAAATTATTAAATAAGAATTTTATTTATTCGACATTCGATTTTATAATGACACTTAGCTTTTAAAAAAATATAAATAATTATAATAATAATAATAATAATAATAGTAATAAAAATAATAAAAATAATTGTAATTAACAAGGTGTTGCAGATATGTATAAAAATTGTATGGATGCGTTGGTGGATTATTATATACATATATATACATGAGCGTGAGTGAAAGTCCTCGTGGTTTTTCGAGGGAGTCTAGTCATTGGCAGCATGTTTCCTCTCGATGAAATTTTAGTATCCAACATGCTCTCGAGGAGCTTGGTTCTATCCGGATGTGAATACTTTTACAAGAGTTTATCTCGCGTGTAATTTTTTTTTTTCTCCTTTTTGCTCTTTACTGTCTTGTGATTCGTGAAACGACAATTTTTTTCAACACATAAGCCTTGAAATATAATTAAAAAAAAAGAGAGAGACAATTAATCGTCATCTGTTTAAAGAGAATAAAAAAAATTCTCGAAAGGAAACGAGAATGTGACACAGCTGTACAACTGTGTGTACAGGTACGTCATAGAATACGCCAATAAATTGCGTTCAAAAAAAATTGAATTTCAATTTTTTTTTTCTTCAATTAATTCAAATTCTATTGAATTTTTGAAAAACTAATATTATTCACAATTATTACGTGAAAATATGTAATTTCAAAAATATTTTTGAATTTTAATTTGGAAACTATTTATTGTATTTAATTACTTAACTATTAAGAATTATTAATTAGAACAAAATAACAGTTATTTTATTTATTTAATTTAACAATATTTAAAGGCTTATGGAAATAATTTGATGAATTGAGAATAATTCACACTTTTTGGGAACCTATTTCAAAAGAGAAATTAATTATTTATAAATTATTATTATTATATGATTTAGAAAAAATAATTTTTTTTTGAATTGCGAATTTAATTTTCTGTTTGAAAATATAATTAATTATCGTGACATGTCTGGAAAATAATTGATGTTTTTTTTTCAAAATATATATGATATTGAGAAGAATATTTTACCACTCCTACGACTAATTAATTTCAATGAATAGTGCTTGTATGTATTGTGTGAATTTGTATATATATATAAAAATTCACTTGAAATACACTTGGAATATATATGATCTTGAAGACGTAAAGCAGTATCCGTTATGTATGTAGTATTACTTTTCTTGTCTTTTTCATTTCTGGTCGAGCGCTTGAGTGGATTCTGACTTGCTTTGGATTATACTCGGAAGCACACGTTTGTTAAAAGTTAGTAGTCGAACATACCGCGAATACTCAAACCTCTTCAAACAGGTTTGCGTGTTTATAAAAGCGAAAAGTGCAAACGACTCGACTCTCAACACTGATCGTTACATCTTAATAGTTTATAAATCAGTTTCTTCATTTTTTTTTTAATTTCCTATTAAAAAAAGAATCAGTAAATGTATTTTACACTTTCAAATTTTTTTTTTTTAGTTACAATAATAAAAATTTTTGCAAGAAAAATTATATCATCATTTGCTTTTACGGATCATTAAATCTGTTTTTTTTATTATTATTATTTTCGAGAAAGTAATCAATTTTTATTTTGTTTCGAAAATAAATTTTTTATTTTGTAAATAAAAGTTGTAATTAAAAAATATTTTTTCAATTAATTATTATTTGAAATTATTTTTCTTCTTGCAATTCGCAAACTTTATTTTCCTTAAATTTTATTTTAAAAAAACGTTTTCAAAATTTTTCAAATAAAAAGTATTGTTTTATCAAAGCATTCAATTTTTTTTAGTGAAATCATCAGTTGAAAATAGTTTCACAGCACTTGTGTTTTGCTATCGACATTTCTTGCAAGTGACTCAGTTCAAAAAAAAAAATATTTTTATTTTATATGAATGTCAAATAAATTTTTCCAATTTGTATTTACAAATTCGTAAAAATCGATAAAATAATATCTTAGGAATTAGGGTTTTTTTTCAGACATGTAAAAATTTAAACTAAATTCAAAAATAATTAATATTTTTCGCGGAAGTGTAATTTTGTCGTTATGGTATGTACTTGCGCTCTTTTGTTCAGTGTCAATTGTTGACAGAGAAACTGACGAGATATACTCTCCATATAGATAAAAAAAATATTAGTACACTTTTTCACTTCCTTCCGTTTAGAAAAAATGGTGAAAACATTTTATTTTCAATATAGAAATTTATTATTTTATTTATTCAGAAAAAACATTTTTATTCATTTTAATTTTTTTTTTTTAAATTTATAATAGAAATTTGTTCGTATTAATTTAAAAAAAATTATAATTCAGTCTCCGAAATGAATGATTTTTTAATTGATAATATATTATGTCATTTTCAGATAATCATAAACCAAGTGTCAGAAAAAGACGATAGTAACAACTGCGATAATTTAATAAACGGTGAGTCGCACGCTTTAATTAATTTTATTTCAGAATATTATCTGTTACAATGGACATTCTTTGTATGTTCACGGCTGACTCTCAATTTACTTCAATTAAATTCCGTCCACCGAAAAGGGAGTGTGGCCCTTTATATAGAGACATAAAAAAAAATAATCCAACACTATATTTTACTCCTATACTTTTATATTTAAATTCTAATAATAGATTTTATTGAAATTAATTTTCTTTAAATTAGTAATATCAATTCTTTTTTGATATTTACTAAAAAAAAAAATTAGTTTTATTTTTCTTTTTAAATTGAAATAATTTGTTTTTAGATTAAGTTAATTATTGATACTTTACGAGAAATTAAAAAAATAATAATTATCCATTTTTAGAGTAAAAAAAGTATATAATTGACATTTATGAGAAAATAAAATTAAAAAATTATAATTCAAGAAAGTAGTAAATGGAAAAAATTAAATGTAATTTGTAACAAATTCTAATTACTTTTTTCTAGAGAAAATAAAAATTATAAAAGATGAGGGAAAGAATATTTTCTTCTATTTTTATAAAGAACAAAATTTACCCGGTAGTTATTACATATAGTGAGGAATATATATATATTTTATATATTATAATATATTTCACATCACTTTACATTACAGAAGCTCGTAATGACTGTGAAAAGATCTATTATGGCTTAATTATGGACCTCGTTCGTATTTTGTTTCTGTTCCTTGAGAACATGATGAATTTCACTTTTTCAGCTCGTAAACCGCGTGTAATCCGAATCCCCTGATTTCCGTGTGACAAGAAAGTAATACTTTACACATGCGGGTAGATCCTTTTCAAAAAAATTATCACGCGCTTTTAATTTCGAAAAATAATATCCTGGTCTTGATAATAATATCCACTTGTTTCACAATTTTTTTTCCCCCATCATTGAGAAACAAATTTTTGGAATTTTTTGAATTTAATAATATTTAAGAAAATTTAATTTAAATAAAAAATGAATTTTACGAATATTAGTCTAAAATTAATTTTTTTAAAAAAAATGATTGAAGAATATTTTCTGGATTTTCAAGAAGTAACGCGCTACAGGCAGATGTTACTTTAAGCTTGAATATTAACCCCTTGAGCATTTGATGGGCAATTTCGATCCCCGATAACTGCTAACGGATCAAAACCTGAATTTTGCATCTTCGACGGCTATATTGCTCGCAGATTGGAATGCACTCGTGTATGTGTATATGAAACGTTTTCAATCAATTTACTCCGTAACGTCTATAATTAAAGGATGGAAAAAAAAAAATTAGTACATTAAAATGCAAAATAATTAATAATATTCAATTTCAAATGCATGGCAATCAATATAATAAATAATATCAATAAATCATTAAATTACGAATTTTAAATTAATTAATTAAATTTACTATTATAATTAATTATTATATAATATAATTATTTATAATAATAAATGACTTTTGTAAATTTTGAACATTTGAAATTCTTTAATACCGAGTTTATCGTTGTTAAACAAATAAAAAATTTATGAACTACATATTCTGAACATTGCAAATATTTGAACTACTTCGTCACAAATGAAGCAATTACGACGTATTTATAGAATTCTTATCAGCTTCTTTTTTTTTACCGATTTTTCGAATTTATTTCTTCTCGTATATTATCTGCTCTAAATCTTAGTTTTACAAAAGAGAAAAAAAAGAAATTTCTTCAAATGCAAAAAAAAATTTAACAGCCTAATTTATTGAGAATAAATTTTATTGATTTCTAGTTCTAATTCATTTATTTTTCAGTACTTTCCCTGCTTTTTGAAGTTAATTGCCGGCAGTAAATTTTCAACTTTCTTCTTTGTATATTAACAACAAATAAAACAAAAACGAAAAAATGTATAAAATAAACAATGCATAAAATTCTGTAATTAGAAAAAAAATTTCATTTTTTTTTGATTTTATATATTATAGTGAAAAAAAATATATTTATAGAAAATATAATATTATTTTGTTAAATTTAATGTCTGTAACGATTGATGCAGAAAATTTTACGATTAGCAATTGCAGAGAAAGTGTTATATTTTTATAAATGGGGATTTGCAAAAAAAAAAAGAAAAATATCGCGAAATCGATAAATATAATCGAAGATACAAATGGCTCTCTTCGTTTCCGCACTATTGCCAAGAAGATTTTCCCGTAATATATATATATATTTCTTTAGTATTCATTTCCATTTTTGGTCATGCTACAAAGCACATGAATTTATTGTCCAATTCAATGAGTAAGAAAGTTTTTTTTTTTTTATTAACGATCGACTATTGGCTTTTTAACGAGACGCGTTTATTTTTTTCGTTTAATTATCAAATATTTCGAATCTTAAAAATCAAATTTCTCTATAATTGAAAAGAAAAATTATTTTACATTAGAGATAAATCTATGTTTTTTTTTTTATAATCGGTCCCATTATGCACTTATATACAAATAGTTACGTGCATTATTTCACCTTGACGTTTATAAACTATTTTAAACGCGTATCTGAAGTAAATTCTATATCCCATTAGTATGTGAAGCCCTACACAAAAGAATAGCTTTGATACTGCTTGAGTGGTGAATATACAGCCACCCACTTTATGTCAGTGCAATATGCAACTATGGCTGATCATGGTTCGGTCAGGTCCAGAATTGCAATTTTAGAAGGTGACTAAAAAAAATAAAAAAATTCGAGCAATTTTTTATTTCAGAAACAAAACAATATTTTTTAAACTCAAAAATTTATTATTTAAAGTGTGATTTTAAAAATTATCCAAATTAATTTTTAATTTTTAATTTAACGAAATTTAATTGAAAAAATTGAATCTCGAAAAAAAATTAATTAGTTGTTTTTTTTTTCAGGAAAAGAAATGGCACCAGTTTTTGGAGTACCACCCCCTCCACCTACTCCTCATATGGGACCTGATGGTCTAATCATACCAAAAAAGCCTTATAATCCATGTATGACTTCCGGAAATCACAAAGATCTCCATAGAGAATTATTGTTCAATCAAAAAGTGTAAGTAAATTAGAAAAATAATTTTTAGCATTCTAAAAAGAAAAAAATTGTAATTTCAAATTATTTGAAAAAAAGAATAATTTTATCAAATTAAAAATATATAAATTAAATAAAAGTATAATAAGTATAATAATAATAAAAGTTTATTTTTTGATTATAGAGGAAAAAATGTCTTGAATCAAAAAAGTGAACTTCAGAGAGCATTGGAAAGGCACAGAGAAGCAATATCAAGAAAAGAAGCCGAGAGACATAAGGACGAATGCTATAAAGATGATCCACGAACGGCCCTTCAAAGAGCCATTGAACAAAGGGCAAAGCATATACAAATAATGGTTAGTATATTTTTAAATTGATAAAAAATAAATCAAAAATTAAAATAAATTTAATTTTCAAATTTTTTATTATTAAGGATCGTTTATAAATTACTTGCAATAAAAAAAGGGGTAATTTTTATATTTTTTTTTTTTTAGCAAGAACAAATTCAACAAGTGGAAACACCAAATCCGTTGGTAACGGCAAGGGCTAAACTGCGATCGCGCACGGATTCCCAATAATTTAATGATAATAAATCCCAAGTTGCCTAAGAAATTATTTTATTTTTTTTTTTTTTTACTTTAGGTTAAACACGATAGTCGCTATATTTAATTAAAAAAGTAATATTTTATCGCGACTATCAACCCGACTGTGTAAATAAGTGGAATGAATTGTTTTCTTTTTTTTTTTTTTGTTTTGAATGTGTGATTTTTTTTCATAAACAATTTTTTTTTTATAAATAAAATTGTTAGATTAATTTTCTTTTTTGCTAGAATTATTTATGTACATTATATTTTATATGCTTTTAATTTTTTTTTCTTCACGTAATATGCCATGACTCGAGAATTTCACTTATCTACGAATGCATAAATATATTTGCATTGATAATTTTTTTACAGATTAATGTTTTCAAAGAATTTTAAATATTCTATCTAAAAAAAAGTGTATGAAGTTTGTTTTTCTCTTCATTCACCAATATTTAAACGTTCGTTCGTTTTTTGAATTGTCGAAAGAAAAAAAAAAAATGTAAACGTAAAAAATAAATTTAAATTATCGGTTTCAATTTACATTATTGAAAATAGAAATAAATTTTCAAATATATTTTTATTCAATGTTCATTGTAAATATTGTAATCTTCTTCGACGAAAAAAAAAAAGAAATAGAACTTCAAGTCCTAAATGCACCTTTCTGGTTTTTTTTTTCTCTCGAGAATTTTGCAATATTAATTTGCAAAATGATTATAATAAAACATTTTTTTTTCAATTTTTTTTTGCGATTATGCAGTTTTCTGTGTGTGTTTTTAAAATCACATAACAATTATTGTAATTACAATTTCCAAGAAAGAACTTATAAAAAGCAGCCAAAAAAAAATGTTTGGCTAAATTTACTTCTGTTCCACAGAAAAAATATGAATTATAGAACGAGAAAAAATATATATATAAAATCAGTTGTTTTTTTTTTTCTTTTTCTTAGTAATAAAGTTGAAATTCATTCATATTTTACATACTGTTGTTGTTTCAATAATCGTCTCCTCTCGAAATTACTTCCTTGCATGTGGGACGAAGTACCAGAGTATGCTCAAATTGAGCAGTATAACATCCTTTCACATCAACTAATGGAGGATAAGCCTCAACTGCGCCCTTGTCACACAAATCCTTGAGAGCCATTTGATACTTGGTGCAGCCAACTCGGTCCAACCAACGTTTGCAAAATGCCAAGGTACCTGAAAAAGTTAAAATTAGAATTAGAAAAAAAAATTTTAAATTAGAACATAAAAACAAATAAATAATATGTTGTATAAAATTAAAAAAAAATGTAAAACAATTCTTTGTAAATAAATAAAAAAAAGATATCGAATCGTCTAATATTTTTGCATTTGGATTTGCTTTCAATCGATGTAAATAACTCACTGAAATGCTTATTAATTGTATTCAAAAGAGATTTGCTACTCTGAAGTCTTAATGGAACGAATCCAGCATCAAAACTCTTCATATAATGCGAGCAATCCAAATCATCGTGAACAATTCCCTTTCCTGTCGAGCCAAATGTTTCAATTGCATAAAATTCATTTTCCTCCATTCGCGTTGCCTCGCCACCCTTTACAATTGGTACTGTTTTTCCCGCATGAATCCGATATGGCGCAATTGAATGTCCATTCAAATTTCTAATCGATTTTACCTGAAAAACAAATTTATATCTTTATAAAAAAAAACAAAAATGAAAAAAAAGAAAAAAAGTTAAATGATAAATGTAAAAAGATTAAAATTAATGAAATTCAAATTTATGAAAATGTGATAGTTTTAAATTTTTTTCTACCTGATAAGTTTTGCCGTCTAATTCAATTTCATATGATTCCATCACCTCTTGAATTGCAGCACCAACATCACATAATTGAACATCAATACCAGCTGTTTTAATACCTGTATTTGTAGCATCACGTACAGCCTCAATGAGCTTATCATATTTTGGATTAAATGACAATGTAAATGCACAATCAATAATTCTGCCATTAATATGTGTACCAAAATCAATTTTCGTCACATCATCATATTCAAGAACTGTTGGATCACCAGCATTTGGTGTATAATGAGCGGCGCAATGATTTCTTGAACAACCTGTTGGAAATGCTAAACCTGCTTTTAATCCATTCTCTCCAATTAATCTTCTTGCAGTGTCTTCAAGTTCATTGCAAATTTCAATCATTGTCATTCCCGGTTTTACCTGCAATTTTCAACAAAATCAAAAACTAATAACAAATAATTAAATAAATAATATATATAATAATAATAATAATTTTGTAAATTTTCTCTAAAAAAAAAAATTGTATACAAACCCAATTCATAATATGCTTTCGTGTTCGTCGATGTGCTTCAGCAGCTTGTCTTGCTTCATTATAAATATCATTATGCATTCGATCAAGAGCACGAGCTTCTTCACTTGAAAATCGATCTTTTGCTGTTCGATCATCAATACCAGCTGCTGGTGGATGCTCCATTATTTCACCTTCAGGAAAATTGCCATCGGGAAATAATTCAGAAACCGGCATTGATATACAATCCTGTTGATTAACAGCACCTTTTTTAGCCTTACGTTTCTTCTTTTTCTTCTTTGCCTCTTCAGTTTCGGCACCATTTTCCGTCACTTCTTCCGTACCTTCATTTTTTTTTTTTTTTTTTTTATTAAATTTATCAAACACAAATTTTTGAAATCGTTTTTTTTACATTAACAATAATTTCTAACCTTTTGCAGCAACATCGGCACTTTTTCCATTTTCATTACCTTCTGGAGTATCAGCGCTACCATCTCCAGTTCCTGTTTTTATTTTCCCGAAAAAAAAACCACAATTTGTTACATAAAAATCGAAACGAAAATTTTCATACGTAATATTGGAATATTTTTTTTTGCGGAGATGAAATAAAATTTAATACCAAAAAAAAAAACTGGGAAAAATATAACTAACCTGCTTTCTTCTTCTTTTTCTTCTTTTTTTTCTTTTTGGATGCTTCTGCTGGCGCTGTTTCATCGTCCTCTTCAACGACATCATCATCTTCATCGTCCACGAATTTTTCCGCGGACTTATTAACCTTATCCAATACGGCAGCCATTTTTTTTTTTCCGCAAAAAGAAACTATATTTAATACTCACCGCGCGATATCAAAAAAGATGCGATCGTGTGTATGCGAGAGATAAAGAAAAAAAAAAAAAAATTTCAGCCGCAACAAAAATACCACACATGCGCCATTCAATTGCCAAACGAGAAAACACGAATTATTCCGAAGTTATCCGAAGTGTATTTTAGGCGCTAATTTTCAAATTTATAAATGGATAACTAAATTTTATTTTTCAATTAATTAATATACAAACCTATTCGGTTATCTTCCTGTCAAATTTGAAAAAAACAACAAATTGAGAAAAACGAATTTCATTTTATTTAATTTGAAAATTCCTTAATATTAATAATAATAATAATAATAATAATAAAATGTTGCTCCTACTTTCCAGGCTGTACAATTTTCTCTTTTTTTATTTCTAATTCTATTTATCCTATGGATGAAAGTATTAATTCAGCAACATCGGGATCTTGCGATCTAACTGATAATTGCATTGTAACTTGTCCTTCAGCTAAGGCAAATTTTGCGCGTGCAAAAATTTCTTTACCACCACGAAATATTCCTCGTAATGCTGTAAATTCAATAGCTCCCGATTGTCCACGATCACCACGTTCGGCTGATTCTAAACCTAAGAAACCAACTAAACGTTGAATTGCCTCATCAACTGTTGTTACCGTTGCACCCAATGCAAATGTCTCATCAACAGTGATAAATCCACGTGTACCAGCCGCTTCCCAAACAGCATTAAAATCAACGCCCCTTCCACCTGCACCGCGCATTTGATCAGCTAATGTTATTTCCAAATCCTCCAACTAAATTGAAAAACAGGATTATTTTTTTTTCAAATTTACAAAAATAGTCATATTTTTAAAAATTACTAAAAATCAAAAATTGCCTTACCATATATTCATCACTGTATCCTTGTTCTGCGTATGGTACACCAGTTGTTGGATCACAATCACGAGCCATAAAACGCAAAGTTGTTGGAATCGATGTAACGCTCGATTGTACATCCTCGGGGTATTTTAGAACCGTATAAGTGATACCAGGTTCATTGTACGTTAATTTTGGACAAGGTATCTCACACACCAATGTATATCTAAAAATTATTTTTTTTAATTAAAAAATAAATAAATAAATAAATAAAATTTTACTCACCCTTCAGGTGGCTCAACTGCAACTTTCACATCTTCCAATAATTGATCAGACAATGTATTTAAACAATCAAATTGTAATATAAGATATTCGGAAAATGTATGCTTTACACATTTCACATTATATTCAGTTTCCGATTCTGTTAATTCAGCAACTGGTGACGATTTAAAAAGTGTTGCATTTCTTATCGCCATCATTAATTGCGGTACTTGTGACAATTTCTCCATAAAGCTTTCTTCGCGCGACAATTTTGGCGTCTGTTGTTTAATTGCTGTATGAATTTCCGTTGGTATTGGTTCCTCAATTATTTGCGCTGTTGGTATCTGAAAAAACAGTAATTAAATTAAAATTAAAATTTAAATTTAAATTTAAATTAAAATCAATTTTTTTTTACTTCAGATATATCGAAAGCCTCCTCCATTGATGAACGTGAATAATTTCTCAACGCTCTCTCAAGACTTGGAATCGAAAGTAATGGCGGTTGAACAAGTGGTATAATTGTTGGATCATGTTGTCCTTGTAAAATTGAACAATAATATGCTGCACGATCGCGTACCTCATCATCAGAATCTAATTGACAACGTACCAATAGTACAAGAATATTTGGCAATAATTGTGGACATGCAGCGGCAAAATGTGCTAATGCCGTGACAGCAGCTGCTCTAACACTTGCACTTTCCAATATAACACGATTATAAATAAAACGTATATAACGCGATGGTTGTTTCGATGTTGGTCCCTCTTGTCCCAATAAATGAAGAATTCTCACTGCCAACGATGTATGTTCACAATCCTCAATAAATTCACATAAATGCGCAAGACCCGCTTCTTTTGCCTCTGAATTACCCTCCATTACTGCAATAATTGTATCGACAATTGCTGCCTTATATTCCAAACCACCTTCGTCTCTTAACATTGCCGAGAGGAAATTCATCAAAACCGCATGCTTACGAGGAAATTTCTGACAAAGCGCTCTGTAAAAAAAAAAAATTAAAAACAAGAAAATAAAAGAAAATGAAAGAAAATAAAATCCAATATACCTAATAGCCTGTACAACGACAACTTTAAATTCATCCGATATTTCTGAAACAAATGTGGCAATTTGTTTCATAAGACGATCAACGGAACTCTCGGCACCAGTTTTCAATAATGTTGTAATAGCCAATGTTGCAATTGATCTATTTGAATCGGTTATTAAATTTTCCAAATCCAAATTACACGCTGTCACTGCACCAGGATGTGTCATTGCAACTTTATTCAATGAACGTACAGCGGCAAATTTTAATGCCGGTTTTGGTGAACCACAAAATAATTGTAATACCGATATTGCTGGTTGTATTTCACGTGTACCACTACGTCCTAAATTAACAAGTGCATGCGCCGCTTCAAATACAACCATTTCTGATTTATGACGTAGGCAAGATTCAACAAAATCCAATAATTCACCACCACCATCATTATCTAATTCTTCCAATAATTTACAAGCCATACGTATTAATAAACATGATGCATAGGGACTTTTTTGACTGCTTCGCATTAATTTACCAACTAATTTAATAACAGCATGTTTATCGGATTTACGCGCTTGATATAATACACCAAGTGCATGATATTGTACCATAACATTATCAGAATTTAATGCTTCTTGTGCTTCATTTGCCCATCTTCGTGCAACGTCATTTGATACTTTTGTTAAATGTAACGATGATACTAATGCAGCACTCGATACTGCTGGTGAACGATCAACAATTGCCTGTTTCATATATCGTTCAATTGCCGCCAACATTCCAGCATCCGTTATTGTACATAATGCTCTAATAGCAGCAGCTCTAAAAAAAAAACAAATTCAATTCTCAAAGTTAAAATACAGTTAAACAAAAATAAATCGCTGTGTCTATTTAGCTCGCTAACGGGAGGAATAGTGGCGATCGATTATTTAGCCCGCTAGCGGGAGAAATGCAAGATTTTGGCTATTTAGCCCGCTTATTTTAAAAAATCACCAAAATGAGAACTATTTAGTTTGCAGTAAGCATATTTTAAATATTTTTTATTTTTATAATTTATTTATTCTAGAATAATAAAATATATTTTATTATATAAAATGTATATTAAGTGCAATTAAAAATAAGGCAATCGTTTATTTAAATATATTAATGTGATTTAATACAAAGTTTATTTGCTCCAAAATGAATTGTTTTGGTAGGGTTGTTTATTTAAAATATATTATATTATTTAATTAAAGTTGTGGTAAAAAAACAATTTTTTGTTTAAACCAAATTTATTGTAAGAAAACTGTTTAACTACAGATATATTTATTTTCTAACAAATTATTAGAAAATAGTTTATGGAATATTGTTTTCTATTGAAACTTTAAATTTGCAAATAAAAATTAATTTTTGAAATACAATTAAAATTCTTTTATTTTATAAATACGTATGGGGCATTCCACGGGAAATTTTCATTCAAAATTTTTTTTGTCCTAATCATTTTTTTTCGAAATCTATATGAAAAATAAGAAAATAAGCATTTTTTTTATTTTTTTATTTGATGAAAATGAAGGAAGTTATGATTTTTTGAAATTTAACGTCAACAAAGGAAGCGTGTTTTTGAAACATTTTTATAAAACTGAAGTTGATTAAACAAAAAAAAATAAAAGTTAAGGATTCTAATTCCCATCAAAGAAATTTATTTATTTTATATATTATTAGAAAATAAATATATCTGTAGTTAAACAGTTTTCTTACAATAAATTTGGTTTAAACAAAAAATTGTTTTTTTACTACAACTTTAATTAAATAATTAATTAAATTAAATAATATAATATATTTTAAATAAACAACCCTACCAAAACAATTCATTTTGGAGCAAATAAACTTTGTATTAAATCACATTAATATATTTAAATAAACGATTGCCTTATTTTTAATTGCACTTAATATACATTTTATATAATAAAATATATTTTATTATTCTAGAATAAATAAATTATAAAAATAAAAAATATTTAAAATATACTTACTGCAAACTAAATAGTTCTCATTTTGGTGATTTTTTAAAATAAGCGGGCTAAATAGCCAAAATCTTGCATTTTTCCCACTAGCGGGCTAAATAATCTATCGTCACTATTCCTCCCGCTAGCGGGCTAAATAGACACAAGGAAAATAAATACCTGTAAAGATCCTCCTTTCCCGTCATATCTTTTGTTAAACTTGAAGTAACAATAATAACATCGTCAGCAATTGAACTCAATTCTTTAATTCCCAAATAAACTAAACGACGTAATACAACATCGCGTGATTGAAATAATTTTGTCATTGCAAAAAATGTTTCTGTCGCTTCTGTACTGCCAAGTTGTTCTCCTTGATTTAGTAAATATAAAATTTTCGTCAAAATATGTGCACATTTACGTGGATTGACAGATGTGTCATTAAATGTACGCGCCTCTTGGAGAACTGATGTTTTCTCCAAATTTTGAAATGGATTTCCACCCCCTGGAAAAGAATACATTTTTTTTCTTTCTTTCTTTTTGTATAATTTTTGAGGTTGATTTTTAATAAAAAAAAAAAATAGTGAAAAAAATAGCGAAACGTGTCAAAAAAATTTAGACATCTTAACCTAAGAATAACATTGAATAAACAGAGAGTAAAATTAAAAATAAAAATAATAGAAAATATTAACTAAATATAATATAATTACCATCCTCCTCTTCTTTTTTATCACGCTTAAAGGCGTTCATTTTTTTTTCTTAAAAATCCCTGACAGAATTTTTAACATAAATACTGACAGACACGTCACCTATGAATTGAATACGGCCATCCACCCCAATTAAGTGTTGCCAACATTCGAAAATGTTACCAACCTATTTAGGTTTTCTTTTTTTAAAAAAAAAAAAATGATAATTCTTCGAATAGAAGAAATTCTATTCTATATGAATAGAAAATTTAATTAATCATTATAAAAGTATATTAAAATTGTGTTTATTACAATTAATTATTAGTTGCCTAATTTTCAAAAGTTCGAATACTCGAATTTCGAATCGAATTTTAAAAGAGAATTGTCAAAAGTTCGAATGTTTATTTTATAGAATTTTTAAAAGATAAATGTCAAAAGTTCGATTAATTATTTTAATTATCTAAAAATAAGAATTTTTTTTAATTTTTTAAACATCGCGCTCTATCAATATTCGATTATCGAAAGTTAGTTTGTTCGATATCAACAAGAGGGCTTTTTTTAGAATTTTATTTTTCTGATTTTTATATAAAAAGTTTATAAATTATAAATAAAATTTATTCACAAAGATCATATTAATATTATAATTTTATAATAATCAAAAATTTGTGTTTTAGTTTATGTATACTTCATCGTAATTGTTTACATCACAAATTAAGGTTATGTTGTATTAATCCTTGCACCATGCAGTGTTATATTTCTCCGTTGTTATTGTTATAAAATAAAATTAGAATTTTACTTATAAATGGCAAAAACAAAATCTCAGAATTAATTTACAAAGAAACAATGACAAGTTCAATTAGGAAAATTTTCCAATTCAATTCAACAATCAAAAGGTAAGTATTTTTTTTAAACATCGTTTTTTTTTTGTTAAATTGTACCTTTTTTATAATTCTAAATTCTTCTTCATTCAGATGTTTTAATTCTTCTACAATACGAAAATGTGAACTTTTCGATCAAGGAAAAACAACAATGAAATTTATGAATAAAGACACGGAAAATGGTTTTATAATAAATGCTTTTTCTGAAGTTAGTATAAAAAATTTGTTATTATTATCAAATTTGTTTAATTAAAAAAAAAAGAAAAATAGAAAAAATTATTTCTTTTCAGGTTGGTTTCACCGTAAGTCCCTCATTTAATATTATCGGTCCAATGATAATATTTCCACGAATGTTTCTCAGTTGGAATATTGCAACTTCATCTGATATGAATGAAGAAAATTTATGTTTATTTAACATAATTGAACCAAAATTAGATGTATTAATTATTGGCTTAGATAAAGATTATCCAGCGTATGCACCATTTTTAAATGACATTCGCTCATGGTTAAAAAAATCAAATATAAACGGAGAAATACTTCCAATTAAACATGCAATATCTACATACAATTTTTTAACAGCAGAAGGAAGATTTATTGCCGCAGCATTAATTCCTCCAAAGACAGTTTTTATTCCAAAAGTTGGATATAAACCGTTACCAGATCATGAGAGATTGCCTGCGTTTTAGAAAATAAAAATAATTTCACACTGTAAATAGATTTATTATAATTGTTTTTCAATTAATAGTGAAATATAATTTAATAACTCAAATATAATGGTTGTAATTTTTATCACCACCATTTTGTTTATTAAAAAAAAATATTCATTAGTAAATAATTTGCATTGTTAATTTTTTTTTTTTTATTTTAAAAATCAATAAATATTAAACATTTTTTTTTATACAGAATTTCTTGTATATATATATATATATATTTCTTTTTTGTTTTTGAATAAAATACACACTTGAATTTGATTAGTTTTATCATATCAAAGTGTAAGAAAATAATATAAATATATTTCACGCACAATAATGATTTTATGACAATATTAATAAAATACAGCTAAAATTCAATTAAAATAATTTTTAACTATTAACAACAAAATCGCAGTAATTATCAAAGAATGATGCATTATAAATAAAATTATAATTTTATAATTGGAAGTGATTACTTCAGTAATCTTTCTGTAGATACATTAAAATCTTTCATTCAATTATTAAAAATTCTACGTACTTACATAAAATATATATTAAGCATTTTAGATCTAATTTTTTAAAAATTTAAACAACTAAATAATATCTTCATATAATTATTCGCTTTCGCAAAAAAAAATGACATTTATAGAAAATCATTGCACTAAAGTGAAGACTTTTGCACTCATTTGCAGAAAGAGAAATTTCACTTTCATTTTTAATTCATATAATACAAAAAGAAAAATTGCTTTAGTCATATGAATTAATACAATATTATTAAATCGAAATTGTTTTCATTAATATTATATTAGTTCATTACTATCTAATATTTTACTTTAAAATCCTTTTTTTGAGAAAATTTAAAAACATCTCATAGAAGTATAAAGATTGAATAAAAAATATATTATGTATATGTATATCGATAATATCATTTTTTTACATACACCAGACCATTCTTTCTCTCGAGTCTTTCAAGTATATTAAAAAAAAAAAAATTATTTGAATTAGATAATCTATGCTGATAACTCGAAGACCAAAAAGTGCAATGTCTATAGCTTATTTAATAACAAGGATATCTTTTATCACAGACAAAGTTGGATGCCGGCGAGGATAGTTCATATTTTAAAATTCTACCACAAAATTATTAAAAACAAAAAAATAACTGTACATTTCTCAAATTGATTTTAGACAAAAAAAAATTATTCTGAATCTAATAGAAGAGTAAAAAATTGTTTTTTTTCTTTTCAACTTCATGGCAGATATTTTACGATTTTCTATATTAAACTGATAAAAGTATCAAAGTGTAAAAAAAAAAATCAATATCTGAATAGAAAAATCTAGATATACTTAAAGCTAATGTGATGTACTGGTACTGGAAAAGAATGTATTAATTCCTTTGGATTCTAATTCAGTACTTCGTTCCCATCAATTGTCGGAATTTATCTAATTCATAAATGCTTTCCGATAATCTGTTAACAAAATTTTTTTCTCGTAAATTAAAAGTTTTTTTAAAAATAAAATAAAATTTGTTTAAAAAAAAAAAGGAAATTAATATTTTGAATTATGTAAAACTTACCTTCCAAAGCCGTTAAAAAGAGCGACAATTTCACTTCTCTCCAAATAAAAATGCCTTTTATTATAAGCATTAACAGTGTGTTCCCATTTATCGAATTTTCCTGAGAAAAGAATTTTGAGCGCCGTTCCAACTCCTTGCACTTGTAATTTTCCCCATAATTTACATTTTTCACAACCCACACAATCCATTATACGGGAAATATTTATAAAATGTTGTCTAAATTCTTCTTTCAATATTTGAGCTTGAACACCGCCATTAAACATAACACTTTCATTGAAATGATTAGGAAATAATCTGTAAATTTTAATTAAAAAACAAAATTTAATAATTGTCTACTAGAATTGAATAATTAATTAATAAATAATTTAAACTACTATTTTAAATTGTAATCAATAATCAATGAATATTTTTTTTATAGACAAAAACTTACTCAACAACATTTAAAATGTCTTTAACAGCGAGCCGAGTGTCTTCATCCTCGCCATCACTTCCGGTGTAGTATTCTTCTCTATATAAATAAGGTGCTGCCTTTGCCAATGCTCGCAATTCAAGTAAATAAAGAAAATATAAATTCTTGAGCCAATTTGGCCCTTCACCACGTGTTGTTTCAGGTGAGAATCTTTCTTGTAATTCTTCTAAATTACGTCCCCAACGTCCACCATGCGAGACAATTGTTAAACCACCTTGAGTTGATAGTAACGATTTTGCACACAAATGAATATTAATACTTGCATGTAATCCCGAAATTGCTCTATAAAATGCTCGTTTTTCCAAACACATTCCTACAATAAAAAAAAAATTTCAAATTATTTTCCTAAAATTGTATTATTAATTATAAAAAAAAATTTTAATTAATATATTTAATAATTTAATGTTTAATTAATAAGTTTTCTATAAATAGAGTTACCATTCATTTTTGAGGCTTGAATAAAAATATGAGGTGAATTATCAGGCCTGAAAGTAGAAAAAAAAATATATCAGTATATTAATTAAATTTATTTAACAGTAAATAGTAAACTATTTATTAATAAATAATTTTATAAAATAAATACATTTTTTTACCTGAAACAATTTTCCATATAGATACTACGCCATATTCTGTGTGCACTAGGTCCTTTATATCCTGTATATCTCTCGGGATTTAGTAACAAATCAACATATTCTCCTGGTTTATCTTCTTTTATACAGAAATTATCTTGAGCATTGTCATGTATTTTCCATCGTTCAAATTCTTTATAATTTTCAGAACTGGAAGAAAAAAATATTCTTTTATAAGTAAAATAATTCATATTTGTTTCTTCAATATTATTACAATCTAAATAATATTTAGATTTTTAAAAAATTATTCTCTTATATTATAAAAGAAATATTTTTTTAAAAATTAAATACTAAAATGAAATAAAAAAAAAAATTTATAATTAAAAAAAAAACAAATTTACTATAAAATTTACCTAATTGTTGTATTTAAATAACCTAATTCGGCATTATGATCTCTAGCTGTTTGTTGACAATTTGTAAGTTGTGATTCTGCTTTATATTTTTCAACAGGACTTTCGTTCAAATGAACATTATGTGGATTTTCACCTTTTAAACCAATTGGAATGTCCTCCTAAAAAATTAATATTCAAAATTATATTCAAAATAATATTTAAAGTAATATTTAATATAATATAAAAAAATAATATTATAAAATAATATAAAAAATAAAATAATTATAATATTAATAAGCAAACTTGCTAAGTACAAAATTATTGGTTTAAAAAAGCATTTTTGTTTTCAAAAATATCATGTCGTGAATGTATAATTAAGGATATTATTATCAAGTTCCAATTTTCGAATTATGAACGTAAAGATAAGATTTAATGATAAAATTACTTTTACATGAAATCTTTTCAATATTAAAGCTAATTAGATTAATAATTCATGTTAATATATGACAATAAACATTTTTTTTTTACATTCTTTTTGCATATAAAAAATCTTAAGATTAATTAATAGACGAGAAGTCCCTATAAAATTTTATAAATTAATTTTAATATAATTTATTAATTTTTATTATAAATTAAATTTATTTAATTGGGGATATTAAAAAAATTTAAATTTTTATATTTATTTCCAAGATTAAAATTATCAATTTTGTTTCGTGCGATAAAGATGAATTTTAAATTGTTTTATTTTAACAGCTGTTTCTTAGTCATTAATCGAAACGTTAATAATTTTCCTTAAAAAAAATTATTAAATTGAATAAATAAAACTTACATCTTGACAAGGTTGTACGTGGCAATGGAAAATAGCACATTTACTATCATCTGCCCAAAAAGGACATACTTGTTTTAAATTGACTTTATAAAATCGAAAATAATCCCTAACAAGAAGACTTTGTAGTCGGGGATAAATTTTCATATTATTAAAATAATCAACAGTATCAACTGTACAACTACAATCATCGATGGATCCTTCAAGCTGAAAATATAATTTAAATTATTATTCATTTGATATTTTTCTTCGAAAAAAATAATTTTAAGTAAAATTTTAAATACTTGAAAACGAGAATTTAATTATCGGTCATTTATAATGACGTTAAAGCTTTTTTTTTATACAGAAAAGATAAAGCACAAATAAGGAAAAATTTCCATGTTATGTAAATTGGTTTTACCATTTTTTTTTTTTTAAATAATATTTTTAAAAACTTATCAATTGGCTAAAAGAAATTCCCATTTTAAAAACAGAATTTTTTTTTTTAAATATCAATCAATAGGAAAAATTTGCAATAGCAAAAAAATTGTTCTGTGACCTAGTTGAAAAAAATTCGAGGTAAAAATTACAGAACAATTTTATAAAAATCGATTTTGTAAAAATGTATATTAAATTACAAGTCTAAAACACGTTCTATTGCCAAAAAATTATTTTTATCATTATTTACTATTACTATTGTCAAATTAAATACTTATTATGTCAACATATGTTAATACAAATCTAAAAATAGAAGACAATATATAATAAAAATTTAATTTAGAAAAAAGACAAATATTTTGTAAATAATAAAATTTATATTAACATTAACCCTAATTATTAATTTTAATCAAAGAATTTTATTAAAAATATATGTAAATCTGAATTTAAATAAATAATTACAAATCATTGAAATATTAAATAAAAATACTACAAAATAGATAAAGAATAAAAATTAGCATTAGCAAATTAAAAAATTTGTTTCAAATGACATTTATAGGTTATGATTCAATGAATTAAAATTTTGTTATATATATATATTTAAATCAAATAGTTTTCATACCTGACAAAAACATTGATTATTTTTAACGGTGTTGGTCCCGAAATAATTACATTGTGCTACAGTAGACAATATAAGGAGAATAAATACAGAATTTGACATACTGTCAAGAGCAATCATTATAGCAACAATAACACTGGTAAAATAAATAAAATATCATTGATGATGCACCATTGAAATTATCCTGAAATTACAGGATATGGAAGTAAAAGTTTTTTTTTTTTGCCTCGAAACTATCGTAACACTGCGAATCAACTAAAAAATATAGGAGAAATATTGAAAAGGAAAACTTTCCCCCTGTCAATTACGTGCTTAACTACACGCACGCGTCTAACTCAATAGATTTATTTCAACTATTCAAAATAGGTATACGTGGTCACAAACTAGTGGAAGTTAAAAGAGACTGTATATAACGGCACTTTATTTTGTTGATAATTTTCTAGTTTCTCCCACTTTTTTTTTACACAACACAATAAATATCAAAAACTTGGAGTTGTTTTTTTTCATTATAAATAAACAAAAGTCACAATGATCGTGTGTTAAACAACTACTGACAAGTGAATTCTTGAGTTCTTCTGTCAAATGTAAACATTAATAAAGTATACATTATTATTTTACTTATCAGCTGATAATTCCTGATGTTTTACATTTTTCTCACGCATGCATGCATATTAAAAAAACAACATTTGGAAATAACTATCTAGGGATTTTACATTTCTCTAGAATTTTTAAAAAATTAAATGTCCCTAGTACTTGTATATCAGCCCTTATGATTTATACTCTTCACTGATTGGAAAACTATTATCCAATCACAAGTTGTCAGTGAGTCATTTAAAGTTCTTATCATCTGGTGTTTACCTGTTTACTTGTGTGTTGTGTCAGTTTGTGTTGTGATATCAATATAAATAGTCTATTTTAATTCACAAACTCTGAAAAAATTAATCTCAACATTGCATGAAGAAATTATCAATGTGTCAAATTGTTTATTTTATTTAGAAATTAATTTTAATTTTTTTTCTCCCTAACCTCAATACAAACTGATGCAAAAATGTCGAAAATTATAAACAGTTTTGTATTTCTCGATTTGGAAACAACAGATCTAATTAGAGGTAAAATTTTGCCAAAAATTACCGAGTTGGCAATGGTGGCAGTTTTAAGGGAACACATTAAAGTCCCTCAATCAAAATTACCACGGGTTTTAGCAAAAATTGTAATACCAATAAATCCAAATGCTAATATTCCAAAAATTGTCACAAAAATAACAGGTAAATTATTGTCATTTTAATTAAATTTCAAAAATAAAATATCTTTTGAAATTTATAAAAAAAAAAAAATAATAATTTCTTTACAGAATTAACAAATCAACAATTACACAATATAAAACCGTTCGATTCAAATGTTTGTGGTCAAATAAATAATTTTCTCGAACGATTACAGGAACCTATTTGTTTTGTAGCACACAATGGAAAAAAATTTGATTTTCCAATTTTACTAAATGAAATTAAAAATACTAATGAGGTACGTTATAATTATTTAAAAATTTTAAAAATTGAAGTAATAAAAATAAAAATTAAATTCTATTTTGAAGGTGATGCCTAGTGAAATTTTGGCTATTGATTCAATAGACGTTTTTAGAAAGTATTTTAAAGAAAATGGATGTGTGACAAAAACAACAGAATCTACTGTCAATTGTCATTCATTATTGAAAGATAATTGGGATGATGCAGTTTGTTCGGTTCTCGATTCAATAGAAACATTTGAAAATTGTGAAGAAATTGCAGGTTTAAAGAGAACAGAATCTTTTGATGAAAATAAAGATAAACGTATGAATTTACAAAGAACAAATGATAAAACACCTGAATTATTATTAAAAAAAGTAGAATCTGTAAATTATGTTTCATCACATAAAATTAGTGAGAAAATGCCAATTTTCACAAAACCAGAAAATTTGAAATTAGAAACAATATTAAAAAATATGACTGGCATTACAGAGGAAAATTCACATTATGCCGAATATGATTGTATTAGTTTAATTCGATGTGCAAATTTAATAGGTAAAGATTTTATTGAATATGCGGACAATAATGCAAAACCTTTAATTACATACGAAAGGCGCACGCAATTATAATATTTTTTCATATAGAAACTTTAAAAAAAAATTTGAGCGTATCGTTAGTAAAAATAATAAATACGCTTTAAAATAACGAAATTAATATCTATCAATTGACGATTTTTTTTGCATTTCTCTTTAATGAAAAAAAGGAAAAGCAAAATAGAGAAAAAAAACTCCTTTTTTTGGTAAATTAATTTTTAGTAAATATATTTTTTGTAAAAAATAAATTCAAGTATTCGATAAAACATAAAGGAGTAATTGTTTGTATATAATTAAATTTGACAAGTGATGAAACTAAATTAGAAAAAAAATTCGTTTATCATTAAAATAATTTTTTACTCGCTTTTCGTATTCTTTATTGAAAATTTCGTATATTTCAAAGTAAATTTCATTTTTTACTGTATTATTGTTTCCATTTATTATTTAATTTTTTGTTTAATTGTGTAAACAAATTCAAAATGTATTTATTTTATAATTAGTTTAAAAATGGAACGTAAACCCGAGTAAATTATAAAAAATACAATTAAATGTCGCATGTTATTTTATATTTTCAATTTTGCCAATGTCTTGTTTTTTGTTTATTATATTATGTAATTATGTAAAAAAAAAAAAAAATAGCAAGCCTTAAAGATGTAATAAACTGCATTTGCAGAAATAAAAAATGTTAAAACATTTTTATTTGTATTTTTATATTAAAAGAATTGTACAAAAATATTTCAAGTACAATTTCAAGCACATTAAAAATTGATAAAAATAGATTAAAAATGTAATTAAAATTGATAAAGAGCCACAATTAAAAATATCCTTACCATTTGTTTTCAAATGATATTTTTGAGATTAGTAAAAATTTAATCTAACAAACAACTTGGCACATCTGTAGATTTTGCTTCAAGTTCATTAATTTTTTCCGTTAAAATTTTCATATTATCATTTATATGTTTCAATTCTTCTTTTAATTCAAAAAACATTTCATTAATTTTTTTCGCTTCACTTGTAATAAGATTGTAAAGTAAAAGAAATTCTTCATTTTTAATAGTAGAACAATTTTTTTTCTCTTCGACAATATTCTTGATTGTTTTGGCAATTTTCAATTTTTCTGTATACATAATAAAAAAATAATTAAGAAAGGATACAACGGCTTCTCTCAATTTGTTCTGAAATATTAAAATTTTTATAAATGAATTTTAATGTTTATAATTTTTTATTAAAAAAATATTAATTACCTGTAATTTCTTGTGCCTCTGCCGACGGAACAGTTGGTAAATATTCTTCTTTTAATTTTCTTAATTCTTCTGGAGTTACTGTAATAAAAAAAATGATCTTAATAATTATTAAAAAACAAAATAAAAAATATACTTACAAATAAACTTTGCAATAATACAAGGATCTGTGGAAATATTTTGATTTATTTTCAATATAATTTGTGCAAATCTATCAGCATAATTTTTCATTTCCATTGATGAAATTTTTTCCAATAAATTCATATTTTTATTATAAAAAAATGGAATATTATGATTTTTTGCAGCATCGCGTAATTTTTCAAGCATCTGAAATATTATTTTCATTAATATAAGAAAAAATAATTCATTTCACTTATATATTAATTATAATACTTACATGCATAAAAATGCATGTTATTGGTAATTTCATAAAATTTAAATCATTCTCGTATGATTTTAATTCATTCAATGCAACTGTTTCTATAAAATAGCTGCAAAAATTGTGCATTCGTTGCGTGTCTCTGAGTTTCTGTAAAATAAAAAGAATATTGAAAAAAATTAAGATAAAATATTTATAAATTACTTCTATTAGTCTTACTTTTAATAATCGAATCACTGTTTTCATGGGACCTTTCAAACGTTCTTTCTCTTCTCTATAAAAACTTATTCTCCACATTAAATTTCCATTTTCTTCATTTTGCGGTTTTGGAATAATTGACCAATTTTTCTGCAAAAAATTAAAGTGAAATCAAATTAAAAAAAAAAAAAAAAAAAAAAATTAGAAAAGAAAATTTAAAAAGTGTTTGAAAAATGATTTGGAAAAATAATTCTAATTACTGGTTCATTTTTAAATCCCTTATATCGTTTTGGTGGAGGAACAGAAAATTCCAAAGAAGGTACCAAATCTACGTCAATTTCTTGATTATTTGAAAATATTATTGTAAATGTAAAAGCTGGACCACTTTTTTTGTAAGAAATCTAAAAAAAAGTATAATTTTATATAAGTATATGAAAATAATTTTATATTTAAGAGAATTTTTTTTTTTTAAATGATAACTCACGCTGTAATTTTCGTTACTTATTTGAAGTTGTTTCCAATTTTTGCGAATTGGACAATTTGGTAAAGTTTGCAAACTTCTTGATAAAATTGACTCCATTAATTCACGAAATTTATTTTGATCCAAATAATTATTTGGACTAATTATCTTGTCGAGCTGTTTTCTGAAAAAAAAAGAACGAATAAATTAATTTATTTTTATAAAATTATTTTCAAAAATATTAAAATTTGAAATATTTTTTACTCATAATTCTTCCAATCTTGCAATTTACTATCTTTAGTTAATTGTATTTTGATGTAGCCGGGCTTCTTTTCAGGTGTTTCAAACTAATAAAAAAAATTAGATTTATTTAAAATAAATAAATAATTAGATTTAAAATAAAATATAATATAAATTACGTTTAAAGTATCTTGTCTCCACGGCAGTAAAATAATCATATTCAAATCATATTCATTTGGTTTTCCAACTTTTGTTCCTTTATAATAGGAACCTCCATGTAAAATGGAATTAAAAAATTTATTAAAAAAAGGATCATTTCTTCTCATTAAAGGTATTATACCTTCTTTAATTACCTGCATTTAAAAAATAAATATAAAAATTATTTTATAATATTAATTTAAAATAAATTAATATAAATTTACCTTTTCTATATGAGCGTTACTTATTTTTCTATCATCTTTTTGTAATGTCACAAATTTATTAATAGTATTTAAAATTTGATCATTTGAAAAATGACCATTTTCTTTATACTGATAGGCAGTATAAGACATTTTCTGCAAAAAATCAAAATAGCAATTAAAAAAATTGTTAATTCTAATTTTCTTTTACTTAAAAAATTTTTTTTTTTTTAAATAATATACAATTACTTTTTAATAAAAATATAATTTAATAATAAACTCACATAATGGTGAAATAATGAAGAAAACAAAAATACAATGGAGAATAAATTCTTTCTTGAAAGTCAAGAAGCAAACTAAAAGCTACTAAAAGTTGTGCTGTACTCCCAAACTGTAGTTTATCTTCGAAGTTTTACACCGACGTCTATACATACAAAAAATTGTTTCTTTTTTAGTCACATGCAATATACACACATTGATGCTTTCCGGTTATGAATAAAATCAACTTCTTTCAGAGAAATTCTTTGTAAAATAACTTTACAGATAAAAACCTTATCTTTTTTTTTAGAAAAAATTTTGCGAAATCTGAAATAAATTTATATTATATATAATTTAAAAAAAAGAATTAATAGAAATATTTTATTTTTCAATTCTTTCTTTGTCCTATTCCATCTGGGTTCCCCCTCTTCCACTTTGCTTTGAGTCCCCCTTTTAATCGTTTCGTTTAAAAATTGCCTTCATTCAAGGTTAAATTTTTTAAAAATGATAATCTATTCTATTTTAGATAATATTTGAATATATTTATATTAAAAATAAAAATTCGTATTAATAATAATTATTAGTTTATAACTATTTTGTTTTATTATTATTTAGCCCGTTTACAACAACTAAATAAATATAAAACTAATTTAAATATACAAAATTGATTCAGAATTATTAAAAAAAAATATATCAATTACAAATTTTCATGAAAATAATTTAAAAAAAAAACTACAAAAATTGATTAAGAACGTTGATCGCAAATTTTCATAAAAGTTGTTCTCAATTTTTCAAAACTCTCTTGACTAATATCATTTTTATAATTTAAAAGTTCATTCAATTCATTGCATATGTTTTCAATTTTTCTCTTTACATTGCAATCATTAATAGAATTAGAAATTTCCAATTTTGGAAATTTTTCCTCTCTTTCATTCACTTCATAGCAAGTATGTTGATATAAATTTTTTCGTGAACTTCCCAATAATTGACGGAGATATGTCTCATTATTTGGGAATCCAGACAATTTGTAATGTAAGCTACTGGAAATATAAGCCGTTACTTTTTCTGATAATGTTGTCTTATCAATAATTATATTTAGAACACTTCCAACGAGATCTTCATTTGGATTTGTACGTGTAAAATCGTTAAAATATTCAAACGCTTCCTGACAAACCCACGGTGTCTCATCTTGTAAAAGTTGAATATAAAGCTCAGCAACAGAAGTTGATAAATGTGAAATTTTTTTTCTACTCTTGATAAATGTATTTTTTAGCCAATTTAATAATTGTATTCGTACAAAAGGAAGTGTATACGGTAATAAAGATGTTATAGATTTAAGAATCTGTCAAGTAAAATAAAAAGTTAAAAAAAATAATAAAATCAGAAAATTTTGAAAAAGATCGAATATTAAAATGAAAAAATATAATACCGAACATATAGTTCCATCATTAATACTTTCATCGCAAGGAATATGACAATGAAAAATAGCTGTCATCAATTCTGAAATAAGAATTAAATAAATTCCCTCACAGAATTCAATTACATTAACAATGGAATTCCAAATATTAGAAAGAGTTTTCATAGTTTGTTTATCTTGTTCACGAGAACAAATTTCAGTCATTTTTAACAATGAAGTCTGAAAAAAAAATATAATTTATTAAAAAGAACAATATTTCAAATAGAAATAATAAAATTTCAATTATCACATACAAAACATGTCCAGGATTTTAAACATGGTTTTTCTGTAAAAAGTTGAAAATTTCTCGTTATATCATTGCCAGTCTCTTTTGTTTTTCTCTCAACAATTAATTTTCCCCTATCAGTCAACACTTGTGAAAGAGGAATCCAAAAATCAGAATCAGATACATCTAAATTTTCTACAAAAAAATCTTTTTTGTTTTCTGATAATGTTCGATAAAGTCGTCTAATTAAGAAAGAAAGAAAAAATACTTCTAAACTATTTTTTCGTTCTGATAATTGATTATAAACTTTCAAGAAATATTTCAAATGATCGTAACACAATTGTGGAGAAGTACATCTGTAAAAATGAAAAATTATTATATTATTTATTTAGTTTTTTAATTAAAATTAGAAATTCACCTGCTAATTATACACCATACATCAACAGTAAGAAGGGAACTCCAATAATTTCCACTCATTAAATATTTTACTAATAAATTTTCAATTATTCCAAAATCAGATGATGGAACTTGACAAATTAAACCCCAAATCATTGTGAATGTCTCTTCATAAATTGTCAATGATTTCACACTTCCTCCAAGATTTCGAGATAATGATATTTGTAATTTTCCCAAACAAATTTCTAATTGTACTTTGAAACATAAATTAATTAATTAAATAAAATCAATTTAATTGAAAAAAATCAAATTTCTTTTAAACTTACAGAGATCAATATTTGTAAAAGCAACATCGAGAATAGAAGACTCGTCGAGTATCCACTTTCTTTGAATATCATAGGATAATTTAATTAATTTTCTCATTATATTTAATGTTAATAAATGATATCCAATAGCATCAATATCTTCTCCTTTTCCGAATTCAAAAAATGCCTAAAATAATTTTATTAGTAAAAAATTAAATAAAAAAAGCAATAAAAAATAATCATACAAACCTTAAACACATGTTCTTCATTAAAAACAGAATTAAAAAATATTTCTAAATCATTCGAAATATTGATTTCAATAAATTTAACAATTGAATGATTTACATTCATTGCAATTAAACAAGGAGAAGAATGCCTATACATTTGAACGAGCATTTTAACAATAGAATATGCAATTTCATCATTAATAGACAAATAATAAATATTCCACAATTTATTTAGAATTTTCATTAAAAGTTTACAACAAGAAATTCTATTCTCATTTACAGTTTGTTGTTCACCCTGAAAAATTTTACAATTTATGTATATGATTAAATAAAAAAAAATTAATTTATTAAATTTAAAAAAAAAGATAATTACTTTTACAGCTGAAAAAATTAATGACACAATATTTTCTGCTAATGAATTAAAATGTTGTATGACACGTTCTGAAAATTTCAATTTTATTTTTTCGCCGTGGATAGTTGCCAATTTTCCAAACTGTTTCCAAATTCCAGTTATAGTTTTCAGGTCTAATCGATTTACCATTACAGTAGTATCACCAATTTCATTTATGACTATTGATGACATAATATGAATATGAAAAAAAGTATTTTAAAATAAAATTGAAGATATTATTTTAATATTCTATTAATAATTATAATAAATAATAAATAATAAATATTATTACTTGAACTTAATACATTTAATTCTGTCTCCTCTTCTACATTGAAATTAATAACTGTGTCACAAATATTAAGAAATGCATTTATAAGTTCATTGGATTTTTGAAAAATAACTGCAATTTCTTTACTAAAGTTGTTAACATCACCATGGTTCATTTCACTTTAAAAAAAAGAATTTTAATCCAATTATTTTTTTTAAAATTAAATTCTAAAAACCAATATCAATCAGCTTACCTCATTTTACAAAAACTCAATGCACTTTTTACAACGTTAAAAAAAATATCAGGAAACGAATTTATTTTTGTAATTGAAATATTTTTTAAACTTTTTAAATGCTTCATACATTTTAGCCAACATTCCAAAAGATTTTCGCAAATTTTCAATTTTGCTTGAATGTCATTTTCATTTTTTCGTTTGGCTGATAATTTTTTATCAATTTCTGCAATTAACTAAAAAAATAATTTAAAAAATTAACAAAATTAATTAAAAATTAACTAAAAATAATAAATAAAAAAGAAATTAATTCATGATCGATAAACCTGAATAAATGTTTTGCTGGCATTGTTAAGATGAGTTGAAAAAATTCTTTTATCAATATCATCAATTTTACAAGTCGTTAAAGTCTCATCTAATATTTTGTGTAATTTCTCCGCAATCTCCGTTTCATCTACATTTTCTAAATCTTCGTATGAAAAAAAGCAGTTAAGAAATTTATTCCCAATTATTATTAAAAATAATTTTTTTTTTTAAATTATTAAAAAGTGATTTTGTTTTAAAAAGGATATTTGAACATCTGAATCCGACAAATCCATCACGTCACTCCAAAATTCATTTTTATTTTCATTTTCAAAAAATTTGTCACCCTCATTCGATTGTGAATTTGGAGATCCATTTCCTTGAGACATTTTTTTATTTTCCTTTGATCCAAATTACTAAAAACAAATATAATTAATTTTTTCATTTTTCATAAAAAGAATTTTTTAGCCAATTTTTTTTTGGTCCAAATTACTAAATATTCTCCTAAAATGACAAATATTAATTTTTTCATTTTTCATAAAGAGAAAATTAAAATTTAATTAATAATCAAAAGCGTTATCATTTCCAAAAAAAAAATTTAATTAAAACTTCTGAATTCTATAAATTCTATTCTCGATCTGAAAAAAAATTTAATATAATTTTTTCATGCCATTCACCCATCAACATTGAAAAAAAAAGAATCATTGTCCCTAAAAATTGGATCGGTTGTCAGACACATTTTCATAAATCTCTCCCACCCTTAAAACCTAGTTCTATCAGATAAATGTGAGCAAATGAAAGGTTTCTATCTAGAAGACTAATATCGTTTTCTCTTTTGGCCAAGCCATGTGTATAAAGTTGGGCCAAGTTAAAAGTTTTCCATTATAAAGTTTTTAGAGGTGTGTGCTTGGGCAGCGATTTGAATGATCGGCGTTGCCGATGCCATGGTAACTCCCGGACAACAAGCTGTCAGATGATAGGCAAACTTTTGATCAATAACAGGTGACTACATCACGAGAGAGAAAGAGAGAAAGAGAGAGAGAGAATTGTGGTAAATTGTCCTAGTAGTAGAAGCCTTTTCTTCAACTGTATTGGTGAGAGCTTTCAAAGTTGTTGTAAATATTAGTTGATTGTATACATATATAGAGTAGCAAAGTATAGAAGAAAAGTGGCCCTAGGGGTGGAAATAACTATAACTGTGGTACGATGGTAGTGGCAGTGCTTAAAGAAGAGGGCAATGGATGGAATTTCGTCAGCGAGAATTCGAAGTCAGTCAGTCGGCGTTCGCCAGTCACGCCGGCTCATTTTAATTCCATATATCTATTAATTCATTCATCTTTCTCTCAACATTTATTTTCCAAACCGTGACAAAATTTGCGGTAAGAATTTCCAAAAAATTATTTTCCAAAATTTTTCTCTCTTTTTTTTTCCTTGCCTCTTATTGATAAAAAAAAATAATTTATTTCCAAAAATTTGTTTTATAAAACAATTTTTAAATATTAAAAAACAATTTTTTTATTTGTGAGAAAACTAGTTTTCGTGACTGCTCGCGGGGTCGACGAATTCAACCCCATTAGTGAGTGCCAACTGAGTCATACGAACAACTTTCTCCATTCTCAGAAAACTTTATAACATTTTCAAGTTTATACATGAAAAGTATTCATGGAACAATTAAAGAGATTCTTTGCACATTTAATTTCACAGAGCCCATTTTTTTTTTTTTTTGCAAATGAGAAAATTTGTTTTCAAACTAGAAATTTTGAATTTCAATAATTTTTATCTAAATGAATTTTTTTCCATAGCTTTTGGAAGGTGTTTTTGTTTTTGAAGAATGTCAGCACAACGAAGACCCTCGGGTCCAATTAGACAACTTTCACTTCAACAGCATCATCCACGTCGTCAACAAATACGACGGCAAAGATCAGCGGACGATGAGAAACCACTTCAAATTTATTCGAATTCAATTAGAACGAAATTTTGCCCAAGTCCAAAATCAGATAATGATCGTCCAAAAATTCGTATCGCATGGGGTGAGCAAAGATCAAAATCAACTGAGAATCAAGTTGAAATAGTAGCACGTCAAATTCCAAGTAAATCACGTCCACCAACTGCCAGAAATTTAAAAATCTCCCGTCCTTTAATTACCGAAAAGGCAACAATTCTCTATTCACGTCAGGAACTCGCTGAAAGATTACGCCTTGCCTGGAAACAAAGAGAAGCAAATAAATCAAATATCGATATTTTTCTCGCTCACAATACAGTTGAGGAGCGAAGTGATTCACAACTTTCATACACCACAACACCATCCACTCCAATTTCAATTCCAAATACAAATTCAAATCATGATGAAATTAATTCAAAAAATTCTGAAAATGAAAAAATAGAAATACAATTAAATGAAACTGAAATTAAAAATGAAGAAGAAGAAGAGGAAGAGGAAGAAAGTGATCAACAAATGGAAGAAGATCAAATAATCAGCTATGGAAAATCATGTTTCAATTACAAACAAGAAAGTTTAAAAATTTCCAGCTATCAAACATCAAATCGAAATAAAAATTCAAATGAAAATTTAAAAGACGAAAACGATTCAATAAATGAAGAAAAATTGAATTCACCAACAATTGAAAAGAAAAAATCATGCATCAATATCGATTGGAATATCACTGGTGATGAAATTCAAGAATTAAAATTACCATCCTCAAGCAAAGAAGAAGAAGTAATTTCTTCGGCAAAATTAAAACGCGCTAGTTTTCAAAGTGGACTTAATAAAGCATTTGTTGGTCCAATTATTGAAAAAACAATGACATTAAAGGTAGCCGAAAAATCAAAATTTCGAAGAACAAATTCAGCACCACCAATACGTCGACCAATGAGTGTTTCATCAAATAGAAATCAAATTAACATTGTCATTGATTCACCGCCAATAATAAAAAATGAATTAAACGAAAGAAAAGATATTTTAAATGTTCTGACAAATGATAATAATGAGCCATCAATAAAGAATGCAATTTCACATCGTCCAATAAAATCAGCGCCAATAAAACGTCGTACAAAAAGTGGTAAAAGACGAGGACTCACAATTGGTTCAAAGAATGATAATGATAATCATGATAATAGACGTCGTGGAAAAGCATTTTTAGAAAATAGAATAACCGATATTGTCACAATGGTTTCATTGATAAGCTCAGCTGACAGTGATAGCGATGTTGATGAAAATTCACTCAGGGATGATAAATTAATACACGAATTGAGAAATAAGCTACCAACCACATCGATTATCAAATCTTCTACAAATCCTGCCATTACGAATAATAGGAGACCAATAAAATCTGGTTAGTTGAATTTCATTATTATTAAAATTGAAAAATAATTTTTAAAAAAATCCCTTATCAGGAAGGACGAAATAGATATAAAAAAATAGTCAATAGATTAATTTTCCAAGCGAGACAAAATCAATGACATACGATTTACCTGGCCTACTTTTTAGTAAACAGTCGGCAATATATATAATCTAGTAATAAGATCCCTTTTTAATTTTGAAACTTGCAATTTAAATTTTGAATTTTCATGTTAAAAAACTATTTTCTAAAAAAAATCCTCCAAAAAAATTGAAATTAATAGGCAAATTTTTTTCATTTCTGAAGGAGATTGTCGACAATTGTTATAATCAATAGTTAAAAGACATATTATCACAAGTTTAATAGACTTTAAACTTTAAATATACCCACTTTTTTTTTGTACTTTAAGAAGATACATAAAAAAAAAATAATTGAAGGCACTGATCCCTAGAACCATTAACCCGATCCTCAACTACTACAATGTCCCTGAAAGCAACTTTTGAATAATTGTAGTAATTTAACAAAAAGAGAGTCAAGGATACAGAAAAAAAAGGTGGTACAGACTCAAGGAATCTAAAGATTGTCCGGAAACCTAAATTCAAAACAATCGATGGTCGACCCGAATTTAAAAAAATTACTCCCTGTGTCATAAAAAAAAAAAAAAAATAGAACCTCATAACGAATTTTATTATTTCCCAAATAATTGAACCTTTTTTTTTTTTTTTTAAGAAAATATTTCTCTTTTAGTTTCTTTTCAACAAGATTCATTTGACGATGATTCAACAAAAAATGAACCAATAAAGGAAGAGAAAAATATTCTTTTGATTCGATCAAATCAATCATCATCAATTAATCGAGGAAATAGTAGATCTCCAACTCCAGAAGAAACAATAACAACAACAACAACCTGGAAAACAGAAATTTCAAAATTAGTGCCTTCACTTCCTTCATTAATACAAGAAAATGAAATAAATATTCCATTAACTGATCGTGAGAAAAGATGTTTGGTTGTACCAATTAGTGATTTAAGGGACAAAAAACGAAAACTTTTACGAACAAAAAGTACACCACCAAAACCTGGGTATGAAAATATTGCAAAAATTTTTTTTCTTGAAAAATGATTTTCTTTTTTGGAAATAAAAATAATTTTTTAAAACAAAACCAATAAAGGTCAAAAAGAAACGTAAAACAAAAAAAAAAAAGTAAACTACCGTGAGAGAAAGAGACCATTATATTCTTTCAGGGTCGCAAATCCCTTAAACATGCACAGATTGAATTCGATTACTTTGGAATTTATGATATAGCAAAAAATAACATGAAAAACGTGACGCTGGCACTACCTTGCGTTCAATAAAAAGTCATTTTTTTTTAATATATTCATTAGTTAGAAAAAATATAAAAATTTCTTTCCTCTAGAAAAATGGAAATTTTCGGAAAATTTCTTTTTCGAAACTTTTACAATTAAGATTTACTTCCAAGAAATTATTGAACTCAAAGTAAGCGCGCTTATATAAAAGCTTTTGGTTCATTGATCAAATCAGTTTTAGTTTACAAACCATTGAGTAGAATAAAGTTCCCGGGTGAATAAAGTTCGCGGAAATCAAAAGTTCCCTTCCCTCACTCTCTCTCTCAATATGTAATTAAATCGAGGAGAAAGAAGAGAGCTTTTTGACTTTAATTCAAATGAGATAGAGTTTTTAAAAAAAAAAAATCATTTTTAATTCCTGACCTTGACGAAATGATTAAGGTTTTAGACATGCACTTCATCGTATCTTTGAAGTCTTCGTCACGTGATTCATATTTACGTGACATCATTAATCTTTTCTTCATATAATTGAGTATTGATCTTTTTGCAATTTTTTTTCTCCATTAAAAAAAAAAAAAAACTCAAGTACATAGGAAGAAAATATTAATATCTTTAAATCTTCTTTTTTTTAGAGAAATGATAATAACATCAAAGATAGAATCGAATTCTTCCAGACATTTACAAAATGAAAATACACAACAGCCGATTATTTTAATAGAAAATCCCATTAAGGTAAAAAAAATTCTCCTTGTTTTTGAAATTTTTTCCTGATGATCTCTAAAAAAATATATATATAAAATTAGCCTTTTATTAAATTATAGAAATATTTTTTTTAAATAGATAGCTATAAATCATGTAAATACAACACCGGAAATATCTGTATCAAATGAAATTCCCGAAGAACCACCTTGTCAAACTGCTAAGGAAAAAGAATGTTGGCATCTTTATCGTCGCATGTGTGACAAAGGAGTCTACGTTTCTTTCGATACAGTTCTAAGGTTTGTTTAATAATTGAAGGGTAGAATGACAAAAGGGGTCAAGCGCCAATTTATCGAAAATGAGGTTTTTGCATAAAAAAATCAAGAAAATTCATTTACACATTTCTGTAGAAGGATTTCCTTTTTTATTGCGTATTTAAATTAGTTTTTAATAAAAATTAAATTAATAAAATAGCCTCAATTTTACTTTATTGCAACCTGATTGAAAAACAAAAGAAAGTGATGAGTCAATAATATTATCAAAATAAAAAAAAAATATTATTTTTTTAGGTTTTATTTTAATATTTTATTTTAATAATATTTTAATTAATAAAATTAATAATAATAATAATGTATTTTCAATTTTAAACAATTTTAAAATCATTTTGTTATTAATTTTTAAATATTTTTATGGTTATACTAAGTGAACAATTGAATTTAAAGATGAAAGTATTGCTCAATTCCAAAGCAAGCAATTAATTCGTAATTTTCTTGAAAACAAACAATTTTTTAAAGGAATTTTTTTTTCTATTCATTTCGTCGATTCCATAGAAAGAAACTAATTTTCCAGTTTTTCTTTAAACTGTATATTTTTTTTATAATTAATGCTTAAAGAAAATGTGCGCAGTTGATATAACCTCAAGGAACCACAGTTTTTTTTAATTTTATCGTTAATATGTAGGTTTATTTCAACAAATTGTTGTTTATTTATTAAAACATACTAATATATCGAAACGGTTTTCTCAGTTTTTTTTTAAATGACCTGCAAAATTTTTAAAAATGTTTTTTTTACTTCCTGTAAAAACAGTGAATTGGCGCTTGACCCCTTTTGTCATTCTACCCTTCAATTATAATTATTTTAAAAAAAAAATAAATAATGTAAAATTTTTTTTTAATGAAAATATTTTATCGCCAAAAAAAAGTTAATTTAATTTCTTTTTCAGAGGAATGTTGACACCGACAGAATATCGATTACGTCAAAAGCAAATCTCTCAAAATTGTTGAAAGCTGTCTTTCTGTTACATATCAACTGGAGAATTTACCTCAAAAAATCAAATTTGAACTTAAAACCTTTATGCAAAAACCTGTTATATAATAATTAGAGCACAAAAGTTTATTTTCGAGAAAATTTATTTTAGAACAGTAAGACAATGAAAATATAATCTAAGCGTTAATTTTTATTTTTTTTTTTGAAATTATATAAAAATTTAATTTAGAAAAAACTTAATAGATTTTAAGATAAATAACGCACATTGTAGCAAAATTGAAGAAACGAAATCATAATTTATGATTTCATTGCCTTTTTCTGAATACTTAGATGGTATTCAAACTATATATCAATATAAAATACAACAACTGCCTATTTTTGTTATTAACGTAGGTTTAAAAACTAAAATTAGGTAATATTGCTCAATAAACACTTAAATTATTGTTTAAATATTCTTTATCTCTACCATCAAACATTTTTTTTGTCAAAAATTTCAAAAATTTCATTTTATTTTTTATTAATTATTGTTTATTTTTTAATAATTAATTATTAAATTATTATTATTACATATAATAATCGTGAATATCTTTCGTTCATTCTGTCCACACCTGAAGTTAGTATTTGTTATAGGTCATTTGTTTTTTTTAAATGTATTGTTTGACATTATTTTGTGTTGGTTAAAATTTTTCAATGTTTTTCTGGCATTGTTTCGATAATTAATTTTGAATAGAAATTTTAAAAAATAATTGAATTTTATTTTATTTTAAATTGAAAACTTGGTAAATAATTGAATTTTAAATTGAAAATTTGAAAATAATTTAATTTTAGTTGATTGTTGATTGAAAATTTGAAAATAATTAATTTTAGTTAATTTCTGATTGAAAATTTTGATAATAATTAATTTTGACTCGAAATTTTGGAAAATAATTAAATTTTAATTGTAATTTTGGATAATAATTTAATTTAAGTTCATTTTTAATTGAAAATTTCGATAATTAATTTTGAATAGAAATTTTAAAAAATAATTGAATTTTATTTTATTTTAAATTGAAAACTTGGTAAATAATTGAATTTTAAATTGAAAATTTGAAAATAATTTAATTTTAGTTGATTGTTGATTGAAAATTTGAAAATAATTAATTTTAGTTGATTGCTGATTGAAAATTTTGATAATAATTAATTTTGACTCGAAATTTTGGAAAATAATAAAATTTTAATTGAAATTTTGGATAATAATTTAATTTAAGTTGATTTTGGATTAAAATTTCGGGTAATAATTGAATTTTAATTGAAATTTTCGATAATAATTTAATTTAAGTTCATTTTTAATTGAAAATTTCGATAATTAATTTTGAATTAAAATTTTAAAAAATAATTGAATTTTATTTCATTTTAAATTGAAAACTTGGTAAATAATTGAATTTTAAATTGAAAATTTTGAAAATAATTTAATCTTAGTTGATTGAAAATTTTGATAATAATTAATTTTAGTTGATTGTTGATTGAAAATTTTGATAATAATTAATTTTGACTCGAAATTTTGGAAAATAATTGAATTTTAATTGAAATTTTGGATAATAATTTAATTTAAGTTGATGTTGAATTAAAATTTCGGGTAATATTTGAATTTTATTTAATTTTAAATTGAAAACTTGGTAAATAATTGAATTTTAAATTGAAAATTTGGAAAATAATTCAATTTTATATATAATTTAATAACATATAATAATAATTTTCATTATTATCATTTAATATGAAATAATATTCTAATAAATTTAAATTATTATTGATAATATTAATCTTTAATTTCTTTATAACAAACAATTAAATACTCAATTTGGCGCGCTTGCGCGTGTTTAATATTGCTAGTTAATTATTAATTAACAAAAAAAATAATTAATTTAGCCAAAAAAAAGTATAAAATTAGCATTTAAACGTTAAATTTAAAATATTTAAGAGCAAATCTTTTAAAATTTATAAAAATAAAAATATTACCTGTTTTTAAAAGAAATTACGTTTTGCAACAATATAATTGAAAAGTAAATCGATTGTTTGAATTTCCTAGTTTATCATCAACCAAATTGCCTTCATAGAATGCTGCGTACGTTCTTTGTTCAGTCGGTTATCGAAACCCCCAAGTAAAAGTAGAGTTACCTCTCTAAGTTCTTCTTGAAATCTGTGACTAATATAAAAAAAATTGTATTATATCAGGTGGTATGTCATTCTAACAAAGAAAAAAAATAAATACAAGGAAAAAAATAAAACTCACAATTTTTGAGAATTTCAAAATTCATTAAAGTCTTCATCTCCAAATGTTTCAATTACGTTGTCACGTTGTGTTTCAGAATATTTGTAATCATCCGCTGTCATGACCAGTACAAAACAATGTCTCTGTCAAAAAAAATAACAACCATGAGTAATAAAGCACGATTGGAACATAAATTATATTTGGTAAATAAATATATTAATATTACTCTATATTATTTATATTAATATACATAAATATATTATTGTCATTTAAAAAAATAAAATAAAGAAACTAGATAAATTGAATCGTAAGTGTAATATATATTATTGACCGCATATTATTTTTTTGCACGAAATAAATAAAAAAAAATATTTTTTTTTTGTAGGCAAGAGAAACTCCTGAACCTGTATTTGATATTTCGGAATGTTCATTAAAACAGGTGCCATCGGGAACTTATTCATTGTGCAAAGTGTTTCGAAAAAAGACACTTTTATTAAATAATAACAAATTAAGTTCACTTTCAGGTGGAGGTGCCTTAAGTGATCTTTCACTTTTAACTGTTTTAGATCTCAGTTCAAATGAATTAAATAATTTGCCTTCTGATGTGAGAAATCTCGTTTCTCTTGAGGTAAATAAAAAAAAATTAAATAAATTTTTTTTGAAAACAAAATTAAAAATATATTTTTTTTTTGCAGAAATTATATCTTCAAGATAACAATTTAAAAAAATTGCCAAATGAAATTGTGAATTTAGGAAACTTAAATATATTAAATGTTTCAAAAAATAATTTAAAAGAATTACCAGAATTAATAGGAGAACTGAGAAAGCTCACAATTCTAAATTTTAGTTTTAATAAAGCCATTAAATGCCTACCAAAGTCTTTAGGTTACGCACAAAAAATAATACAATTAGAATTAGATGGATTAAATCTTTTATATCCTCCAAAGGATATTATCGATGGTGGTGCAATTGTGATTATAGCATTTTTATCAATTGAATGTGGTATTGAATATAATCCTGAGGAAATAATTGTTGAGACTGAGCAAATAAAAAATGTAAATAGTGAACAAGTTAAAACTTTTTATCAAAATAAGGACAACGATACTCAGGTAGAAAATTTAAGAAAAAAAAGGAAAAAAAAAAATAATTCCACAAATCATCTCATTTGTCTCTCATATCTACTGATCAAAATTCCTAACGCATTTATTTTTTATTTTTAGGCAACTCTAATTCTACTAGCAAAAGCAAAGGCATGTTTTCCAATAAAAAAAATTTGGAATGTTTAGTCAATTTTTTATTTCTATTATGGAATTTATTTCACCTGTTTTTTTTTGTTGGCTATTATTGGTTTGAGTTTTTTAATTTTTATTACTTTTTTTTTGTACATTTATCATATTCATTTCTTTAAATTTTCATATTTCATAAATTTTCCATATAATAATTATAAAATAATAATTTTTATATCGATTTTTACAGGAACAAAGGCAAAGTGCACTTTTGGAAGTTGAAAGAAATATGAAAGAACAAAAAGAATTGGAATTGGGATTACAATCAATGTTGAAAAATAATAAGAAAAAGGTAAAAAAAAAAAAAATTATTTAACATTTTTAATTATAAATTATAAAATTATAATTATTATTATAATTATAAAATGAAATTCAATTTTTTTTTCAGCTTTTGGAAGATCTTGTATTACAACAAACACAATTGGAACAAGAAATTGTTAAGGTTCAACAAGAAAGAGATCTCAATAAAGCAAAATTAATTTCCCATATTTATGACGGTATTTTAATATTTTAAATTCGAAATTCTCTTTATTTAAGATTAATAATTATCATTTTTATTTTTTTTTTTTTCTTTTTTTTTTATAAAGCTGAAAAAGAGGCGGATGCAGTGATAAAACAATTTCTTAAGACTAGTGAAGAAGAAAGACTTACTCAAGCAACATTAACCGAGCAAGAAAAACGAGAAGAAATTCAATTGCTCAATGCAAGTTGTTCACAGCATTTACTTCGAACAAAAGATACACTCAGTAAGGGGAAAAAAAAAAAAATTATTAAAAAATATTTTCCATATAATTATCAAGAAATTATAAATTGAAAATTTCTCCTTTCAGTTTCAATGGAAGAACTTTTGGAAGAAGAATTAATTAGGGAAAATAGACTAGCAGAATATGCAAAATTTCGCGATTATACAGCTCGTTCTTTATTAAGCATGTAAGATTTAGTAAAAAAAAAATTATTTTGTTTTTAGTAAAAAAAAATTATTTTCAACCATTTTTTACAGTGAAGTGAAAAATAACGATAATCTCATGCAAATTATGAAAAATCAAGAGCGAAATAGACAGGACTTAATCGAAAGATTGAGAAAAGATGAAGCATTACAAAAAGCTGCCGTTGCTGCTTTATTGGAACTCAGTGATGCAAGATCTTGGAGTATAGTTCAACAAGTGAATTTAGTTCAATCACAACTTGCAACGCTGACAAATATTGAATTGGAAAGAAGAAAACTCGAGATGAATCAACAGCTTGTAATTATTTCATAATTATTTCCATTTTTCTCTTTTTTTTCTTTTTAATTACAATTTTTCAATTTTTCAGAACGATATTGCTGACAAACGAGTGACATTAAGTGCAATACTTTTGGATCTTTTGGATCAACAAGAGAAACGAAGAGAAGAACTTTTGGATACAATCAAACATATTGAAGAATATCGAGACACAAATGTAAATTTTTATTTTTATTTCTTTTTAATGATAATTTAATTATTAAATTTCCTTTTCAGCCGACGAGAAGAAGTAGTTTATTCTGGTTAATGCAATATCAATCGCTAATGGAAGCAAGACCTCAAGGATTATTGGAAACATTGGAACCAACATTAGTTCGACATGTTGCAATAGCAGGTGTTTTACATTGTTTGCCATTTTTAACAACTTTGCCATCGATGTTACCTTATATTGATGACGAACAATTGAAAGCAGTACGTAAAAAATTTATTTAATTGAAATACAAAATTAAATCAAAATGAAATCAAAATGAAATCAAAAATCAAAGCAAAATTAAACTAAAATTAATCCAAAAAGGAAATTAAAATTAAACTAAAATATTAAATATCAAAATATAAATTTTTCCAAATAGATTGGAATCAACAGTGACGCCGATAGATCAGCAATTAAATTAGCGGCGGAAAATTATTTGTCGGAGAAAAAATTAAATTCAATAAATGAATCAATAATCATTCCATCGGCACCAAGAGAAGATCTTCCTTCTGCTCCACCAGAAGAAAAACCATGTACAAGTACATCTATCGAAGAAAATTCCACACAACGAATGAATACAACAGAATGTGTTGTTTGCATGGATTTACAAGTGAGTAGAAAAAAAAACAAATTTTTGAAAAATTCCCTCAAAATATCTGAAACAATCAAAAACAAATTTTTTTATTCTTTTTAGTGTGACGTAATATTCTTTCCCTGTGGACATCTTTGCTGTTGCGCAATTTGTACAGAAATGATAACATCAGAATGTCCAATGTGTCGATGTGAAATAACTCGAAAAATAAGGGTCATTCAGCCTTAAAAAAAAAAAAAAATTTCTTTTTCTTTTAAGAAAAATTACTCCAAAAAAAAAGACGATTTCATATATTCAAAAAGTAGAAGCATTTTTAATCTTCATGTAAATAGAAAAGCTAGAGTAGATTTGTATTTTTCGAAAGTAATTAAAATTAAATACCAAAAAAATTTATAGTATCTTTTTTTTAAAAAAAAAGATTAATAGAAAAGTTTTTGTATTTAGTATTTTTTTATCAGAATTTTAATTTTTTGTTATTTATATTTCGAAAGTAGATAAAATCTAATTCGGCGAAATTTTATTTTTAAAATTATTGTAGTGCCTCTTATTAAAAAAATTTATAAAACAAACTATAACAGTGATATAATATTGAAAACTAAAAAATAAGGCTTATGTGTATTCAATTTCAGTGCTTTTCATAAATTTTATTTCACAAATAAAAAAACGAAATGTTAAACTATTTAAAAAAAAAAAGGGCCTGAAAGTTATTTTTTTTTTTTTCAAAGTTGCACAAATCGCTTATAATGTAAGCCAAGTTATTTATAAATTAACATTTTTTAAAAAAAGACAATTTGTATCTTATTCTATATACTTGTAAATATACAATCAAAACAAATATTTGTATTTTTAATGTCTACATTAAACTGACTGTATTATTAATTTAAACGAAGAAAAATTATAAATATATATACTAAATTCTCGAAATATGAGAAACATTTAACAGTTTAATCTAATCTTTAAATAAATTGTATTTTATGAATTTATAATAAAAGATTATTCAGTCTGTTTATTTTTTTTTGACAGTGTTTCCTGCACGTCAAATATTAGTTTGTTCACATTTCTTAACTTTAAATATATATATAAATATATATATATGTAAATTAAATTGTTAAAATAAAGTTTAGAGAAAAAATAGATTTCAAATTTCATGACGTTTTCGTGTAGAAAAATAGTTGTTTTTTTTTTGGTAAACGTCAAAATATGAGTATATAATTTAAATTTCTATTTTCTTTTTTAATCCTATTCATCTTCTTGTATTTCACCAGTACCATCTTCATCTTGTTTTTGTTGTTTCTTTTTAGCTGAAGCATCTTTTTTTTCTTTTTGTGTTTTTTTAAAATTTTCTAAGGCCTCATTTAATGGTGATTTAAATTGATCAAATTCAATATCTTCAATTGCTTGAATAACATCCGATCCACTTATTGTTTTGCGATTATGTTTTTTTGCTATTGAATTTGCAGTTGAAGTTAAATAAAGTATAAATATTGAAGAAGCTTTTGCAACAGCAAGACGAGCATCTTTTCCAACTGAAATTCCATCTGGTAATGCTTCTTTAATAATTCTCGTTACAACTGCATTTGGAAGATTAAGATCTTCTAATTTTTCAGCCATCTGATAGTAAATAAATTTAACGTAATTTTTTTTTTTAATTTATAAAAGCAAATGTGCTTAAAAATATTTTAAAAAAAGGGAAAAATTTATTTTATAATTTAAACTAAATTATATAATTGAATTTCATTCAGAAAATTATTCTAATTAATTAATATTTAAAAGGAAATACAAATAGCTAATAATTTGTAATTGAGGTTAGGTTTGTAATTTTGATCTAAAATACTCACATTTAATGATGCGTAAACAAAATACTAATAATACACTCGAAATATATAACTTATTAACATTAATTCACGATTAAAATTAAGGAATAATTGAAGTAATTAACAAAATTTTAGACGTATTTACCGCTAGACTTTTTCGTAGTATTTATATTTGTGTATAAACGGAAAAACAAACGTTTTTTCAAATCGGAAGTTATGGATGCGCAATCGCATTTCCTGTCAAAATTGTCACAAATTCAAAAAATAAAAATATTTTCTTTTAATAAAATAAATATTTAGATATTACTTTAAAAATAAAAAATTCAAATATATCTATTCAATTGTTTATAAATAAATAATAATTTTTTGTAAGCAACGCTATCTAGTGTTATTTTTCAGAATTGAGATGAAAACAACAACACTTTTTTTTAGACTGATTTCCTATCTAACTACTATAGTCGAAGATTAAAGTGGAATTTGCGTTAAACGTCGTCTGCAAGTTTGCTATAACATTTTTGACATATATAAATCGTATATGTCAAACTGACAGTAGCGGTTTTTAAACAAAATTAATTGTCACAAAGTGTTAAAAAATCAAGATACACCATTTGGAGAAAAATGTCAAAAATCGAAGAAGGAAATGCTCACATACGACAGGCAGAGAAAAGGTAAATCTGTTAAAAAAAAATAATTGGAATATTGACATATATTATAAGTAAAAGGAACGTCCATCTGTCTAATTGATTTATAATATTTGAAGAAAAATAAAAAAAAAAAATTACTTTTTTTTCGATAGCCTAAAAACAACTTTATTAAAATGGAGACCAGATTACGAAGTTGCAGCTGATGAATATAATCACGCAGGTAATTTTCTCTTTTAAATTTATATATTATAACAATAGACTCACCCAGTTTTTTTTTTAAATTTAGCAACATGCTTTCGTATTGTCAAATCATATCAACAATGCAAAGATTGTTTAATGAAAGCAGCTGACTGTTATAAACAAAACAGATCGTATCCTTTTTTCAAAATATTTTAATTTTAAGTCAATATTTTGAAAATTCAAACGAATTTTTTCTTAACAATTTTTTTAATTAATAGATGGTTTCATGCAGCCAAGTAAGTAGTATTTATTTTTATTTTTATTTATATTAGATAGATTACTAATTTTCTTTTTTAACTTTTAGAAGCTTTGAACAGGCTCTACTAATTTGTAAGGAAATGGGAACTCTTTCAGAAGTTCCAAAGCTTGCACATTCGGCATGTTCTTTATATCAACAACATGGATCTCCAGAATCAGGAGCAACTGTTTTGGATAAAGGAGCAAAATTAATAGAAGCTACAGATCCTGAAATGGCCTTAGAATTATATAAACGAGCAGCTGATGTTGTTATGGTAATTTTTAGAATATTTTGAAAATAAATTATAATATATATATATTATATAAATATAAATTTGATAAAATTTTTTTTTTTTAAAAAGGGAGAAGATAGTCCACGACAAGCAGCTGAATATATGAGTAAAGCAGCAAGAATTTTGGTGAAATTAAAAATGTACGATCAAGCAACAGATGCTATTCGAAGAGAAATAGGAATGCATCAACAAATTGATCATATGCCTTCAATAGGAAGATTAGCTGTTGTATTAGTTCTTGTGCAACTTGCACGAGGTGATCAAGTTGCAGCGGAAAAAGCCTTTAAGGAATGGGGAAATTGCTGTGATGTTCCCGAAGTAAATTTCTTTTGGAAAATAAAAAATTTTAATAACATGAAATTTGAATTAAAAAAAATTTTTTAAAACTAATTTTAATAATAACTTTTAGATACAAACTTTGGAAATGTTATTACAAGCCTATGACAATGAAGATGCTGACGCAGCAAGAGCAGCATTAAATAGTCCCTTTATTAAACATATGGATGTAGAATATGCAAAATTAGCGAGAGGACTACCATTACCACAACAAGAATACGCTGTACCACCAGCAGGAATTCGTGCAAATGCTGCGGAATCTTATATTTCACCTAACGCCAGTAAACTAACAGGACAAGCAACTGTCGAAGCAGAAGTCAATCAAGTAAGTTATAACATTTATTATTATTATTATTTTTATTTATCTTATTTTTAATTATTTGACAAACAGGAAAATCAAGAAACCACAAAAGAGAACGTAAATGAATCAGAAATTAAAGAAACAAGTTCTGCGCCAATTCCTTCAGAACCGGTAAATCAAGACGAAGATGAAGAGTACGAAGGAGGATTATGTTGATCAGCTTTACAAAATACTATAGCTCACAATTTATCTTTAAAAATCTATTGGCATTCTCTCTGTAGAAAAATCATCCTTTTATGTTTAATTAAAAAATTGTTTTTTTAAATGACATAATTATAAAAAATAATATATAAAAAAACAGAATTTTTTGACAAAAAACTTAAAGAGATTGTGAATATTTATCGCTGATTCTTGCACATCTTTAAGGATATATATAATTAAGTGGCACATATATATAAAAAATCAATTACAATAGATATTTTAATGATATAAAAACTAATCCTTAAAGTAGTATTTAAAAAAAAATGTTACAGTTAAATATTTCATAACCTAATTAATGTATTAAGAAAAAAAAAAGTGCATTTAACGAATTTGTTTTAAAATATTCTAGTCTTTTGAGATTTGTTTAATATATATATATATATATATATATATATACTTCCTGTCTGTTTTAAGAATAATTTTGTTATAAAAGATCTCTAAAAATTATTTAACGTGGTTTTTTTTCTATGTAATAATTTAAATTTAAGATTTTGTGCAAATATATATATAACAATAATGTTATCATATTGAAATAAAAAAAAAATGTTAAAAAATATTTTCGTTTCATTATAAATTGAAAAAAAAGAACATGTAACAGTTACAAATATAGGTTATGTTACATACCGGTAAGATATATAATGAGACAATAATATTGTACATACTATTTCTGCTTGGTGATTCAAATTGTTGTTTGTTATAATTACAAAAAGAACAAACACTTGTATAAATACTCTTCTTTTTCTTTAATTGTTGAAATTTAATAAACACTGAACCTGAACACACTTCAACAAAATTGCAAATGGCGCCAATACATTCATTAAGGCGTATACACATATAAACTTACGTAAACTTGCGTTATTAACGCGCGAATTTGAAAAAAAAAATTTGACTCACGTAGTATTTACAAAATGTACCCGACGCTGTATCTGTCACGAGGTTATGTTCTCCATACCGCAAAAGTAAGTTTTTTTTTATTTGTATTTATTATAATAAATATTATATGATATGTTCTTAAAAGCTGATTTTTTAGAAAAGCGATATTATTACGACATTTATCTATAAAAACCGCTTTTTTAAACTTGTATCATAAATTATTATTTGATTGCACTTTCTATTAATTCTGGAATCTTTCTACTTTTTTGACAAGGTAATTTATAAAATATTATTATCTTTCCTCGAATAAGCAATTAAAACCTGTTACGTACATTATTTAAATTTAAAATGCAAATTCAAAGAAGCTAGTAATTACATGCTTGATAGCTCTTTTGTACACCTGTACAAATACACTTGTACATGTTAAAAGTTTCGTGTAAAAGTATAAAAAAACATTTTTTACAATATTATTCGCGCGATATTGATAAGCATAATAAAAGAAAGAAACATCTTTATTTTGACCTTTATTTAAAAAAAAATTAACTTATTTCTACTGTTAAACAATCAAAAAATGTATTTACACAGAAAGGAGTCGATTATAAAGTAAAAAAAACTTATTTTATCACTAAAATGATAAATGATTATGATTGTTATTTCGATTTAACTCAGTAGTCTATTGTTTATAGATAAACAAGTCAATAGAAATATATACATATATTTTCCTTTATTTTAATCGTTTTCAAATTTTACTTACAAAAAAGAAATATTTCTTTACTTATTGTTTATAATCACAGAAAAACTCAATTAAAATTAATTTTTTAAAAATTAGATAAATTCGTTATAAGATAAATGAGATAATTAAATTCAGTTCTAAAAAATATTCGACAATTTTTTGCTTTTTTTTCACAAAATAATATTTTTATGGTGTTTGCGACCAATGAGGCCATTTTTTAATAACTGTAAAAAGAGCATCGCCTGGACTTTCAGTTTTTGACACTTGACGATGTGCCAATAATGTATAATTTTTATTTATTTTACCAAGTTCAACGCCTTTTTCAATTAATTTTTGTGCCGCAAAAAGTTGACTTTTCGGTGGTATATAATCATTAAATGTACCAATAAACGATATGCCAATGCTTATATTATTATAATTAAATGTATGAGCACCAACAGTATCCCAACTTCGACCCTCATAAATATTACCATCTCCACCAACAAGAAAATTATATGCAATATCTGCCCAATGATTTGATGACATATGAAATGTTTGAATATATCTTACTCGATGTACACATTGTGCTTGACTATTACAGAAATCCGTTGCCGTATGACTGATGAATACATATTTCACCGGTGTAATTAATGTTTCTCGAGGTTGAGATGGAATTTGAGCGATCCATTGATCACGTGGAATTATTTTAACACCATGAATCCAAACATCTAAAAAAAACAGAAAAATTTATTTAAAACAACCAAAATTAAGGTAATTAAAAATTTATTAAATTAATATTAAAATTCAGAAATTAAAGACAAATTATTTTTATAATTAATTGTAAATATAAAATTACAAATACCATTTAATTGTAAAAGGCAAGTAAATTTGTAGAGGCAAAAAAAAGGAAGTAACATTATAAAATTTTCAACTAATTATAATTCGAACAAAAGTTAAATAGTAACTGAATCATATAATAGAGGAAATAAATTCAATATAATTTGCAACACTAATTTTTTTTTAATGATAAATACTGATATAGAGTTCAATAGTTGAATCAATAAAAAAATTAATATTTTATAATTTAAATTATTTTTCACTAGTGCCAATTAAAATATTTTGTCAAATTTTTTAACGATTAGATTTTTCTTTTTAAGGAAACTTTTTGATTAATTATAATTAATTTAAAACGTCTTGATTAATACAAACCACCGCCAGTTGATGAATCAGGTAATTCCGGGTATATAGGAAGATGAGGAGTTTTATTATTATGTTTTGATGTTAATACAATCATAACAATGATTGTCACGAACATTAAGGCTATTGTACAAAATATTGCAGCCCATTTCCATGTTATCAGCCATTGTTTAACTGTAACAATCGATTGATATTGTTATTATTTTCGAAAACAGGAAAAAATTTGGAAATTACTATAAAAAATTATTTTTATTGCTAATTAACAGTAATATCTTTCTCTTTTTGTATACAATGCATTTCGAAGATTAATAAATTGCGCGTTTCCGTTTTGACTCATTCATTTGTGAGACAAAAGAACAAATTAAATAAATTTTTTATATATTTTTTTTAAATTATTAAATTTAATTTTTAATTTAGTGATTGAAGAATTTAAATTATTTTAGAAAGTTGAGGAAAAAAAATTTGTTTTTTATGTTTTAATTTCAAAAATAGAGAATTTTTTTTATGTAATAAAATTTTGTATATTGTGATATAAGGAAAAAATTCTACACTCAAATTACATTTTGTTAATTAAAAATTTTTCTTTAAAATGAATAAGAAAATAATAACATTTTTCCAATTATAATTATCTCTGACGTCTTTGTCATTTATTAACTAAACAAACTAATAACAATAATTTTTTTTTTTTTACAAAGATAGCAGCCTCGTTATTAGAATTATTTTATAACATCTCGTGTAGCTTATATCAATACAAATTTTAAAATTTTTGCAATAAATTACGTTGACATATTTAGAACAGATAGATTTTTTTTTTATTTCAATTTATTGTCAAAAAAATAATAAAACTAACCAAAATTTTGTAAAAAGAATTTTATAACTATATAAATTTATAACTAATAAATTTAATAATGTTTTTAAAATTTTTTTAAATTATTTTAAAGTCTTTAGTGTAGAAGTCAAGACCTTTAGTAATCGAATGATTAAAAAAAGAAGAGAAAATAAAAATGTTAAATATCGATAACATTGCATCCGAGAATATAATTTTCCTCCATTTTGTTTGGGCTTTTCCCAACGCGCATAAATAACTGGTTAATGAAATTCATTCTCTGATGTTAGTAATAAAATTCCGGTTTCGCGAATCCTTGAATATTTTTATTTTAACACATGACTCTCAAAAGATTTTTTTTTTTTCGCCAAGGATTCGCTTATTTTTCTATTATTATTATTATTATTTAAAATTAAATTCAGAGATTTGAAGTAATTTTCTTTTTTGAAATTTTAAAAATCGAAGAAGCGAATTAAAAAAAAATATCACCTTTGACAAATTCAGAATTAAGTGGCACATCAGAAGTTTGACTAATATTTTGACTTGGCACTGAGTCCCGTTTCTCATCATCTCCCAATTCCTCATCTTTTTTAAATTCGGAATTACTGTAGACAAATTGTTTAATTGTCACTGGTCCCTTGTAAAATGTTTTGCTACCCAAATGAACGTTATTGGAATTTTTTACACAAACATCACCAAAACATGGTGCTTCCACTGTTGGTAATGCAACACCATTACCGGTACCTATCTCACATAATGATTGGGGTGAAGCACTCGGAATTTCGGAAATCCATCCCCTATCGCGAAGAACATTTTCTTCCAAATCTTCCTCCACGTCACTACTTGCCGTTGATTCATCATAACTTTCAATATCCAAATAATAATCATCGGAATTTACAACATTTGCCTCATTTTCTTCTTTTTTCTTAATTTCTTTTATTTCCAATTCTTCTTCTACTTCTTCTACTTCTTCTATTATTTCTTCATTATTTTTTCTAATTCCATTCAATGTTTTTAGATTACGAAAATTTTTTTGGAATTCATCATTGGAATTTAATTTGGAAATGTGATGATCGTCATTCTCAATTTGGTCCTGTTCTTGACGATTTTGTTGATGCTGCTTTTGGTCCAGAGTCACCATACTCTCAATACTTTTGCCTAAATCATCGAATGGCATTTAAATACCTCCTCGTCCAAATCATATTCAAAATTGGAATCAATTATTAATAATAAACAAACAACACGATTGCTTGGAATCAATAATAATCCATCTGGTATTTTCTGATGACAAATATATCATCGTAAGTAATATAAAAAACAAATTAATTAAATATTTTAAATCTAATCAAAAATTTTTTTTGTTTTCACATACGAAATTCATTTGTCTTGCAGAGAATTTTTTTTTTCTTTAGTTTTGCAGACAACTTTGTTGACGCATCAATCGTTGCACTTTGTTCCAGGAATTCACTTTATATTAAATATTCCAAACATTTTTTTTTTTTTTTTTTGATAAATTATTTCTTCTCGATAATATTATTTTTTAGTAAAACTGTTTTATCGGTGTTTTTTTGTCACGCGGTTATCGATTATGATTAATGCGTGGGAGGAAGAATCACATATATTTATAAATTAGAGAATTATCGGAGAATTGTAATTTTCAACTTTAACTGTTTACTCTCCATCGAGAACTGTTCATTCCCTCTTCTACTATATTTATTTCAACCTCGCTTTAACGCGAGACTTATTTTTCGCCCCCACTCTTTCAAATCTTATGTCAATTAAACTCTACTCACGTTCAAGTACAATCGCAGAATTTTATTTTATACATTTTTGTTTTTTATAAAAAAAACTTGACAATTAAGAGGAATTTCAATTTCTCTTGTTTTTATATATAATTGTTACTTTGATTTTAAGAATTTTATTAAAAAGAAGTAATTATTTCCTCTTTTCGTTATTATCTTATCGTGGAGATATTTAAAAAGTTCTATTTTCCATTTTTTAAAAATTCGTCTAAAGAGAAATAATTTAAACGTCATTATATTAATCTTTATATAAATTGAAATTTTTTTTTGGATTAAAGAAGAATTTCTTAGCTGCTGATTTTTATCTGATAAGAAAAAAAGTTTTTGGAATTCAAAGTTAATATGATAATTTGGAATTTTTTTTTTTTAATGAATTTCGAATTTGTCAAAAATATTTTATTGTTAACATTTTTGTTTCACAATCTTTTTGCAGCATATATTTTTTTTTTCATTTTCCTCTTTTCACACGTGCTAAAGCCACGCAGTTTTGTTATCACTATGTGATAAATAGAATTAATTTATACTTATCTTTGATTTCTGAAGCAGACATACGCTTTAATATTTAAGTATAAAATATTGCTTTTGATTGAGAATCAAAACTTTCAGTTTACTTACAAATTATCATTCGTTGTTAAAGCAGGCATTCAGAATAAAATTTTTAAAATAATTCTCCTTAGGTGATATATTTTGAATGTTAAATATAATATCAGGAAATATTTTAATTTACAAAAATTAATATTATTTTGTAAATATAAATTTATTAGAATGTCAAGAACTTAAAGAAATAATTAATTATTGATTTTTAATATTTACGTTATTAATTGAATTATTAACGTTTTTATTTTATAAATTTTATTTTTATAGTAAAATTAATTTTGAAAAATATATATTTTTAATTTAAGAGATAAAATTTTTTTTTTTGGAATTTATTACGTAAAGGAATATAATTAACAATATTTCTATGTTCTCAGAATTGGAGAATTTTTTTTAAGATCTTTAGAAGAGAATCTGTAATGATTACATAATATACTTTTTGCCAAAGAATTAATTTTGTTGAAATAAATGACTGCAGATAATAAATTTTAGTCGCTGATATTTTGGAAATAAATTAAAAATAATTTAAATGGAAATATTTACACATAATTATTTATTATGGAAATTTTTTTTATATATATTTTTATGAAACAGGTAATATTTTCATAAAATTAAAACTTACGTATCCATTTTTTCGGAGAGAACAATATTTTAGATTCATCACTAAATGTGTCTTCAAATTGAAGAGTCTGCATTTTAGACAAAACTGAGATAATAATTATAAAAATAATAAGTCGAATATAGTATTTCAATAAAATTATATCTTTTAAGTACCCTAATAATGTTAGAATAGCTTTTAACAAGTAAATTCAATTAATTGCTATCAACTAATTAAATTGCTAAATTTCTCTCTCTATTTTTATTATTTTTAAAATAATTTTCAGTATAAAAAAAAATTTATTTTTTATATTTTTAAAATTTTCAAAAAAAATTATTTTTAAAAATTAAATTTATGAAAACTGATAGAAAATTAATTTTATTAAATAATAATATTAAAAAGATTTTGTCTTATCTTGGAGCAATTTTATAAAATAGCATCAGATAAATTTCGAAATTTAATAAAATTGCAAATTAAATTGAAAGTCATTATTTTTTTTGCAAAGTATGTCAGGTAAAAATATTTTTAAAATCGTGATTAGAGATCAATAAACGATTCGTTATCAATTTTTTTATCCAATGAAAAAGAAGTACGTGACAACACACCTCCGTTACTCATCATTTTTATTTTATGCCATTTTAAATATATTATCTTTGAGAGAGTATAAAAAAAAATAGACACAAAATCAGTACAAAGGTTATTAAGAGTCTTTTTTTTTTTTTGCAAAAATTTCGAAAATATAATAAATATATAAATAAAAAATAAAATATTTTAAAAGAAAAAAATTTAATTTCTTCATTTTTATTTAATTTATACATTGTTAATAAGTAATTTAAAAGAAAAAGATTATTTAAAATTGATTGCAAATTTTAATTGTCATGGATATTTCTGCTTTGAACTGGAATTTTTTTAAAAGATTGGAGGATAAATTTAATCACTTTTTGAAGACCCCCCACAAATTTGTCAAATCATACAAAAATAAAATCTGCGTATAATCTTGATAAATAGGTTTTACCTTTTTTTTCAATATTTTTTACTGAAATAATAAATTTATCATTTAATCTCTTAAAAATTAATATCATGTCTTAAAATTCTAAATGTCTTTAAAAAATCAGTTTTTGCATTTTCAAGTAAAAACTAAAATCAAAAATAAATTATAATTTTGATATTATTATTATTAAAAATTTAAACTATTTGGCACTTTTTCTTTTTATTTTGCTTTAATTTATTTATTATGCATATATTAGATTAATAAAAAAAAATTCTAAATTCAAATATTTGATTCAAATTTATTTGTTGACAACTTCAGACTATTTTTATTAGCCGCTTAACCTAACCTATAACGATTTATTTTAAATTCCACGTGTCGTCTGCTAGTTTGTTCTTATTTTGCTATTAATAATGGCAAATAATTATAAATTTATTATTAAATAGTATAATTGAATAAGAATTTAAAATTGTTTATAAAAAAAAACTTAGGAGGATAGAAGACAAATTTCAAATTATTATTTTTTGTGACATGTACTTATTGCAAAAATCAATATCAAAAACCATGTAAGAAATCACACACCTTATAAGATTATTTTCGAAAAATTAATATATTTTTTTAAATTACTAATAAATTATTAAGATTCCTATGTTTTAATTTTTAGAGGTTATAATTAGAATATAATTTTTATTTATATTATATATATTTTCAGATTTTATAAAGCGAAGCGCTATGTTGACCTTACAATTCGGACAATGTGGCAATCAATTAGGTTACAATTTTTTTTCCCAATTATCGAATGACATAAATTCTCGGGACAAAATTTTGTCTCGTGATGATAATTACAATTATACGGAATCAGCAATTGAAAAATGGTTCGAAGGAATAAATAAAGATGGATATCGTCTTGCAAGAACTGTTCTCATTGATACAGAAGCAAAAGTTTTAAAAAATATTTGTCGTCAATCAAATTTACAATGGACATATCGATCACAAAATTTAATTTGCCAAACATCAGGTGGTTCTGCAAATAATTGGGCGTATGGATATTTAATAAAAGGACCACAATTTAAGGATGATACACTCGATGTTATAAGAAAGGAAATTGAACGAACCGATCGTCTTGAAGGTATGTTATTTCTTCTGAGTTCTGCTGGTGGTACTGGATCTGGTGTTGGAAGTTATTTCATTGATATTTTACGAGAAGAATATCCAACAAAAACATTAATTGCCACAACAATTTTACCATTTAGTTCCGGTGAAGTTGGAACACAAAATTATAATACTCTGATGACAATGGCAAAATTTAATGAAAAATGTGATGTTAATTTTCTTTTTGAAAATGAACAAATTCATTCAATTTGTACGAGTATTTTAAAAAATTTCGATGCTAATTTAAATAATATTAATGATGTTATTTCAAGAAAACTTGCCGCTATTTTTCAGCCATTGGAAAATTATATTAATGCCAATTCACTTGTTTCATTAATAGCACCACATCCTAATTATAAATTGGCATCAATTAAAAGTGTTCCCTATATTCCAGCGAATTCTTCAATTTATGAGTCTTCTTATAAGTGGCATTCACATATTTGTCATTTGAGACAAACATTAAGAATAGGATCATTAAATGATATAATTGATATTGAAACAAAAAAAATATCACACGCTCCATATGAAAAAAGTTATCATAAATATTGTACATCAATTGCAAATGTTTTAATAACACGTGGTACATCATTGAAAAATGATCCAATAGTTTGTGATGATTTTGAAAAAAATGATTTATATCCAAAATGGATGACGGAAACACGATTTATGCATTTTAATCAAAAACGTCGTCTTTTAAATCAGGAAAAATTTGCCGCTTTAATAACAAATAATTCACAAATTCATCGATCATTGGAAATTATTGTTGAACGTGCATGGAAAATGTATATTCACGGTGCATTTTTACATCAATATAAAAAATTTGGTTTAGAGGAAGATGATTTTCTTCATTCATTTGCCAAAGTTGAGAATATTGTGAAAAATTATAGAGAACTAGAAAAATAAGTTGACAAAACTCAGGTAAATTATTTTATAGTCATTTGAAAGCTGTGATTTTTATTAGTCATTTTTGTTTAGGAATTTAGAGATTTTTTTTTTTGAAGACAATTTTATAAAATGTAAATATTTTTTTATACAATACAGAAATTGAGACAGAATAAGAAAATTTATATTTCAATTATTCCCATGAATTTTTTTTTTTTAAAGTTTATTTTTCGTTTTCAAAATTTATTGTAACGTCGATAAGATAGAGAGAAATTGTGTAGTTCGTGAAGAATACAAAAGATGACATTACTATTAAGTAAAAAAAATTTTAAAATAAAATTGAATTTTCAAATAATTTTTTGTTTATAATAATGTGTAATTTTTTAATTTTAAGTTTATTTAAATTTTTATTTATTATTCTGTCTATTTTCTGTAGTTATTCTATTTAATTTTTTTGTTTCAATATTTTTAATTTGGTTTTTTTATTTTTCTTAGGACCAAAAGGAAAAAATTTTTTTTTGTCTAAAAATGAATAGAAAGACAGTAATCGAGATAAAGTTGTCGCCACTATTGATTCCTGGAAGAATTTTTTCCGGCTGTCTATCAAAAAAAAAAAAAAAAAGGTACATAAATTACAGAAAACACGTTTTTTTCATTTCTTCGCTACATAATTTTCTCAAATTTGTTTGCTTTAAAAAAAAAAGCGTTTTCACATTAGTCAAATAAAATATTATCTCTTCTTTGTTACGAGAAGTAATAGCAATTTTGACTCCTGCTGAAAAAGGTAATATATACAATTCTAAAGACCTAAACAAACAGAAAAAAAAGATAGCTTCCAAATTTTTGTATTCTAAATCTACTGATGGAAATCATAATTTTCACGGTATAAACTTAAATAGTTTTTATGTTCATTTTAATAATTTTTACACAATTTTGGTCTGTCCTTTTTTTTAAAAAATAATGTCGATTAAAATTAAAATTTGTTTTACAGCTTTTTTTCGTTTTCTTTATTCAAAGAAGATTTTTTTTTAAATCATTGCCTCTATCTCAAAAAAGATTCGATTATTGAGAAAATAATTACCGTCGGCCAAAAAAGGGCAAACTCCCTTTTTTCTGTGGGCTACTCCTCTTAAAACACGAGAAATCTAGACAGGAACCTTGAGAGCTAATTATTGTGTTGGGATCGTCATCATGGGGTGGCTATGACGTCACAGAAGAATCGACCGCTCTGGCATAAAGTCTGCGCAGCAGAGTGTATATTATATATATATCTATATAGGAAGGTGCACGTGTGCCAAAGAAACTCAAACGAGGAGGATAGATAGAGGAAGGGAAAGACGACGCTATTATAATGGAGCAAAACTTGGAAGGTGGGTCGCAGGTTGCGTTAGAAAGGGGAAAGAATATACCGAAAAAAGAAAAAAAAAAAAAAAAAAAATCTAGGAAACTTGCTTGTCTGGTTTTACCTATTGCTTTTTATTCAAAGACCACTCTGCGCTTGTGCGAAGACTATCATCTTCGAAGAATATAATATCGGCAGCGTTTGCTTTGATGAGAGAGAGAAAAAAAAAAATTAAACCCTTGATCTTCTTCCAAGAAATTAATGAAAAACAGTACCTGAAACTAAAGGAGAATCCAGTCTTTATAAAAAAAATTTCAAATCCTTTGTCAAATGACATTTATTTGAAATTAATTGAAAATTAAATTTAAATTTAAAATTTAAATTAAAACTGTTAATAATCGAAAATTTAAATTTCTATTAATACTGATTATTCGTGTACTTTTTTTAAATTTTTATATTTTAATATTACTGTAATATAATGTACAATGTTAAAAATATAATCGAGCTGCAAGTCGCCAGGAAGTCTAAAGCTGAGCGATCACATCATAAACTATATAGGAAACGTATTTACTCGGAGTATTTTCCGTAAATCCTTTGTTTTTGATTTTCAACTACAATTTAAAAAAGGCAATTTAAAAAAATTTTCAATTCTTTTGTTTACAAAAAGAAGGAAATTAAAAATTTTTGCAATTTTTGCAATTTAATGATTATTAATAATTATTAAAATTGACACTAATACAATTTTTACCCTTTCTTTTTTTTTTTTTTATCTACCCTATTGAATGAGAATTTGTTTTAATTTGAATAATTTGAAAATTATTTTTCTAGGTGTTTTGAAGATCATCATAATAATGTGAATGCTGTGTGTTATTATACACGATGGAAAATTAAAAACGAATTCCCAGGTGGGGATCCTCTTTTCAAAGCTGTGGGTCAGGTGATTTCGTTTGTCTCCAAAGATCGGTTAGGGCAACAAGGCGCAGGTAAAATACTCTTTTTTTTCTCCTTTTTTAGAATAAAACTCTTGACGAGAAACTGAAAGATTGTTTTGATTAGACAAAAAATTAAAAATTATTTTTTGATTATGTTCAAAAAAATTCCGTTAGTAAATTAATTAGTTGAATTTTAAAATTAAATGACTTTTTTTTACTAATTAGAATTTTTTTTTAAATAAATTATTTTGCACATTAATTTCTTAAAATATTTTATTCGTAATAAAAAAAATTTGGATTAACTATTTACAAATTGAATTTTTCAAAATTACACAAATAAAATATTTTGTATATTAATTAAATAAAGTGTTTCGATTTTATTATTAATTGAAAAATAAATTTCAGAAATGTTTTTTTTGCAAATTTAATTTTTCTGTTTAATATTTTTATTTATTTTTTTTTTTTGTTTAATTAAATAAAATATTTTGCATATTCATTTAATAGTGTTTCTATATTATTTTATTATTAATTGGAAATTAATTAAATAATAATTTAATAATTAAATATAATAATAATAATAATAATAATATAATATAATAATTAAATAAAATATTTTGCATATTCATTTAATAGTGTTTTTATATTATTTTATTATTAATTGGAAAATAAATTTCAGGACCATTTTTGGAGTTAAATTTTGAATGATATTTTTCTCGTGAAGGATTGAATTGAAAAAGGAATTCGAAAACTATATTCTGGACCTGAATACATTCGGATATTGACAAGAATCAAGATTATAGTAGTAGTAGTATTATACCCCCGCTCGCCTACGCACGCATGCACACTTCAATATACACAGCAGTCTTGTTCTGGCGTTTCCAGGGATTGTATATACCAACACGATGGAGTGCGCCATTTTGTAGTGGTGTCCAGTGGACGCTCTCTCTCTCTTTTTCTCTCTCTCGGGGTTGTTTTTATATATCTATATATATGGACGTCACATAGTGTCAATGAACAGGAATTAACAACGAAATCTCAGTGTGCAAATCTGTCATTGCTTTTTTGTGTTATTGTGTTGATGAAAACGAAAAAAAAAATCATTGTGTGCTCCGTTTTTCATCGTCTGGTATAAAATACAATATAAAAGGAGAAGGATTTTACATGGCGCTGAAAGCGTATATTTGATGGATTCATAAAGAGTCATTGCCGTCAACAGGAGTGCGATGCACAGGTACAATATTCTATTTAACATTCTCTCAATTAAATGTTAGAAGGCCCTTTTACTTATTTAATCAATAGTGTGATAAAAACCACATCTAAAGACGCTTGGATTTTGTTCAACACGCGTGCTCCAATAATATTTATTATATTATTATCTTGATATCGCTATATATATGTGTATCTCCTTATCGAAAAATAATTGTGCAAGGAGAACTAAAAAGTGAAAGCTCTTTGCGAGCAAACTATAATCTGGATTAATGTTTTTTTTAGTAAAATATCCTTTTTGCGGATTTTTTTGATTATTACGAGAGAATTTTAATTTGACCTTTTTGAGATTATAAGGAAAAATTTAATTGTAAATTATTACAAATTTTTTCTCCCCTTTCGGAAAATTTTTTTAAAAAATTTATTTTTGAAGCTTTTTTGGCTATGAAAGAGAAAAATTACTATTGTTTCGAATTTCCCTTTGTTATTTATAATAATTATAAATATTCACTAATATTCACACATATTTATTATTTATAAACATTATTATATATATATTATATATAATATTAATATTATATTAATATATTATATTTATAATATATATATATAATATTATATATATAATAATTATAATTATTCCCTTTATTATTATAATTGAAAATAATTTAAAAACAACAATGAAATAGATAAAATTACAATTTCGTTGAAAATTAATTAATTCTACATTTAAATAATATACTGAGTACATATTTTTCTACTTAATTAGAAATATGATCAATATTCGAAACTACATAGAGACAGCATCATGTGGGTTGTTTTTGTGTAAGATTTTTTTTTTTGTCCCCCATGAGAAATAAAAAAACATCAATCGAAATTGTCTTCAATTTTTTTGATTGAAAACTATTTTTTGATTTATATTCTTTTCTATTTAAAATGGAAAAAAAAATTTAAAAAGTTTCAAATTCAAATAGTTTTTCCAAAAACGTATTTCTAAATAAATGAACAACATTGTTTCGTAATTTTATTTTGTAAAAAATTTCAAAAAGTAATGGAAAAACTAAGTTCAAGTTTTCTTATTGTATTTTATATTTTGTTAATTACTTTTTATTTAACTGACAAAATTTAATTTGCGTTTATAAAATATAAAAAAAAAATTTCTAATTAATCAATTTCAAGCAGAATTTTAAAAAAATTGTTTTTGTTTTAATTCTGTTTGATAGAATATAGTTTGTAATATTGGAAAAAATTGAATAGTTTACATGTGAAATAATTTTACATATAAAACCCATAAAGTTGCTCTCTTTGTGGTTTCTATATTGACCAAAGAGATTTCAATGCCAGGTTATTGTGGCAGATAGTATATGTAGCCCGCGACTACTGACATATGTGCGTGGAAAAGAAATTTTTTTTTTTTTTATATTTTAATGTGTAAATTAGAGTCACGTTGCATATGGACGCACCTTAGGGTAATGATAATTAAATTGCATTTGTCCCTTCTTTTTTTTCTCTCTCTCTCTTTCTCTCTTAACCCTCCAACTTCACCAGGAAGGTCATTTCAGTCAAACTCGATAAGGGTCGTGGGAGATCGTTCACACGAAAGAATTATATTCAAGAGAATAAAGCGTCCGAAAAATATTGCGAAAAAAATAGTATTTTAAATTGAAAAAATTACTATATTACAAAATACAATTGCAAATTACAATTACATTTTTTTCCTATGGAATTAATTTTTCATCTAGATTTGGTTTTTTATTTACTTATATGTAAATTAATTTATTATCATTAAATTTATAAAATGAGAAAGAAAAAAATATGTACTGGTGGGAACTAAATTTTTGTAGACACAGTAATTATATATAGGGAATACAAACCTTTGTGATTTGACCCTCCCTCGATTTATTGCAAATCGATGGCAATTGTAGGGCGTAAGGGCTAGTTTTTGGGAAAATTAAGTAATTTTCTTCTATCATTAAAGCTTTGAATTTATTGTTTTTGCAACCGACAGTTTTATTGGAATGATAAATTTTTATTTATTTTCACCATCGCATTTTTTTTCTTCTTTGTTTCCTTTCTTTGTTTATTAATTACAATTGCAAAAATTTAAATTAAAAATTAAGTTAATTAATTTAAAATCCTACTTTATTTATTTTTATATTTTTTTACTAAAAAATAAATAAAATCGGATTTTTAAATTAATTAAAAATAAAATTACTATTTCATTTTATTAATAAATTATATTAGAAAAACGATATTTATTGAAGAGCAAATATTTTTGGTTTTCCTTAATGCAAAAAGAAAAATTGTGGTTCTTGGGGATTTAAAAAATTTATAAAAGAAAAGAAGGTGAATAACCCTTAAAATTTGTACGTCCCTATTCTGAGAATTTTTGCCATACTGTCCCCGAGGAATTCTGCCCTTTTGGTTTCGAATCCAAATCACCCTCAACGAGAGAGGGGTGCATAGACGATAGGGTAGCAATATTCTTTCGAACACTTGCTATTTCCACCGCTCACTAAACAACCCTCGAAAATTTCATCTCTCTTCCCGCATAGACAAAGTATTGTTCCGCAAATTTTTTTCTATTTGATTTTGAAATATATTTTGTTCGAATTTATTTTTAGAATATTTTTTAATATATAAATAAATTTTAAAAAATTAAAGAAAATAAAAAAGCATTTATATAGTAATTATTTTTAATATTAATTTTTTTTTTCACCTGGAATTTCTGGAAACAATTACTTTTTATTATTTTAGAAAGAAATTAATTAAACACGTGCTTGAATTTTGTAGATGCTCGTTAACTTTTTTTCCGTTACGCTAGATGCTGTATATATATATAAAAAAAAAAGTTTGCGTGATAATGACTCAGAGTCATGGTTGCAAACCCTTCGTGTGGTTCTGTCACCGTAAAAACGAAGAGGGTAGATTTGGATTCTTGACATTAATTTAATAAGACACTATATCAGAATTCACTTTTGATCAAGATTTATGACTTGAATATTTGCGCAAAATTTTTATATTTCATTATTTTTTATATATAGAAATAAAATAGTGTTTTGTATTTTTTCAGATTTTATAAATTAATGAAATCAGATTGATTAACGAAGGGAAATTTTTTGCATAAAATAAAATCAGTTTGGAATTTGATGGCCGCACATACCAAACATATGACTGGACAAATTTATACAACACGTGCATTCCGTAAAAAAAATTCCTTCTTCTTCTTCTTGGGCACAAAATATACCTCGTACTTTGTCCTCATTTCACGCTCTCGCCCTTTACCTATCAGGATTTATATTCTTTGAATATATTCTCGGTCATTCTAATTTTATAACTCTCTGTGAAAAACCTTGAAAAAGTTTTTAGAAGCTTTCTGTTTATAGTAAAAACGTGTAAGACACCTTGAATTTAAAAATAGTGAATTTTCTTCTTTTTTTTGAAACTTATTTTTCTCTAAAGATTTTTGAATTTTTGAAGCTGTGAAAAAATTATTTTGTTTTACTCCAGGCAATTGTGATTTACGCAAACCTGGGCGACTTTCACGTTATAAAATACATCCACTCGAGGCTATTTTCGACATAAAATTTTTTTTCAGAAAGAAGACTTTGGATTTTGTTAAAGGATGCTTTGATGAAAATAATTATATTCTCGTAATTATTACGATGAAGGTCAATGGATCGTAAAAAAGTCTTTCTTTTTTTTCGACACTCGTCGAGAAATTAATAACCTTTGGGGACTCTCCCACTCTTCTAGAGAGAGAGAGAGAGAAAAAAAACTGGGTCGCCAATAATAGTGCAAGTGATTTTTTGCACAAACGCGAGATATAAAACTCATATCTTATACCCTCATTTTAATTATTATAAATAATTCTAGTAAAATAGAATTAAATTTTACTTTTTTTTGAATTTATTTTTAAAATATTTAATTTAAAATTATTTAAAATTATTTAAAATTATTTAAAATAATTGATTAAAATGATGATTTTTATTTAGATGGAATTTCTTTTATTAAACTGCTAAGGAAAACTATCGTTGCACGAAGGCTAATTGTTTTTTTTTTTTCAATTGCAGCGAATGAAGTTCTTGAAAGAATGCAAGTATGCGCACTCCTGCTGAAACGGAAATGCTCTCCCAGCCAGAGTCGTACAAGTTCGAACCTCAAGAAACTGGCACCTCCTCCGATGTCAACCAGGTGGTTTTAACAACTTCCCAACCGGAAACACATATTTTTACGAACAGGTGAGATCACTGCATTTATATTTTTATTCATTAGTTTCGCAATTTTACTAAATTTTTGTTTCCAATTTTTTTTTTTAATTCGTTTTGTTTTTTTTTTTTAATTTATTAAAAATCTTTTTCGTTCATCGAAAGACTTGTCCTTGATCCTTTCTCTGAAAATCTAACGAAATAGAGACAATAATAGTATGTTTGCTGATAAATTGGTAAAATTATCGCGATTTTACAACGCCAGGGGAAAAAAATCCGAGAATTTAATTTTTACACTTTTCTTAAAATTTTGAATTCTCAAAAATTCAAAATATATTTTTTCATTTAATTTTCACTAATAATTTTATTAATAAATAATTAAATAATTAAAATTAATAATTAATAATAATACTAAAAATTAATTTAATTCCACATTTAAAAAAAAAAATCGATCTGAATCTAATTTTTGTTTTTTTTATATAGGAAATATAAATCGCGAGAGATGTTAATTAATTGTTATAGTGGATCAGTGTGTGATGCAAAAAATAGTTATTGTGTTGACAGCGCCAGACACACACACACAGCTGAGTGTTTAAATGTATTCATTACAGGAGAGCAAGCACGAAAGAGAGATAACCCCGCGGTTTCATGTTTGAAACTAGCAGTATGTGCGATCGGAGCGATCGTTCATGTCGTTATCACGTGGCACGTTGTTCGCTCATAAAATTAAAAAAAAAGAAAAAAAAACGCTTTTGTCTTTATAAAACGTCAAGATTCATATATATAATATTACAAAAGTTCGATACGCAATTAACGTTTATACGTGAAAAAAAGCCACTTTTACAGGGCCATATGTTAATTTAGTGATAGAATGGTTCTTGCTCGATATTTCATCAAAAAAACGGAAACTCAGAATGACCAGCAAACTAATCTGCCAGGCAACGTCGCTACGAGGTGAGCATCGAAGGCCGTGTTATGGAATGTTGCCTCCTGATAACGCTTCGTCCGTCATTACCTAGGTCTTTGTATGATTCTCGAAAAACAAAATATTTATTCGCGAATAACTTTCTATTAGTGATCTTTGTTTTGTTTTGTTTTGTTTTTTTTGACAAAATTTCGAAATGGAAAATCACGACAAACGTGCGAGATAGTTGAGATAAGATTAATAAATACTTGATGCGTTCTATACTTTTTAATCACCAAGAAATTTAATTAAAGGATTTAATTATATACAGGAAATCAAGATTGATTGTTTTGAGATTTTTTCGATTTGAAAATACCAAAAAAAAGAGAGGACAAATTTTTTAATTCTCTTACTAAAATTGCTTTAAAAAAGAAATTTTTCTCTTTATTATTATTTAAAATTAAATTAACTTGTTTTTTTCACTATTTATTGTTTTTATTTATTCGATAATAGAAACTTAAATTTAAAATAACTTATATTAAAAAGTTTAAAAAATGTAAATTAAAACGTAGATGAATATATTTAAACAAGAATGATGAAATAATTTGATAAAGAAAATAATTTGAAAAGTTCATAAAAGTCGCGTATAAGAAAAAAATATTGATATATTATTTGAAAATAACAGGAAAATGTTATTCATTTGAAAATTTCTGTTTCTCTTTACCATTTTTAATTTATGTATTTTTGATACCCGTATAATTTTTGAGAAAAAAATATTTCCCTTTTTTACAATAATTCTTTTCGTTAGAAATTTATTCGTCCAGCAGCAATTTTTCCGCGTCATCAAAGTCTTCATATGACATATTAAATAAATATGACCCCGTTTTTTTTTTGTATTATATAAAACACGACAATTCGAAACTTTAGTTTAAATACAGATGTTAAAAATTTCTTTTTGTTCTTTTTTTTTCAAGATCTTAAGGTGTAAGCGCTGTGTGTCATTGAAATTATTCTATTAAAATAATGAATTCAGGTTAAATTCGAAAAAAAAATTGTGCAAAGTTTGTTTGTTAAATGAGAAACCTTAGTTGATTTATATATAAATTTAAAACCCACGTGGCTTTCAGTTATGAGATTATATAGTTGTATCTTAAAGAAAGAGAGAGAGAGAGAGAGAAAGAATAGGATTCAAGTCAACACACAGGTGTATCGGTTTACGTCATACACTTGATTACATGACCTTCTAATTTCAAATCCAAATATGTAACAGTATTTTTCTTTTTAAATTACTTTTAATTTTCTCACTTTTTTGTGGAAAAAATTGTTTCGATTTTTAATATACACGATTCGATTTTTAATTAAATTCTTCTAATTAATTAATTTAATTTAATAATAATAAAACTGATTTTCCTTTTCTTTTCAGTATGCTCTGTATTCAAGAGGAACTGGAGCAGTTGGGCGGAATTGCAGGGGGACCGATAATAAGCGTGCCCCCTGGATCTCAACTACCTGACAATAGTCACACCCACTCGGAGAGCAATAATTCGAGTGACACTGCCACAAAATGCAATGCGGGGTCAGGGACCTTGGATGCTCAAAGTTCCAGTCTTCTTGGCAAAGTATTGGGATGTATTATGCCCGTATGGACTTCAGTGCTGGCAAAAACAGCCGGCGGTGATAAAATAAAAGGACAAAGTAGGTTTTCTGTATTTTTTTTTTTTTTTCTAACAATTTTTAAAAAGCAATTTTCAATTTGAAAACATAAATAATTGTAATTAAATTACAGCCGACGATTGGGAAATTCCTTTTGAATCGATTAGCGAACTTCAATGGTTGGGTTCAGGAGCTCAAGGTGCAGTTTTTAGTGGAAAATTAAATAAGGAAGTTGTAGCTGTTAAAAAAGTGAGAGAGCCACGCGAGACTGATATAAAACATTTGCGGAAGCTCAATCATCCAAATGTTGTACAATTCAAGTGAGAATTATTTTAAATTTCAATTTTAAAATTAATTAATTGTTCCGAAAAAAAAAGTTTTCTCAACGACAAATTTTTTCGAAAAAATAGTTGATACAATTATTTATTTATTTAAAATTAGTAAATTATTAAAGAAATTAATTAAAATTTTTTGAAAACGATTTACAGTTAAGGTTTTATAATTATAATATAAATAATTAAATTCAGTTTATCAATTAATTATTTTTGTATTAATAAGAAAATAATTTTTTTCTTTGCAGAGGTGTATGCACACAAGCGCCTTGTTATTGTATAATAATGGAATTTTGTCCATATGGACCATTGTACGATTTATTAAGAGCTGGCGAACCTGTACCACCACCGAGATTAGTCTCATGGTCAAAGCAAATTGCTGCCGGTATGGCGTATCTTCATAATCATAAAATAATTCATCGCGATCTTAAAAGTCCAAATGTATTAATTGGTCGTGGTGAAGTTGTGAAAATAAGCGATTTTGGCACAAGTCGCGAATGGAATGAAATAAGTACACGTATGAGTTTTGCCGGTACTGTTGCATGGATGGCACCGGAAATAATAAGAAATGAGCCATGTTCAGAAAAAGTTGATATTTGGTCGTACGGTGTTGTTTTATGGGAATTATTAAGTGGTGAAATTCCTTATAAGGATGTTGATTCATCGGCAATAATATGGGGTGTTGGAAATAATTCACTTCATTTACCAATACCATCGAGTTGTCCTGAGGGTTATCGTTTATTGGTGAAACAATGTTGGTCGGCAAAACCACGTAATAGGCCATCGTTTAAACATATTGAAATTCATTTACAAATTGCCGCTGAGGATGTATTGTCAACTGAGCCTGAGGAATATTTTCGTACACAACAATCATGGAAGGAGGAAATACGAGTTCATTTAAAGCAAATGCAAACAAATACATCGACCACACCTCGTTTTGAAGCGGATCTTATTCGTCGTCGTGAAGATGAATTGAGGCACGCACAGGACATCCGTGAACATTATGAGAGAAAATTGGAACGTACGAATAATCTCTATTTAGAATTGAGTGCAGTTTTACTTCAACTTGAGCAACGTGAACGCGATGTTATAAAACGGGAACAACAATCGGGACATAAATCGGGTAAAAAAAGGCTCGTACATCCGCTTTTAAAAGCGCAGGAGCGATTTCATCGAAGACGAAATCCATTTTCGCATGTATCATCGTCATCAACACCGACAACGCCACCATCGCCGACAGATTCACCTCAAAGTCCAGTGAAAGCAACACTTTGTACACAATTAAATGATTCAAATCAACCTGAAAGTGTTTTAATGTCTGGCAATAGTTTTAAGAAAAAATATCGTCATCGTCGCGTTGGTTCTGGTTGTGGAATTAGTTCAAGTCCAAAATCAAGTCCAAATCGTGAGAGAAAGAGTAATGAGGTTGCATTACGTTTAGTTGATAATGAAACGCAAACTGATTTATTGGGTTTGAAGGAATTTAATTTGAAGAAAGATGCTGATAATTTAAATACTTTAAAACATATTTCTGAACAAAATTTAGAATCTCATAATGGAAATACAGTTTTATCGGATGATTATCATGTGGAATCTAGTCCGTGTTCAAGTCCAGAGCCAACGAGTGAGAATCGTTTAAATGGAAATGAACAACTACGTGAGTGTAGCGATGACGATCATCTTGAAACACTTGGTAGAAAAGTCAGCGAAATTCTAAACGCAAATCGACATGTTTCGCCCGTTGACAATGGAAATTGTAATGACATTGCACCTCACAGGTAATTTGAGTTTTTATTTATTGTCAACTTGACACTTTTTAAATTCTTAATATTTTTTTTCTTTTTTACAGCAGGATAAAAGAAGATGTGTTGCGATTACCGGGACATTTTTGTGGAATAATAATAAATGGATCAGATATCGAAAAATCTGATAATCTACATAAATCGAGTGCGGATAATGTTGACGCCCTTGGTAATCAAGACGGTGATTTTAGAGAAGAAGAAAGTTGGTCCGATGAAGAGGGAGAGGATCCAAGTTACACCTATAATTATTCCCTTAGAAGAAGAAGGTAGTAAAAGTTAATTTCTTTTTTTTTCGTAATTTTCGTACTTTTTATAATTAGAAAATTTTTTCGCAGCATCGCAAGAAGACCAATTGGACCTGGCTGTAGATTAAGAAGATTTAAGCATTCCTCAAAAATCGTGAAAGGAGTTTTAGTGTCTGATGAAGAGAACACTTCCGAATACTCACATCCTCCGTCCAGTCAATCTTCAACCCTTGAAAGCAATCCAGATGTACAAAGAGCTTTTCGCAATATTCATTCACATAAAAGGAAACAAATCGACGATGGAACAGATTCATCGAGTCAATCTGAAACAGATGAAGTAAGCGAGATTACAATTTCGTCTCAAAGAGCAAATGCAAATTTAAAATTAGAAAGTAGAGTTTAATTTATTTAACTTCTCTTACGTCTCGTTTTGAATCTTACAGTAAAAAAAAATTTCTTTCGGGACGTAAAAGTGATAAGCTCGTATTATATTATAGATGTGAGATTGTCAAGTGTTGTGAATATAGTGCAAAAAGAATTTAATTCTAAAAATATGCTCATTCAAGGCGAGCGAAATAGTTAACAGCGTTTCAAGACTTAATTGAAAATTCATACTCATTCCAATTATTTTATTGAGATAGAATCATGACAAAGTAGCGATAGAAAATTTTCTCATTTCTTTGTTGATATTGCACATGAAAAAAAAAAAAAAATTATTCTTGAGCGCCTTTTTTTCTACTTAAAACTTGTACATAATGCCTCTTTGTACAATTTTTTTAATGCTAGACCTAACGATATGTAAAAAGTTTTTTTTTTATAATAGTTACTTTAGCAAGCTCGCTAGACAGATATTACGTTTTTGTAGTATATTCCAGTATCCACAATGTGGATAAAAAAAAAAAATCGTGTAGCGTGACTTGTTTAAAATACAAAATTGTATCGAAAAAAATTGCCTGATATAATACGAACAAAAAAAAAAAAAGGAGAAAAACCCTTTTCTCACACTTGGAATTCTGATGTTAAAGCCCAAAACGAGTACAACAAAAAAAAAGTCAATTGATGAAAGAAAAACGTAAAATTAGAAATAATATATTTAAAACTAAACAATGAAAGTTAAATTCATTATTAAACGAATTTAGAAAAAAAAATTCGAATTTTTAAAAAGAAAAAAGAGAAATTTATATTTTCAAAAATATATTCTAATTGTTGTTTCATAGAGTTTTTATTTCTTGTAATTTTTACTCGATATCCGATATTATTTTTCGGATACGAGACAAAATTGATTAAAAAATGAATTTTGAAGATTTCTACACAATTATAATTGAGAAAAAGAAAAGATCTTGTTAAAAGAAGAATAAAAAAAAATAGTATTTATATTATAGTCATGTAGAAAAAACGTAGCTTTGTATAGAATCTTTCAAATATATTATACACACAAGTATACAAATTAGATGATAAAATCGTATTGTGCAATTTAATGTTTGTATTCCCAGTTAAATATTGTATTGGTCCAGTACTTTACATAAAGAAAGTTGATTCTGTGAGTCGAAGACAAATGCATTTTTTTTTTTTTTAGATTTTATATATTGCAATGCAATTAGTGAAAAAAAAATCACATTCCGTATAAGGAAAAGTGGAAATCGATTTGAAATTGAAATTAAAAATTAAATAAACAATTTAAGAAAGAATTTAATTTCTAATATTTATAAAAAAAAATTCTATGGACCACTTTCCCTTATATTTTGATGAATTTAAGTAATTAAATAAAAATAGCAATTTTATCGTTCGTACCTGCGCTTGTGAACTCAAATTGCCTTAAGGACAATTAACGAATATTTGTAAATAATGACAATATAAACCTCAAACTTTAATAATTGAATATAAGCCTGAGAATCAGAGTAAACGCATTATTCGAATAACACGTGTAAGATTTATTTATAAGATATTTAAAAGTGTACTTTTTGCAGTAATTATATACATACTGTATTTCTGCTATTTATTCGAGTAGTGACAAAAAAAAAAATGTCAGCCACGTAGAAATGATCCGTCAAATTCATGTCACGTATTATACAAATAAAAATCTATAGTTCATTCTATAGATTCTTAAAAGATACATATACGTACTGTGATTTTAAATATCAAACCTTTTTATCCTTTTAAATATTTATTTATTTTCTTTAAATATTTATTTTCCGAATTTGCAATGTTTTTCCTATTTGAATATTATTTACGTACATTAATTTGCAAATTATAAAACATTTTTATTTTTTTGTTTATAATATTTATTAATTTTTTGCATTTATAATTTTTTTTTTTATAGTTTCCGCCATATTGGATTCGCCATATTGAATATTATGAATAAAATTTATTCCAAAAAAAATAAGGATCTAGCAATAAAATCGATATTTGCGAGGAAAAAAATGGTAAGTATTTTTGAAATTCAAATTTTTTGAATTATAATTTTTTTCTACCTGGAAAATCATTTTGTGATCATTAGAGAGAAAGAAACGAACTTACATTCCCAACCCTGAGTCTTCTGAGTCATGCAGGTGGATCGTGGATCACTGCATAGTAGTTGACTCCAATGTGCCTCCATATGAAGGGCGTTGGCTATTAAAAATTTTTCAAAAAAATTTAGTTATAAAATATGTATAGCCCTTCAAAAATGCTGCGTATAATTTATTTCTTCACAATATTATTAACATTTTTTCACAGTAAGTTTTATTTTAAAAAATATTTTTAAAAAAAACACTAAATTCTTTAATTGAAAACAAACAAGGTGAATTGGCTCCAAAATTTTGATCATTCTAAATAAATGAAATTATTTTTGATATTTATATAGTAATAATTATTTTCATCTAAATAAAAAATCTAAATTAAAAAATTAATTAAATTATATTTCTAATAATTTATTTATTAATTTTCGTTTATAGATTCACATTCGTTATTACAAGAGAAATCGGGATGTTTTATACCAATTGTAATAAGAGGATCATGGTTTTCATGGGAAACTGGTCAAAATACATTAACAGAAATAAATGCCGAGACAATGTCGGACAGAGGATATTGTATTGATGTTCACGAGGAGTATCATACAAATTATACATTTGTATTTAAAAATAATAATTGTTACCATTGCGTTAAATTAATTGTAAGAACAGTTAATGTTCTCGAAAAACTTGAACGTATGTATTATTCATTTTTTTAAAAATTTATTTCCGAAAGAAATTAAAAAAAAATGTTTAAATTCCATTTTAAAAAATTTTACAGTAAAGTGCGTGAATTTACCACCTGGAGTTGAACCAACAGTGAAAAATGTTTGCGAAGGACTGCGACCCGATCAACAATTGGTTACGTTATTTTCGGAAAATCCTGTTCCAATTAATTGTAGATCGTCTCTTGAAGGTGTTTGGCAATTTGCCTATCAGGTAATTTATTATATAATTATTTGAAAAAAAAATTTATCTAGAAAAATTATTAATTAATAATTAATAATTAATAATTAATTTTTTACTATTTCTTTTAGAATCGTTTCAGATTCACAGGTGTTTGTGATAATCCAGATGCACAAATTAAATCGTGTCAAACAGCAGGATCACAATTTTTGATTACTAATCAAAAATTTAATATCACTTACAAAAAGTGTCCGGGAATGAAGGAAACATTTGACGGAGGTACATTTCTTTTTTAGTAATTAATAATTATTATGTTTTTCTATAATTATCAAATTAATATATTTGAAATTAATAATATTAATAATCGTGAATATCTTTCGTTCATTCTGTCCACACCTGAAGTTAGTATTTGTTATAGGTCTTTTGATTTTTTTAAATGTATTGTTTGACATTATTTTGTGTTGGTTAAAATTTTTCAATGTTTTTTTGGCATTGTTTCCATAATTAATTTTGAATCGAAATTTTAAAAAATAATTGAATTTTATTTTATTTTAAATTGAAAACTTGGTAAATAATTGAATTTTAAATTGAAAATTTGAAAATAATTTAATTTTAGTTGATTGTTGATTGAAAATTTGAAAATAATTAATTTTAGTTGATTGCTGATTGAAAATTTTGATAATAATTAATTTTGACTCGAAATTTTGGAAAATAATAAAATTTTAATTGAAATTTTGGATAATAATTTAATTTAAGTTGATTTTGGATTAAAATTTCGGGTAATAATTGAATTTTAATTGAAATTTTCGATAATAATTTAATTTAAGTTCATTTTTAATTGAAAATTTCGATAATTAATTTTTAATAGAAATTTTAAAAAATAATTGAATTTTATTTCATTTTAAATTGAAAACTTGGTAAATAATTGAATTTTAAATTGAAAATTTGAAAATAATTTAATTTTAGTTGATTGTTGATTGAAAATTTGAAAATAATTAATTTTAGTTGATTGCTGATTGAAAATTTTGATAATAATTAATTTTGACTCGAAATTTTGGAAAATAATAAAATTTTAATTGAAATTTTGGATAATAATTTAATTTAAGTTGATTTTGGATTAAAATTTCGGGTAATAATTGAATTTTAATTGAAATTTTTGATAATAATTTAATTTAAGTTTATTTTTAATTGAGAATTTCGATAATTAATTTTGAATAAAAATTTTAAAAAATAATTGAATTTTATTTCATTTTAAATTGAAAACTTGGTAAATAATTGAATTTTAAATTGAAAATTTTGAAAATAATTTAATCTTAGTTGATTGAAAATTTTGATAATAATTAATTTTAGTTGATTGTTGATTGAAAATTTTGATAATAATTAATTTTGACTCGAAATTTTGGAAAATAATTGAATTTTAATTGAAATTTTGGATAATAATTTAATTTAAGTTGATGTTGAATTAAAATTTCGGGTAATATTTGAATTTTATTTAATTTTAAATTGAAAACTTGGTAAATAATTGAATTTTAAATTGAAAATTTGGAAAATAATTCAATTTTATATATAATTTAATAACATATAATAATAATTTTCATTATTATCATTTAATATGAAATAATATTCTAATAAATTTAAATTATTATTGATAATATTAATCTTTAATTAATAATTAATTATTATAATAATAATAAATAATAATAATAATAAATAATAATTTAATTAATAATATTAATTTAAAAATTATTGCCTCTAGTTGTGGAATACAGTTGTCTTGGTCATTGGTTCGTTGGGAAAAATCATTTCTTCGCAGTGGCGAATACAAAAGAATCGCGAAAAGACGAAAAATATAGATGTTTTTTGAAAAATCGTGATGACGATCTTTATATTGGCGTATCAATAACGGCTGAATGTAATACATTAAAAACTGTTGAACAAAGTCCAGAACGTTTGAGAATTACTCCAGTCAAGGCGGAAGTTGTTGAACCAGGCTGTCGATTACCACAGAATATGACAGGAAAATGGATTAATACTGCAAATGTTGATGCAAATGTTGTTATTAATGAAACACATATTTTGGAAACATGGAATCCAGATCAAGGTAGATCGCGTGATGTTACTTATGTCTGTCAGGAGCAAAGAGGAACGCGAGTAATGATGGCAAGATTAACAGTCGATGGATGGTAAAAGAAAATATTTATAAAATTTTAATTTTAATTACCAAATGTGAAAATTTTCCTTTATTTTCTGTTTAGTCAAAAGGATTATATTTGTTTCGACTTTGTGCCACAGCATCACAATATAATTCGATACAGAAAAGGAGTGGCTGTGATAAAAAATGAATTTTCCACCGTTTGCTCATGGGTTCAATTTAAAAATCAAGTTAATTGGAAATATGATTTGTTTCTCGGTGAGTAATTTATAAAAAAAAAAAAAAAATTCCAACAATTAATTATAATTTTAATTATAGCACAAAATCCTGTACCAGTAAGATGTCCAGTTGCTGGGAAATTTAAATTTGAACAACGGGGTGATGATTTATTTAAAACAAGAATTCTCGGCGGTGTTACACTTTCTCCACGTCCAAATCTTTATTGTAAACAAAATATTTCCGATTTTTCTGTATGCGATACGGATCAAAAAGAAATTGCCATCGATGAAACATATTGTCTTACTGTCGATCATTTGGGAAGACCAGTTGATATATACAGTAAGTTTTCTATTTTTTGAAAAAGAAAAATTGTATATTAATTTTTAATTAATATTTTAATAATTTTCAGGTGAACCTGACTATATAATGAAATGCATTGGCTATTGGAAGGAGAATTTAAAATCATATTTAATTACATACGATGATAGAGATCCATACAGTAAATATCGTTGTTGGGTTTATCAGAGAGCGGATTTAAATCGTGTTCTTATGTCACAAGCAGTTGGTGCATTTTGTGGTATCAATCAAGATGTGACAAGTCAAAATTATACTGAAAGCGCCGCAGTTGCTTTAAAAATGGAGGTAATTTATTTATCTATTAATTAAAAACAAAAAGAAAAATTATATTCGAAATAATATTAATTTAATCTTCTATTTAAGGAATATGAACGAGAAAGAGATCAGTGTCCAATGCATTTTGACGATGGTAGTGATCCGTGGTTAAAAACTGAAAACTATATAAAAGTATTTCATTTTGGTGGTGCAGGAACAGCCACTTTATCACCCTTAATATTTTCAATTATTTTTATCGCTCTCTTAAATTATTTCCGATAAGAATTTCAATAATTGAAATTTTACAAAATTCATTTGGATTCTAAAATTGAATTCCGTCCAATTTTTTAATAGATAAAAATTATACATAAAAATTATACTTTTGTATATTTTTATATTTAAGATTATGAGAATCTCAGATTTTATTATCTTTATTGTGTGATAGTAATTTTTTATACAATTTTTTTATTTACTAAATTACGTTAATAAGTCTTGAAAAGAAAATTTTAATGAAATGAATTTAAAATATTTTCAGATAAGGATTTTTGTTCCTTAAAGAGATTTTTTTTTACTTATAAAGTATTTTTAATAATTTAATATTCCGTCCATTATATATAGTATACAATTACTAACGAACAAAATTGATACAAGAATAGAATTAAAAATATATGGTTAATAAAAAAGAAATATTAAGAAGAATTTTTCAAAATCGTTAGTTTTTAATAAAATTAATGTGCCTTAAAAAGATTAAAAACTTTCTAGTTTAACTGTATAGCATAATAGTTTTCATTTTCTTTTTTATAGTGTATTTTAGTTAAGAGAATATTAAATACAATCATAAAAAAAAAAATTATGTACTATTAAAAAAGCAATTATGCTTAAACCAAAGCCAATTTCCATCTAAGTTTAAATATGTGTATAATTTTAAAAGACTGTTGATTGGATATTGTCTTGTTTTAATTAAAAAAAAAAGAGGAACTAGAATACTATATAGAAATATAAAATTTTCTATATTTTTAGTATTCAAATTCATTTTATAAAATAACATGTCGCTAGATTATATTTTTTAACTGTACAAAAAAAAATAATTGTTCATTTAAATTAAGATTGTTCTATCAAATGTATAAATTTATGTAAATCCTTTTAATTACATGAGATTTTTCGATTTAAATAAAAAAAAATAATTGAAAATAAAAATTAAAATGTCAATTTTAATTCAGCCATATAGCTATTTATTGAAACACATTAAATGAAAATTAACAGTAATTGAATTTGGTATTTAAATTTTAACAAAACGCAGCTCTAACATTATTTTCAATTGATAACCTTGCAAGGAACATAATAATTATTTAAGCAAATGGCTATAATCAAATAACATTTAAAATATTTATACATAGCTAGGTATATTTTTTTTTTGGTATTTTAACTTAATTAAAAAAAAAAACAGAGAAGAAAGAAAAAAGTAATATTATGTGTAGAAAACATTTGATTTACACAGCCTTGCGATTGATGAGTATATGAGTTTTAAATATAATGCTGCTCGAGTTTGAAAATGCTGTTAAAGTGCTTCGTCGACATTTAACTTTAAATAATCTATTGACAATTTTCTTTACACGCAGAAATACGGAATAGATATTTTTAAAAGATTGTTTTTAAATCTTTTTTTTTCTCTCCATAACACACACAAAAAAAAATGCCTAAATATTAAACTACTCAACAAACTGAACATTTTTTCTTATTCACAAAAATATAAAGATGAAAACTTTTTACTAGTCGATTATATATATATATAGAGAACAGGCAGGGAATATAAATTTTTGCCTGATTAATTAATATTTTTGAGACACAAATTAATCTCAATAAATTATTTACAATCAATTTTTGTAAACATTTATTAATTAGATTCTTTTTTTTTTTTTAATTTTCTAATGAAGATTTTTTAAAAATTCCGAAAAATCACGTTCATCGAAATATGTAAAAGCAGAATGAAAGATATATATACAATTTCTAAATTTTATTTTAATCACTGCAGATCGATTTTCAATTTTAGATCTGAATTCTAGGAATAATTTCTAAAAGTTTTTTTTTAGAAGCTTCTTTGAGAAAAATTTTGGCAAGAACACTGAGTTCAAAAAGTCTTTGAAATATAAAAAACAGAAACAAAAAATTTCAAAGAAACTGGTTGATTGTCATAAACAAAAATAATCGCAAAAATTTTTAAAAGGACAACAATTTTAATGGATTATTTAATAATTTTCTTAACGGTTTTTTTTTTGTTTTCTATACCATTTTGCGGTAAATTCCTACGGGTCAATGCACACGAACAAAAAACTCATTTTTTTGTGGTTCTTCCTTTTTTTTGGTGCACGTAAGAAAATAAATAAAATACTAAATAAAAAAGGAATTTACGATTCACCAATAAAAGGAATTGTGAAGAAATTCAGCTGTCGATTTATAAAGGGAAGACGCACTTTGTCTTAAACCAGTAAAAATGGAAATTACACCTTCTTTTTCTTCCTCTTCTTGTTCTTCTTCCTCGGGTAAATATTCTGGTAATATATCGCAATCCCCAGCGTCTGTACTTATCTATATGAAAAATTATTAAAATTAAATCAAGAAAATAAATAAATATATAGATAAATTTAATACACACCAATTTAACTAAAAATTCTTGATTATATTTATTTCTAGTAACTAATCTAGCCTCCATATTTGGATTATTTTTTTGAATTGCTTCAGCAATTTGTTTCGATGTGACATTAACTAAAGTTCTCATTGTAACTCGTTGATGTTCCACGTCAAGAACAAGTGAAATTAAACCCTCAATTCTTATTAAAGTTGATTCTAAATCAGCTCGAGTTTCCTATTAAGAAAATATGTTAAAATTTTTCATTAAAAAAAAGCAGAATTTATATAGATAAAATTAAAAATAACTTACAGGAAGAAGGCCGTGAACGTGTAAAACAATAACGTGTGTTCGAAGTTTTTTTGGTTCAATAACACGTCGACATCGACTACGTAAATTATAAATTGGTGGTTTCATTCTTTCTATACTATCTTTAATATGTTGAGCGTGTTTGGCAATTTTTGGCTCATCTAAACTATATTTGTCAATTATTGAATCAAGTGCTTCTCGAACACCAAATGTTGAGGTTATATGTGAATAATTCTCTAAATTTCTCACAAATATCTCAAGGACATCCAATGCTAATTCCACAACTTCTGTATCAGGATTTTCCATTATAAATGCAATGTACGAAAGTACTGTTTTGTCCTGTAAATAGATTTGATTTTTGTTGAAGAAATTATACATATATATATAGGTATATTGATTAACAGAATCAAAATAAACATAAACAATGTATAATAAAATCACCTTTAAAATTGTATCATGATTTGAGAAATCTTCTGCCAACTTTTTGTATGTTGCAATAGTTGCTTTTAATTCTTGTGAATCGGGAGAATCTTCTGTTTCCATTGTTTAAACTTTGTAAAATGTTGACATTTAACAAAAAAAAAATTTCAGTAAAGTAGCACAAACATAAAGTGTGAAGTTAGGAAGATAACAGACTGACAGTGCTGACAATTGTATCATTTAACCAGGAGCACCAATTTTAAAAATTTATTTAATTAATACATTTTTTATAAAATAATTTTAAAAAGTAATATTTAAAAAAAATAGAAAAACATTTAAAATTTTTAATCAATGAATATAAGAAAAGATAGAAAAAAAAGTGTAAATTTAAATTTCCCTCCAGTTGGGTGCGCAGAACTTGCTACTGCGCAGTGTACCTTTATGCTTCTTGATCTAACTTCACACTGCTTGATATTCTCATAGGGGACGGCGAATCTATGTTCTCATTATCGAAGTGTCGCGATTTGTGGAAGGTTGTGTGTAAAAAAAAAAGGCAAATGGCCGCCGTGGCGCGACAGTGTATTCGTGTTTGCTCTTTCTTAATCAGCAATACGCGGCATGTAAAAGCTTTGTGAAATTTATATTAGCAATGTGTTTAGAAATGTGAGATTTAATGAAAATATAATTTTCTTTTTTTTGTTGATCGACGATTAATATCGTCGTGAATAACGGTACGGTGATGAAATCAGTGTCCGAAGGCAAGCTGGGCGTGGAAGAGGTTAAATTTGGTTCTGATTTAAAAACACGGGATGTAACATCACGATTTAAACGAACATTTACCCTACCAGGTAATATTATCCAAAGAATGTCAAAAAGACGTGCAAAACCAGTTCGTGATTTAAAAGAGAACAGTTTTAATTTCAAGGAAAACGTTAGGAACAATATGCAAGAGGAACAGCGAACACAAAATTTACAGCAGGTTCATGGTGTTACAAGGTCACATACAAATTACAATAATCCAGAGAGAAATGGTCCAAAGAAACCCTTTCGTAGGCGTTCGGTGAAAAAATTATTTCAAAAATTTATTGACAATTTGGTCAGTAAGCAAAATAAATCTTTATATAGAAATGAACTTAGTTCAAGTGCAAGTGAATTGAGGGTACCTCCACCAAGGCTTCCTCAAATACCATCAGATCGTGTTCCTGGTGTAACAGGACTTAGAAATCATGGTAACACGTGTTTTATGAATGCCGTATTACAATGTCTTTCGCATACTGATATTCTTGCGGAATATTTTGTATTTGATCGTTATAAAGATGATCTTTCAAAAAAGACTAAGAATTCAAAAAAATATGGTACCAAGGGTGAAATAACAGAACAATTAGCATTGTTATTGAAGGCAATATGGACATGTCAATATGATCCAGAAATGAGTACTGCATTCAAAAGTGTCGTTGATAAATACGGAAGTCAATATAGAGGAAATTTACAACACGATGCACAGGAATTTCTTCTTTGGTTACTTGATAAAGTTCACGAGGATCTTAATACTGGTAGCACGAACAAGTACAAAATTATGAAGGTATGTGAATTTTTTTTTTCTGTTAAAAAATCACGAAATTTAATTTTCGTAAATTTTTCTTTATGTACGAAAATTTGTAATTTCTGTTATATTTGCAAAAATAGTTAATATCGTTTTTTTTTAAATCGTTAAATATTTACATCGAATCGTAAATATAAAAAAAAAATGCAGGAATCAAGTAATTGTAGAAAAAATATAAACTATAAAATTCAAGATTCTGGTTTGAAACTTGTATTTATAAAGAGAGCCAGAGAGCATCTTTACAAGTCAATGAGCTCGTTCGATGAAAATACGTTAGCCTCGAGACGAGAGTAACATTTAAACTAGGAATGACACATTTGATCAAGTCGACAAGTTTTTGTATACGTTGCATAATCAATGTTTGCCAAAGGATTTCATCTTCATTGCTTTCATTTTTCGAAGAAAAAAAAAAAAGACTTCCTCTCTTTTTTATTTTAATTTCGTTTCCTCTTTCTTTCTTTCAACTTCTTAATGATATTTTAGCAGGCCTTGGGCTCTTTTGTCTGCCTTCTTTTTTTATAGTTTTTTTTTTATTCTCGAGAACATGAGAAAAGGATCGTTAGAGATCGAGGCCTTAACCTAAATTTATATTTCACGTTCGAAAAAAAAACAAATTTTCAAAAATCGAAATTGATCTTTGTTTTTTTTTTTTGGTCAGGAAGTTGTAATTATTGTCTTTTTCCATTCTTGTGCGACAACAAACTTGCTTTTGAAAAGTAGTTCGACCGTTCAATTGGAAAGTTCCTCACTCAGCCAACAGCAAATAAATAAAAAGCTGTGTGCGAGGCTCCCGAGTTCCCCCGGCAGTTTAATGAGTATACCTGAATGCATTTTTTTTTTTTCTGATCCTGTTGGATTTTTTTCCCACATTAAAAATCTATTTTTTTTTCTCCTCGAAATTCGAAATTATTTAATTGATATTGATATAAATTTTTTTTCTTCTAATTATTCATTGTTTGATTTTTCAGAGAGCGCATTCTAGATTTGAAAATATTTATCTGGAGCTGACGATGAGAGTTTATATATAAATTCTTGCAATCATAACTGTTCCGGTTGTCACACATCTGGAAAATTATATAGAAAGTCTCTCTCTCTCGCGGGAATTCTTTAGTAAAAAAAATGTGTGTTTTCATTTCTTTTTGAATATAAAAAATTTTTTTTCGTTACTAAAGAAAATAAATTTATTTTTTTTTAATTTTGGAAAAAATTAAATCTGTCGAGGAAAGAAATTTTCTTTTTTTTTATTGTTTTGCGCTTTTTGTATATTCGTATTTTTTCATTAGTTGCACTGGTGAGTGTAATCTCAAATAAAATCTTTGAAACTAGTTGCGATTTCTTCCTTTGTATCAACAAAAGTTGTGGGTTGATTCTAGTTTGTGTGATCGTCTTTTTACGCCAACAGAAGAGGATGATTCATTCTCGCAAAGCAGTCATTCCTCCTCCATTCTGTTACATAATTCCTTTGGCAATCTATGGAAATAATTATAATAGAGAGAGAAAACGGTTTTAATTTTCTTGAACTTTTTTTTCCTTTTTTTTTTATTTAGTACAATTATTAATAAACTAGATTTCTATTTTTGATTTATGTTTTTATATTAACAACTGTCTTTTAAATCCTGTGTATTTATTTCATGTTTATAACTTTAGTAACAACGCTGATTCACCTTTTTTGCATTTTGCGTGGGCATTAAAAATGAGAAATCATGTATGAAAAAAAACAACAGTTTACTCCTTAGGAGTTATAAAAATTTTGCTTTTTAGAGAAAAATGAGAAAAAATTATATTTACAATTATTTTTTAATTTAGAAAAAATAAAATTATAAATCAATTACATCTAATTAGATAAATAAATAATAAATATTAATTAATTATTGTTCAATTTAAGTTGCATTACTTTGTTTATGAATAGCTAATAGACAATGAATCTGGGTTAAAAAATAATATTATGAATATTATTATCAATGGTCTTGAAAAATATTAAAGAAAAGAGTGTTAATTTTACAAGTTACAAAAAAAAAAATTAAATCGCTCACTGATTTTTTTTTTTTTTTTTTTTCAAGTAGAAACCGATAAGAATGTTGTAAATTTTTATCAGCATAGTTGATTATTGTCATTGTAATGTGACTTTCAATTACATTTTTTCCACTCGTTCAGAAATTTAAAAAAAGAGGCAGAAAATTAATTATTATTTTTTTAATAGTGAAAGATGGGATTTTTTTTTATAAAAAACGTGACCTTTTTTTTAACGGTCGTGATTTTTTTTTTCATGGGGTCAATGTCATTTAGTGAATTTTGCAAAAAAAAGTCACGTTCTTTTTCAAATCTTTGTCACGATTTCACATTATTCACGCACAATATAATGATAACTCGAAAAAAAAGTATATAACGATTTTTTTAACTGATCTTTTTTTCAATGCACTCGAGAAAGATTATTTGAAAATTATTATATTAATTGGAAATAAATAAAATTAATATTATATATAAAAAAATTAAAATTTAATTATTATTAACGCAGTTTTTCCAATAAAATTTTTTTTTTTTTCGAAAATAACATGGAAAAATTAAAATTCGGTTAAAATAAATTTTAAATTCGAAAATTATTACCGCTTATAGTTACAATAAAAACCATGAAATTTACACGTGACTTTCGCTGCCAACCAATCTCCTTGCATTGAGTCTCATGTTTCGCTTTTCAGCGTTCCAGTCTGTTAAAATAACAGTAATAATTCCTGCTTACCGATTCGCATTAATAACATGCAACAAGTTTTTTCTCAGATTTCAGAATTTTTTTTTTTTTTTTTAGCAATTCAGTGATATTTTTGAATTATTTAAAATTGTTTCCTTTTATTTTTATATTAAACCTTAGAATTTATTTTTATTTATTTTTTAATATTTTTAATAATTTAAATAATATTTTAATTAATAATTAATAAATAAATTAATTAATATTTTAATTAATTTTCTAATTAAAATAATTATTTTTTCTTTTCTTGTTTTTTATTTTTGAATTCTTATTTCTCATATTTTAATGATCATCATATTGTTACGTGAAAATTTGGTGAAAAGATAATTTTATACCAATTACATTAATGTAGAAACAGAACCTAAAGTAGGTGAGGGATAAAGTAGTCTCATTTCCGCGTCACGACCTTCGCGGTATCTTGCACATTGAATCACAATGTCTTTGGACAAATTAAATAAAACAAATTAAAATTAAATTTAAACAAAAAAAATGTACGCTCCAATAAATTAATAATTTAGAAAATGCATTTTCTAATTTTATTATAAAAAATAAATTTCAATTTAATAAATTTCTAAACGATTGGCAAATTTAGTTAATGCTTACCGCGATTATGCAATTTATCATTTAATATTTTCATGACAGCAAAATTTTATCCAGGAAGAGTTTAAATATTTTAATTTCAATAATTAATATGACTTGCTTAATCAACATTATTAATTTTATGTTTAATTAAATGCATAATTTATTTTAGAAATAATTTTAATTTATATTTATTTGGTGAATAATAATAATAAATAATACTAAAAAAATAATAATAATAAATAATAATAATAAATAATACTAAAACATAATAATAATAAATAATAAGTATTAATTTTTTTATTGCCTTTAAAATTTTATTAGTTTTACTCAATTATAATAAATTTATTTTAATTGCATTTAAATATCAAAAATATTAAATTTAATTAAATATAGAAAAATGCATTTCATAATATATAAGATTGCAAATATTTTTCGAGTATTCAAATATTTGTGTTGACTCGGAAACTGCGGTTAGATGCAAAATTTGAAAATGGAAAATAGAATCCCGTGTGTGCGGTTTTTCTTAGCCAGAAATTTTTCGTTAATTGTCTTTCTCTCTTTCTCTCTCGTGAATCGATCAAAAATTCAAATTGAACTTTGCCTCCGAATGTCAAGCTAGGTTCGATTTTAATCTTCTACATCTAAAAGTGGTCCATATATTTTATGTGAGACTCTTATATAAATCCGTGTGAACTCCACAGGGGCAACTTTGTTCAATTAAATAAAATTTAGACCAATTAATTTTGATAAATCGTTGAGATTTCATAATTTATATCCAATCTCAAAAATTTAATTTATATCTTTTTTTTTCTTAATTATAATAAATCATCAAAAAAAATATTTTTTTTTTACTATTTTGATTTATTTATTTATCGAAAAAAATATTTATTTATTTAACGAAAAAGAGATAGAAAAAAATATTTTATTATTGTTATTTTTTATAATTTTATTTGTTTATCTAACTCACTTTATTTTCAATCTAATGCATTGTTTATATGGCATATAAAATCATAAAAAAAAAATTTCTGGAATGTCCCTATCTTAATTAGACTCTTTTCACAAATTAATTGCCACACTCTCAGAATTGCACGCAAACAAGTTGAAAAAAAAAAAATTATACACATATTTAATAACGCTATAAGATTCTTTCTGACTTTAATAAACAGAGCAAAACTTTATCATTGAATGAGATTTTAAATAAAAAAAAAAAAATTAATTTAAAAAAATACAATAATAAAAATTTAAAAAAAAAATATTTTTTTATAAAACAAATTTTATTTATAATTTTATTTTTAATTTTTGTCAAAATCGTTTTACTGAGAAATTTGCTTAATTAAATTAAACTAGTTTTGCCATTTATACTTGAAAAGTTATAACTGAATGAAAATGTCGAAATGGAGTTATAAACTAGGCTAAAGGTTTTTTTTTTTTTTACTATCGAGTTACTCTCGCAGGCTAAGTTAACACACGTGACTTGATACTCCATATAAACCAAAGTATAATCTACATGTTAATGCGTAATAGCAATTAAAGATTTAAAAATTCAGGGCCGTCGATAAATTATGTCCTTAAAAAAAATAAATAAAATAAAATGAATTTTTTCTCTTTTGGTAAATAAAAAATCATTTTGTTGAGTAAAAAAAAAAAACATTTT